CTGGCCTGTTCGCTTCATCAACGATGGATGCCGGCTCATCAAGAAGGGGAGGATATTTCCTGTCAACTCTCAATGCGGTGCAACGAGGACCTTTGGGGTGACTCGTGGCGCTCCTGTGCTGTGCACGATGGGCGGACGATCGACTGAGATTGGCAACGCCGTTGAGGGCGGAATCAGAGCGTCCATGTCCCACGCACGTCAAGTCGAAGGATCCGTCGTCCAATCTCCCACACTCGTGAGGACACCATGTTTACGAAGGATTGATGTTGCCAACGCTAGAATTCCGTTCTCCCAAAGACTCTTTTGCTTGTTGGTGTATTACTTGTACTTCAAGTTATTATCGGGGTCCCTCGCACAATAATAAGCTTGGTCCAGGAGACCCCCTCGAGGAGAAGGGCGGGGGGCTCGTGTTTATTATTATTAATCTCACTTCTGGGCTCGAAACATTGGCTTTTGCGCCGTCGTTACTGCTCAATAGCATTGTTGATAGCCAGTGGCCAGGGTCATACCCACTTAGGCATGGTGTCCAGAAGGTGAATAGAGGCACCGACTCCATATCGTTATCACGAATGGGGCGCAGCTCTTGAACACTCCCAACAGAGTTGCACGCCTCGTGTAAAGGTTCGGCTCCAAGTACGAAGTATGTGCGTGTACATTCACAAAGTGAGGAGCTGCTCGGCAACGTCGAGGCTCACGGCGTTTGTGAGCGGCTCTCTCCACCCTTCGCATTGAGTGAGTCCACTATTACCCTCGGAGGGTAGGAAGCGCCGGCTGCAAAAGCAAGAAGAAGTGGATCCACGGCGTCATGACCCTGGTGGTGGATCGAGATGTTTCAGGCTACCTGAGAAAATGGCAGGCAGCCTTCCGGTTGGTGACGAGGCCAAACAAATGTTGGCCGATGGGCTAGGCAACGAACTCTCGACGGCGAGGGCAACCGTCAAAGGATCACTCAATAGTGGCTTTCCTTGCCCAATGCAGGCTAGAATCAGCAGAGCGCGTCGTTTGCGACCGTGGGGCACTCCCGGAGAAACATTTGAGCTGTTTGGTTTGTCGTGGGTCTGTCGACCCCAAAAATATAACATTTGGGGCACCCTCGTCGTTCGTTGTGCAAATCGCGTCAACCGAGTTGCATCGCGGGTGTGGGGTGGTATCAATCATTTCGAAAAGGGTTGAGACGGGAAGTATTTTGGGGGACCTGCCAGTTCGCGTGGGAGTAAAAGAATGAGCGGAGGTTGAGGGAGGTTGCGTTGCGTCCACCGCCGTCTCTCCATGTCAAAACAAGAGGGGGAAATTGACGGGTAATGAGTAACTGGACTCTTCAAAATTTTCTAGCCCTTCCAGCAACCAACCTCGGCGTGGGGAGAAGCAGACTAGGCCAGTGCTGTGTCTTCATTTACCAAATTTTCACGAAGAGCGAGTAATAATAGTCGTCGTCTTCGTCGTTGCCGTCGACTTTTATCCTATGATCGCGTCGCGGATTCTCCCCTTTCTTTCGAGCCGCTGACCACTAAAGGCGAGATGTAGTGATGCACACGGGGGCTTGTGTAATATAATATGTTCACATCACCATCGTCAGCACCTTCAACTGGTGTTGATGAAACGAGGTGCCCGGATGGCACTGGTGACACCATTCCGCCGATGCCTGCAGTCGCTTATAAGGCTATCGTGATGATTCGTCCCTTCTACGAGCGTTCTCTTGCAGGACACAAGTTGTTATTATAATGTCTCGTCAATCGGTCTATCCACTCAGATATCATCCCGGTTCTCGGGGCACTTCGAGGCTGCAGAACCCGAGGCCAGAGCTGAGGGCGGCTTGGAGACGAAAAGCATTGTTCATATTAACAATATCCGTGAAGATGCCCGCTGGTGGTTGCGACTGGTTGGGACGGCTCTGATTAACATATTCTTGCAGAGAGGGATTGATGGGTCCATTGATCCTTGCATGCGCGTTCTGCACTTGGGGAGAGAAGTACCCCATCTGCAGGTGGCGAAGTATTCCGTACTCTGGTTCTTGCAACAGTTTGATTTTCAATTTGTCAGTTGCCGCAAATTGATTTGACGGTTCGAAGGGAAGGCAAGGGAAGGGGAGAGTAGCCCTGCCCGCACCCCTGTTTAGAGCCCGTACTTGTAACTCCAGAGTAATCTTCCCACAGCCTTTATCCCACATGGGTTCTCGCGCCTTGCACGCAAACGATTGATGGGATGGATCAATGGATCCATCCATCAACCCATGCCTACAGCTTATTATTTTGGAGACCTCGATTATTTGCACGGAGGATCAAATAGAGCTGCCTAATAGCAACCGTCAATCCACGCAAAATAACATTAATTAGGACCTCGAATGAGCCGTCAATGCTAGCAATGCCCGGCCACGTGGAGATGTGAGAGCCAATCTGACTAAACCTGAACGCCATGAATTGAATTTTGAGGAAGATGGGAAGTTGTGAATACCGAATGCATGGAGGCTCTGAAAACTTGTTTTCAGCCGGTGTTCTCGAGGTGCTTTTTCTTTTTTTTTCTCTTTTCTTTTTTCTTCTTCTCTTTCTCCTTCCTAGTTCGAGTCCCGCAGCACTTGCAAAGAAGCCGACTCGCTGCGAGGATTGGCGGTTTTTTTTTTTTTTTTTTTTCCTCTTTTTTTCTGGGTTGGTCTTCTCCCCTCCCCTTGGACCTGTCTGGTGCCTGGCTGGAAGTGCATACCCTAGTGCACTTCTCCGTTGAATTGCGTGCATGCACAGTCGCAGCAACGGAAGAGACATACAGGAACAAGCGCCCTCGTGTCTGCCCAACCATCGATGGCAGCCCGCTTTTGCTCTTCGCCGGGCTCGCCAGGCCAGGGGGTCCAACTGAGTGAATATTCAGTAGTGGTGTTATTAAGATTGAACCTGGATTGATACCAACTGTTAGGTCTTTTTCTTTTCTTCCCCACAACATTGAAGGTAGTCGAGGGAGAGATTAAATATGGATCAATTAACAAAACTTCTTTGGCCTATAACCTGCAGCCTGGCGTTGCTTCGCAGGTTCTCCTGCACTGTTGCTACGCCCGAATAAAAGTTCCGCTTGATCGAGGCCGCGCAAAAGGAAAGAAGAAAAAGCTACGAGGAGGAGAAAGAAGGAAGCAAGCGGGAGAGATTAGTGTACTTCCGGCGGAGACTTGTGATTTTTAGACATGCGGCTTTCGCTGGTCATTGAACAGCAGCTCACAATGAATTGCGATTCTCTTCCACCTTCGTTGACAAACTGCATCACGTCGTGTCAACGCACTGTTTGGCGCAATTGCCTGACAAACAAACGTGGAAAACGCTGGCGCTCAGTTCTCTAACAAGGTTTGGTTATTGTTTAGAGGCGTAAAAAAGTTCATTGTGCATTGATGAAGGAGGTGCAATCAGAGGTACTGCCAAGTTGAGGTACCTATGTAGAAGCCGGATTCGCGTACCTTTTTGGTCCCGCTCCAAATCTGCCGTTGAGACGCTGATTGTGGAAGGGCACTGTTTCTACACGGAGTACAAAGGTACGGGACCCATCCTTCTGCTTCAGGCTTTACCCAAGAAATACGCCTGTCCAGGGGTTCGAGCAGGGGTGGAGGCACCCTCAGCTTGGCAGGTGGCCGTTTCTTTCGGTCACCCGTCCAATCCCCATCCAGCAATCTCCTCACTGTCGATGTGCCCCCCTTCTCAATTCCGCCAAACCCATTTCCCAGTCCTTTTCCCTCCCTCAAATCGAGCATTGTGAAACTCTACCTCGTTTTCACCATCTCACCTTTCCCATCCTCACCAGAGTCCCAATTTTTGGTGAACTTCCAGGAGCAGATCTCGGATAGATTTGCGCTGGTTTTCGCCGTCCACTCCTTTTCATTGATATTGTTTTTCGCTCTCTACTTTCTTCCAGTCCTCTTTATCTAAACTATCGCATCTAGACCCTTTATTCGGAGTCATTGCCTTGGAATTGTTCAAAGGCTCATTATCTTTTTCTCTTTGCAATAGCCAGAATCTCAAGGTAGACACGACCCTTTCCTTCCACCGCCCCGCAAGCCTTAACGCATGGAGACTAAACAGTGCTTCTTCACGCTTTTCTCTGCGTGTATAGATTATAATTTGTGATTGTTTTCGAATCGTCTTTTGTCGCCGTTGTCGTTGATTTTGTCAGAATTTCGTTGGCCGTCTTTTTCCCACCGTTCGAACACGATTCCTCCCGCCGACTCGATCCATTTCGACTTCAAGAGCGCGAATTCGCTCGTACACTTCTACACTCCTCTATGCCTTCGGCCACTTTCGAGTAGCGCAACCGTTTTGTTGCCGCAGCGCGGCTGATTAAAGATGGCGACTACTTGTGAGGCGGCGAGGGTCGTGGAATCTCCATTACCTAGCCCGACCGCCGCCAGCCCACGTCTTCTAACTGTCCCCTCGTTCGACGACCCTGTTACAGCAGCATCCCGGCAATCCTCGCCTCGATCCAACCCTCCTCCGAATCCACACTTTGTTTTTCCAGCCCGCAATCCCTCTTCGGCTCCCTCGTCATTTTCTCGAGCCACTGGTCGCCGTCCCCGCTCAGCAATAGAGACTGGCCGGAAAGATCATGAGTCGAGGGAAGAAAGTGATGGAGGTTCTGGGCCTCACGCACTCCCAGATTTTAGTTTCAATCCTGGCGCGGCGCTCTCACCAGTGGACAACGGTCTCCTTACACCCTTGTCGCCACAATCGCCTCCGCCAATGCCATCTCCTTCCAGGCATGGCCCCAACGGCGGTCACCGTCGTGGAGGGAGCGAGTTTGTCGGGGGTCTATCCGTGGTGGTGACAGCATCATGAATTCGAGCCCGACCCGTCCCGAGTTCGAATTGACTAGCGGGTTCCAACCCCGCCGAACCGACGAGGCCGACATGCCCATCGTCGCTCGGCCGCGCTTTCAAGTCATGACCTGTCCATCATCTTGCAGCCTCCCGCGGTTAACGCAGCGTTACGGGAAGCAGTGCGCCGACTAGTCCTCTTGAATTTACACGCAAGGATATGCCCGCGCTTCCAAGCCCCAACCTTCGGTTGAAGCCCGCCGAGTCCGAGCCTGCTCTCAAGACAGTAGCGGCCTTGGAGACAGCCCCTAAGCCGGACCCGGTGCCCGAACTGCAACCTACGGTAGCGACGGCGCCTCCCAAGGCAGTCCCTCGTGCCCGTGTCGGGTTTTCCGAAACCATCGAGTTTATTCCTCGTCCCCTCTCCCTCATCTCCAGTGACACATCCAGCACCGTGACGGCACGACCGGGTCACTCTGTTTCTGGTAGCATCTCTAGCATCATCTCAAACCCCGCACCAGTGCCGGCGGAGAGGGAGATCAAGCCTCGAACTGAGCTTCCGTTTTCCCGCGACGTGTCAGAATCCCGACCCAGCACCGCCGGGGCTGTCTTGGAGCGCACAACCTCTACACTCGATGTCGAGGGCGTTGACATCTCGCCCCGTAGGCGGAACTCCATCCCAGCCCTACGCCACGTCCCCGACACGGTAGACTCTGCAGAGCCCAGTCCAACCAAGACGCCAAAGCGATGGTCATTTTTCGGCCTGGACCCGCTTGTCAAAGAGACAACTACTCCTGAACAAGTCGCGGAACCGGTGGTGAGCGAGGTCGTTGAAGAGCAGGGCGAGGAAACCATACGGGCGAAGAGGAAAGGAAAGAAGTCGAGGAAGAAGGTCAAGACCTGGGCTGGTGCTATCCTCACACGCAAATCGAAGCCTCGTCCCAAATCCTGCGTCCTCTCAGATCTAACCCCTGCCGCGCGCCAGGATTTAGGTGTTGACGACAACTTGGCTGATCCCCTCACGATTGATGCCGACCTTGTACCCGTCACACCTGAAATTACTCTAACCCCCAACGAGATGCCCACAGTAGCGCTTCCCGCATCCGATTTTGACGAAGAGCCGTCTTATCCCGTCATTGATCTGGATGCGGCTCTCGGCCCATTCAACACCCCTCTCCCCTCAACCCCGAATGGGAAGCGGCGCAAAAGGCGGCAGGCAACACGAAGCGGCGTCTCCACAGTGCCCAGGGCATGAAGGGTTTCAGCGGCCCCGGTATGCACTACCATCGCCGAGCGGAGAGCGCGCCAGAGATGGTACCGTTTGAGGGTGCAAGGTTTGGTCTTCACCGATTTGGGAGTAGCTCCACTATGGCGGATGTCTTTGAAGAGGACGAGGAGGAAGACGAAGACACCAGTAGCAACTCGAGCGAGTCGGTGAGCGACAAGGATACTCCGCCCTCCGCAGTCTCGGATCGCGACGAGTTTCTACCAGGAACTCTCTCGGAACCGCAGCCAGATGCCGAGGTTGAGGTCACGCAACTGTATAGTGTATCGCCGGCGGTCTCGCAGCAGCCTAGCCCCGCGCTCACAGGGTTAGACCCCACGCAGCTGCAATCACAGTCGTCTCGATCGATGCGATCCGAACGCTCGACCACCTCGCTGCAGGATGCGGTGATTCAAGAGGACTTGTCAGGAGTCCATTTTCGCATGGCAAACCTCTTCCAGGGTAACGGCTCCCCCGTCTCCTCTGCCACACCGTCGCCTCGGAGAATCCTGGCCTCGCGTGAGCTTGCGCCCGTGGATATCAGCCCTCTGCAGTTGCCCTCCGTCTGTCACGCACCCATCAGTCCTTACTCGATGAGCCACAGCTCTTCTTTTCCGTCCCCCGTTCGCCAATGTCGATTGATGCGCAGCGCATATCGACCGCGCCGTCTTCTGTAAACGAGGAGACGAGCTTCCAATCGCTACTCATGGGCCAACCCGGACCCGAAGTTCGGATTTCGGTCGACGACATTCCGTCGTTGACATCGAGCAACTCAACAATGACGAAAGAGAGTGCCTATACGCACAACGCCCATGCCATTCCCCCGTCTCATTCCACAGTCAACGCCCCGCATCGGTCTCCTCAGCCGCCTTTGGCCGTCGCCGATCCAGTTTGGCTAGCCTGAGCCGACTCATTAGCAGTTCGCACGGCGAACGGAGCAAGCTTTCCATGGAGGTGGTTTGCGATGAGCCTGACAAAAGGCTAAGGTCAGCAAATCGAAGCGCCTGAGTCGGCTTGTGCAATTTTGGAGGGCAAAGGACGCCGCGGCAAATTAATCGGATGAGTGGGCACGGCGAAGAGAGGGAGAGAGGGCGTTCCCTCCCCCAATCTCACTTGTGAGGGTTTTTTTCTTTTAGCTTCGATGCCCATAACCAGCGTCAAGGGATTTGTTTGGGAGAGGAGGGTCCAGTGACTGCCCATGAATGGGCAGTTGACCTTTACCTGGCAAGCAATCATTTTCACTTTTGTTTGCCATATTTATTGGAGTATTCTTTAATTTCGGCGTTATCACGACTCGGCACGATCAACAACTGGAGGAAACTGAGGGAGGCGAGGAACACCTTTGCCAAGATTATTGACACCCTCAAGTTGGAGATAGCAACGGCTTTTTTGCTTTTACAGGGGAGTCTAGGGCAAGGCGGAGCAGAGATGGCATGTGGGAACAACCAAACCAGTGCGTCTTGTACCAATCTCGAGCGTCTAACCTCGTGTTGGGCTCGCCAATCTTTGTTCATGGATATAGTTTTATCGGAATGTGTACGACAGGAGGAATCAAGGGAATCGTGAAGGAAGAGCTCAGAGAAAGAACAGCGGGGAACTCACTTGTTGGGGATCAGTTATCTACGACATCGGCCCTATCTCGTGTTGTAGCTCAGAAAGAGGTGGGAAACAGACGATTATTACACTGCAACGTAGACAATTATAATGAAAATCAATATTCAATATCTGATTGATCCTTGATCTTGACCAGGTGCTCGACGTCAAACACGGTATACCTAAGTGGTTAGGGGCCTTGGCTTTGATTGACACCAACACCTTTCCGTGCGATCCTTGTTAGCTTTTTTGGTGGACATATATTACTTGTCTCACTGTTGGCTGCAATTATTCTTCCAGCCGCTTAAAGGTGCTGTTCTGAAGTGAGCCAGGACCGCAAGTAATTGATCAAATCGATTTGAGGATCAAGCCGCCGATGTACTTTGAGAGGGGCGCTGGCGCTGGCGGGGTCAATCGGCGAATTGCAGCAAAGGCGGTGAAACTTTTTTTTCCCCTTCTCACAAGCATTTTGCCCATCATTCGTCTCCAGCCAGCCTTTCGGGAAAGAAAATATCAAGACCTACATGACCGCCAATCTTTGACTTATTATTATCGCCTTTTCCGACAGCCAACTTCCCTTCTGACCCTCGATCTTTTTATCTCCAATACTTAGTCTACACCAACGCATTTGTCGAGAAAATGTCTGCTGACCAGGCGGACCCCGCGCCCACCGCGGCTCCCACCAAATCTCTCGGGATGCGCAAGAACGGTAGGATCATAACCTCTCTCCCTTCCCAGGCCATAGCCGATCGGGGTAGAGTGCCGTGGATTTATATGGACAGCCTGTGAACCTGCCAGTACTAACTAAACGCTTGCGCACGCACAATAGGCAAGCAATGGCACGAACCAAAGAAGGCGTTTCGACCCAACTCGGGTCTGACCCCGTACGAGAAGAGAGCGAAGCAGAGGGTGGAGATGGCGGCGGTCAAGGCCAAGGAAAAGGAGATGAAGGACGAGAAGGAAGCTGAACGTCAGGTAAGCGGGGAAAAGCAGCCCACTTCATCCTTTTGGCCAGTCCAGGCGCCCTCGGTCGTAGACCAAGCCTCGCCGGGCGATGGGTTTCGAATCTTCAGTTGCTAACTACCTTTTCTTCTGGGGCAACAGAGGAAGATCCAAGCAATCAAGGATAAGCGGGCGGCCAAGGAAGAAAAGGAGCGGTACGAGACGCTCCAGGCAAAGATGCACAAGAAGAGGGTGGAGAGGCTGAAGAGGAGGGAGAAGAGGAACAAGATGCTCAACTCGTAAGAGCGCTGTCATGTGCTCCTTTTGCCCCTCTTGTCCTTCTTCTGTCTCTCGCGCCGCATCCATTCCATCTTTTTCTCTTGATCCGACTCTTTCATCCACCCGAGAGCCCGCCGGGCTGCCTGAGCCACCGCCCTAGAAGCAAGGGAAATGGCTCTAGGGTGTCTGCGTCTGTTTACGAAATCTCTTCAAATACCAAGGGTCTTTATGTTGTGCCTCCCATGGTTTGTGCCGCTGGGTAGGGGAAGCTTTGGTTGTGCTGGCTGGATGCATTTTTAGCTGGCGTTTGGGAGTTTTATGTCGTCTATTTCGGGTTCCCTTGATACTCTGGCTTAAACAATATGAAGGGACTTTGTGATTTTCTTCATTTTCTTTTTCATCTTCAACCCGTTTTGCAACAAGATATACATGCACTGTTACAAGCCTGGCAATCCAGTAACCATGATTAAACTCGCAATGGGAACACCATATAGCCTCGTAGGCACGTTCAATCGCCCGAAAGACGTCTTGGTCCGCCCGATGCTCGTATCAAGTGTAGAGCTCAACATCACCCACGGGTGTCCCACGCCACCATTTCCTAACCCTTCTTCCCTTCCCCGCCCGAAAGTGAAAGGCTTGACCGTTCAATTACTGCGCCGACCCCACCTCCGTAATCGCGGAATGAAACTCTGGCGAGATAAAGGACGTAGATGACAAGGGAATGCCATCCGCAGACCGCCAGTTGGGCGCACACCCTATTACAGCGAGGGGTGTTCGAAGCCGAGCTGAGATCGATTCGAGATCGCTGCGGCCACATTCCAGGTTAGCAAAGCCATACCATCTTTCACGGATACCAAAGATATGCCATCCTGACCTAGATTCCACAGTGAAAGCGTGAGCAAACGGGTTTGTACTCCTAAATGGTGCGCAAGGTTAAAAGGTCTAGGGGGCGTAAAGGGCTGAAACCACGTAGCCAGGCACGTCATGACTAGTTTATCGGCAACAGAAGGACAGACGTGGAGCCTTCCTATTCTCAGGCTGCTGAGCGGAAAGTAGATCATGTTAAAGAACCCGCCGAGTTGAATTTTTGGCCGCAACAATTGATCTTACGGGCACAGCGATGTATGGCCGATACTAGATGACCAGCTTCCCTCCCTCAGGGCCAACCAGGTTTGGTCTTAATCTGATATCGAGCTTAATTACAATACAAAGCGGACCGCAGCTCCGGTTTTAAGATGTCCGTCTTCTATAGATGCATGATCACTACCTTGACTGAAGAGAATGGATGGGGCGGACTCGTCCGTTCGCAAACGCTCGCCTAGATGTTGCTACAAACAAGCATGGCATGTAATACCCTGGGACGAGCATGGGAAGCCCGAGGTGTTTCATGGGAGGCTCGTACAAGTAGGCCGAGAGCGCCGATGTTGAAGCGCTATGGCGGTGCATACAAGAGTGCTGGCGATCAAATTTAGCTTGCATGTGATAGTCCGTGAAGCTCCAGCCAAACTTCCGATAGTAGTAGAGGGGGCCACCAGCTTCAAGTTGCCTGCCAACTCAGTCAAGTTCTCTGTACATTGTAGACCTATTGTATTCACCCGTAATACAGTTGATCATGGATCCAATTGATCGTTGAAATGACCTCATTCAGCATCAATCATATTAGGCACCTTTAATTGCCCTATAACCTCGGGTCCCATTCTCGGGCTCACAGCTAAATTGAGGCCGGAGGGCTTTGAGTGGGATCGGCTCTCACTGCTTGATCGGACGTCAAGATCCTCATTCCTCTGGCAAGCAGTGATAAAGATAATCGACCTCGACCTTGCTATGTGCGGAATTATGAGGAAACTGAGGGCAACCTAGAGTCCACCACCCGACGCCCGTGCCAGTGCAAGAATGATCGAAGCCACTGGATCGAAGCACTGGACCTTTGGAGTAACTTGAAAGAGAACATCAAGAATGTGAGTGTTGGTAATATTAACACGAGCCTGTAATAATACAGCACGCACAGTGCTCCGAACGCCGCCACACCCATTCGTAGTATTCGTGGTGGTGCCCCACGTTTCTTCGAAGTTGCTCGGCGATTAGCCAATAGACGTGGGGTACGAGCCTCCACTTTCACAGGCAGTATTACGAATCAAACACTTTCGTCAGCACTCGACCTGCAATCCAGCACTCCAGCAGCCCAGCAGCCCAGCAGGCCCAGTGCAGCAAGCGCAGCACCCACCCACACTGGCCCACGCTAGCTGGCCTTGAACCTCGTCTTTCCCCCTTCCAGCTGCCTTGCCTGTGACGCAGATCGGGGGTGGCCAGATGACCACACCCCACGAGAGCAACCCCCAGTCACCATCATGTCTGGCACGAACCCGACCGAGGCGGCTCGCCAGCCCAAGGCAGCGCTCGCCCCGAGCACAACCGATCTTCTCAAACCCCGTCCATCGCCCTTCACCCGCTCCGTCTCTGACCTCCAGCCGGGGACCGGAAAGCTCCTCTCCCCATTACACACGATCGCGACCGACACGAGGGAGAGGGACAAGGACAAGGACAGGGACAAGGATAGGGATAAAGAAAGGGAAAGGGAGAGGGCAAGAGAGAGGGAGAGAGATAAATGGCAACACCAGGATGACAAGCTCACCCCTTTGGCATCTCCATTCCCGTACTCGTCGCGCACCTCTGCCGACCTCCCGTCTGCTGCGAGGTCCGAGTTTTTTCCGCAAACGCTACGCCCGACCCTTGCAGGACTCCTAACCCTGCTATAATAATGGCTCCCAAGTCGGACGAGTCTTCCTCGGCGCCTTTGGGCCAGAGGAAGGTGAGCAACGAGCAAAAGCCTCTGAAAGATTGGCATCAAATGGCGAAAACCGTAACGTATGCACCTAGCCCCTCCCTTTATTTCTTGAGACTCTTATCCGGGGTTAACCTCACCCGCTTCGGGGGTTCGGTATGCTGACGAATCTCCATGCATGATGAAGTGGCTTGAAGCAGTGCATCTTCGACCTTAATGAGACCTCGTCGGGGACGACGCAGAGGCTAGACAAGACGTACTACTCAGTCCTCGAGAAGATTGGTACGCTGCAGAGCACCATACTAGGCCTGAGGGAGCTTGCCACCCAAACGCAAACGACAGCCGAGGTCTTTGACAAGGAGACTGGCGAGGTAGCAAAGGAAGTCCATAACCAACTTGGACAGTTCGGCAATTTCAAGTCACAGGAAAAGCGCATCGAAGCCCTCCGCGCTCGAATCGATGTCAGCCGCGAAAAGATGACTGCGCTCGGTGGGCGCATCGACGTCGTCAAGGACAGGGTCGAGGGCTGGGAGCGCGCGGACAAGGAGTGGCAAGAGCGTACGCGCAAGCGCTTGAAAACTTTCTGGGCTGCCACGTCTATCGGCCTGCTTGTACTGGTGCTTCTCTATCTTGGCGCCCCGTACGTGGTAACTCTATCAGAGCCGCCAGACCCGGTCGGTCTAATCGGCACGTCTGCGGTATGTGGTGCAAGCGAGGGACTGGGTGAGAGGACGAGCGATCTGACGAGCACTACTTCGCCCGCAAAGAGGCCAGAGGTGGACTTGGGCTCCCACAGTCCCCCGGAACAGCGGATGCCCAACCTCACAAGGCGATCTGATGTAGGGGGATAGATGAACGACTCCGGGTTTTCGACGAGCTGTGACAAGGCCTTTAAGATTGAGTTCCCGAGCGGCCTTTCTATGAGCCTTGATGCTCCTGTATCAAAATGCCGTTCCCTATCCTCTTTGTATTACATCCTGTTTTCTTCTCCCATGTTACTTGCCATTTTTCTACACTAGCATTTACACCCAGCATAGAGCGATGACGCCAAGAGATACCAAGACTATTATTTTGCCGCAGTTTAACGCTATTTTCACAGTGTATACGCGTTCCGCATGCATAAAAATGTGGCTGCTGCGGAGGCTGTATCCACCGCTGTCGTCTTGGCGCGCCGAACACGCATTCAAGCCTCGGCGCCCCAGCTCGAGCGCTTGTCCGTCCTGTTTCCAGTGTTCTGATGCGACTAGCGCCTAGAGAGTGGCTTGTGATCTTTGTTCTTCTTCTTCTTCTTCTTTTTTATCTTGAGACGGTCGGGTCATCGTTGTTGCCCCCGGGTTTCCGAGTTTGCTCAGAGCTCACCCTTGTCCCATATCATGTGTGTTCGTCTTGAAGCAACCAGAGGTTTCTGGTCTAATCAATGGATGCTTGTATGCTAGAGTTGGAGGTTCAAGTTTAAGTTGGTACATCCATGCATGCTTGCTCGGCCAACACCAAGTGTCTGCTTCGTTGGGTTGGGTTGGCGGTCTATCCGTCCATCCATCAATCGATGTTCCGCTGGTGAGATTCAAGCTCCTTCGTCGCTGGAACTTGTGTGCAGGAGCCATTAACGACCCCACCGCCGGCGGGTAACCACAGAGCGAAGAAGCGACCCAAGTTCAAACCCTCGGGCTGACCGGGTCTAGCTCATCCAGGGGAGAAGATGGGCCCGCTGTGCCGTGTTCCCGCCAATCCCTCTCACCGCGAGGAGGCAGAAATGTTTCTTGGGTATTATGCGCGTGACCAACGCAGTTACGCCTATCCATCCGTGGATAAGTGACATTATGCAAGTCTACTATTTTCTACCCACGCACCCGAAATACGGTCAAGCATGGAGCGATTTGATCTCCATCCCCTGCGATTTCCCCATCCAACGATCCTGCATTGTGACTCCTCGCAACTGTCTAGGGTTCATTCAGCCCGAGGAAAGACGGGTAGCAACTTTGGACGGGGCGCCTGCTCGCGAGCGGGAACAGCGCAAAGTTCCCATCCCGTTGATATTACGCGAGATCGGGCGGTCTTCTTGTGCTTCGAACGGGGCGGAAAATTCCTGTGGGGCTTGCAGCAACGCAGAGAGACACTCTGTCTCGAGTCTTGACTTGGCACCACTCCCTTCGCAAATGGGCGACGCAGTGGGGTCGACAGAAGGAGGCAGTCATACCAACTTTTAATATCAGCTATTATCAGTGTCGCTGGTAGCGATTCATTGATTGATCCGAGCTCTTGGGCAGGCTGCATGGAAGCCAAGGATCATAGGGGCTATTATTCGCCGAATCTCCATCTCGGCTTGCAACTTTGTATTATTATCGGCGTGGCGCCAGTGACGCCACCTCGGCCCTACCACTCAATTTACGATGTCGTCCATGGGATAGACGGAAGCCACCTCAAGCCAAGCGACGACACCACCCCCGCTAAAAAGACAAAAAAGTGATCACTGCCCAGCCTCAGAAGGCCTCAGAAGAGGCGACAAGGCGGAACCGGGGCCCCACCCTCCTGGACTAGCTCTGAGTTTAGCTGATTTGATCTTCGCCTGCCACGGTCGCTCAGCAAGATTCCGGCGTTGTGTGATTGCGTGGATGGGTCAAGTATGGTGCCTGATCGGCCCCAGCATCAACATCATTGAATGATTTAGACATGGGACATACTTGGGTTCGGCGTGGGATTGATTGCTCTCCTTAAAAAATGGATGGGTCAATCCAATCATTTGAATTCTATACATTGTCGACGTAGCCCTAAGGAAGAGCAGAACAGAACCGGACACTGCCCCTGCCGCAGCAGGGCTAGCGTCACTCATCACTCGTCATCACCCTTCACTCCCTCGATGCGCTTCGTAGTGAGCATTTCCCATCCATGGCTCCTGCCTAAGCCAATCCCGTGTCGTCATTTCCCCACATACGAAGAGTTGTACTTTACGTTTGATACATGTACGCTTGATCACATCAACCTTGCGTTTTTACGCTGGCTGGCTTCGAAGCTTCTCAAGCGAGCAGCCCCAACCTGAGCCTTTCCGATTGGGAAGTCGGGTTTGGTGATGTTCAAACAGTTGAAGAAACAGCCATAGCCTCTAGAGTCCAAGACAAATTGATCCATTCACTTCCTTTCCCATCCCGCCCGCATTCCCGCATTTCATTTGCCCCTGCTTTGCTGCCCACTCGTCTGAACTTATTTCACCTTCATCGTTATTCTATCCGTTTTCTGTCTCTTCCAATAGTACGACCTCTTCCCTCCTCCCCCTCTGCCACCCATAATTTTTCTTCTCTTTTTATCCTTTATTCCTTTTGCTTTTTCTCAATTTCTCCAAGGGACCTTTCATCATTACTTCTCAGGGTGTTCCTCAGCCAAGCCTAGTCACCAGGCCCTGGCGTAGATTATTCGCTTGCCAAGGTTCCCGGCAAGTTTGACAATCCCACTTGATCCATTGTACAAAGGTCCATTCGACGCATCAGCTGCCAAGCCCACTCTTCCTAGTTTCTCGCCCACGGTTATCCTTAAAATATCGATCAGCAGCACCGATCTTCCTCCTCCAAAAGCCCCGCGGATCCGACTCGTTTTGAAAACAAAAGAACAGACAAGCACACGCTGCATTTCCTCTTCAAACCTCAAATCGTGTTGTAGAACAATATTTTTCCCCAAATTCAAGTTCAGAAGCCGTCCCCTCCCTCCTCATCGATGGTATCGCCCCAAGACCAGCGTCTGCCCGACGGCGCGGATCTCGCTGAAGCTGCTGCGACCGACAACGTCATACCCCGCGCGCCGCTCACCCAACCTTCCACCCAAAATGCCATGAGCCCCGACCAGGTCCTCAGCGGCAAACAGGAGCATTGTAAGCGTCAACCCGGATATTTCTCTCGGCTTCTGCTTTCTACCATTGCGATGTGCAATTGCAATGAGGCGGTTTTATCGTGACGCCTGCCTCTCTTTTTCTTCCTTTCCTTTGTGGGGCAAACGTTTGCTCTCTGATCATGTCTCATTCTTTCTCTGTTCCTTCTTCTCATCTTTAATTTTTTACCCCTCCATGTGTCTCTTCAACCATGTGGCACGCAATGCGCATGTGCGTGCTAGCCTATCTCTAACGTCCTCCCTAATCTAGACCTCAAACGAGAGCTCCTCTCGGAGCAAGTCAAGGCCGAAATCTCTGAGCTCAACTCGCCGACCGCATTACGTCGCTTCGGCGCCCCCTTCAAGTCCGAATTTGGCGAAGTGTCCCCCTCGATTCCGAGCTTCCTGTCCTCCGATATATCTTTGTTCACCATGTTCGAGACTTTCCCTTCTTAGACAAGGCGAGAGAGAAGGAGTTTTGGCAGGACAAACTGCAGGTGGTACGTCCAACCTTTGTTCGACGCAGCCCCGACTGGCGGGTTTTAATCAGTTGTAGACTTGGGAGATAAAACTGACTGGCTTTGATTTTACGGGTGTAGTTCCTCGAATCCTTTGCGAATAAGAGCATTTCCTCTTCTGAAGACCGCTTAGAAGAAACCAAGCGGAGAAAGCTAGCTCTCAAAGCCCAGAAATTGGTAGAGCTCATGATGGTCTCAGGTGTTCAAACCTCGTCTGGTTTCGAAGAGCGCATTAGGTTCTCCGAGATTGAGCTGGTTGACAGCAATGCGATTGAAACCGGCGTCATGCATACTCAGCCTGAAGGGAATTACTTTAATGGTTGGGATGTCAATATCGCTGGTGTCCGTATGATTTCTATCAAGCGGAACATCCGGTACCATAAGCATGCTGTAAGTGAAGGCGAAGAACCCTCGAGTAAAGACAAGATAAGCCTTTTCTAACTCTTATTCAACTATAGGAATTCGTGTTGAGGGTCAAGAGGAAGGGTGAAATCGAACACTTTGTTGCAAGGCGTTATGGTGATTTCCACAGGTTGCATCACCGCCTGCGTCTCGAGCTTCCCGGCAAGGTGTTGCCTATCCTGCCCAAGAAAAACAAATCTGACACCACTACTCCGAGTTTCGTCTCACGCCAAACCGACGGGCCCGGATCAGAGGATTCGTCATTGTCATCCTTGTCCTCTCCGCCCACCGGAGTCGGAGTGGCCCCGGCGCAGGCTAACGGGATCGCGGAGGGACCATCCATGACGCTTAGTGTCAGAGGTAAGCGGATGCGCGCATTCCGTCCCAGCCTTATCTCCTGCTTAAACTAGAAACTGATGGGCTCCCAGGTCACCAAAGGAAAACTTCGGGGGCACGTCAATCAGATCACGCCTTTCTACAGATGGGCGACCAAAGACGCCCCTCCCCAAAGACAAGTCAGATGTGCGAATTCCCCGCTCAAACCGCTGCACACGCATTTCTTGTCTCAAGTGGCTAACTAAATATAGCAGTCGGTGACGCTTTTCCGTGAGACCCAAAGGGTTTCTTTGAGAGCGTACTTGAGATCGCTCCTCCAGAGCCCCCAGATCGCCCAGACAAACGCTATTGAAGAGTTCCTGACTGGGGAGAGGATTCAGCTGAAGGACGAGGATGTTGACGACATCATGCGCCGTAAGGCCCTTGATGAGCGCCGCGTTGAGGAACAGAAGCAATTCTATGAGATTGCGCGGAAGCGCGCGGCTGACCTAGATGTCTACATGGAGCAGTGAGTCCTTTCCTACCCTCTCTTCTCCCCTCTCTTTTCTTTTTTTCTCTTGGGACTCGTTGGTAGCTGACTTATATCCGTTATAGATTCCGGCGTGATATTGTTGAGAGGAATGGTCTCACGAAACTGTTTGAGGAAATCAGGATCAAAAGACGATACCGGAGCTCAGCATACAATACCGAAAGTTCGCCGAGTGGCTCCGAATCGAGGTCGCAGCCACCATTTACCATCTATTCCTTGCCGAAGACAACTCACCGGAGCTCTTCTCTCAGCTCAAGCGCATCCACTCTCTTATCCCGTACTCCGTTATCAAAAATGTTATCCGAATCGCCAACCCTGCCGCTGTCATGTCCGGCATCCTTGACATCTTCCTTGCCCAGCCCTTCGGCACTCGCTCGTTGATGCAGCGCATCTTTTCTCTAACCCTCAACGACGGCATTCGCGCTGTCCAAAAGTCCATAGATGCTCTCGCAGGAGGATCGACGACCAGGTCTTGGTAGACAAGATCATCCAATTTGTTGAGGCGCCGGAAGGTGTCAAGTACGAAATTAGACAAGATGCTGAGAGGTTGGGAGTGGACAATATTGTGGCCATCATGCAGTCTGATGCAATCGCTCCCGAAATCACTCCAGCGCAAACGGAGCGCATCTTCAATGCTTATGTTGCTTTCAATAGCGCGGTGGAGAACATTGATCAAGAGCTCAAGCAAGGCGCACAACTCTTCTCGTACTTGAAGCAACTCTTGAAACTCAGCACACGACAGCGAGACAAGCTCATGATGTTGCATCTCATCGAGGAGCCCGTGACTCTCCAACTCTTCCGGGACCTCTTCACTATTTTCTACGAGCCGCTTGTGCGGGTGTACAAATCGGCAAATGTGTACAACAGTGTTACGGATTTTGCCATGTTCCTTGACGACGTGATCCAGGTACGAACATCCGATCGATTGTGTCCCCTTCTGGAAGGATGGGCTGTGAATGATGAAGTAAATGGCTAATCTCGTTTTAATTGTAGGTTGTTGAAAAGTTCCATGAGCAGGATGCCTCCGCAGACCCCAACCAGACGGTGCAGGCTTTCATCGACCTGTGCGCGAGGCACGAGCACAATTTTTACAAGTTCGTGCACGAGGTGCATACGCACGACGACGGCCTCTTTACGCAGCTCATGGGTTGGATCGAGGATATTCTCAACTTTTGCGCCAGGGCCCCAAGAACGGCACGCTTAACATCAATGCCTTGTACGAGGGTGCCGTCAGCAGTAACCTGGTGGACAAGCAAATGGTAGTTGACGAAGTGAACGAGCTAATCAAGTGGCAAGAGGCGCGAAAGAAGTGGCACCATGACAAGACGCGGCAGAAAATGGCAGCGGAACCAGCTACGGGACTGGAGGCCATTGTGTCCAGCTTCAGCTCGTCAGACTTTGGACTGGATCAGGATGATTTGGACGACTTTGCTTATGATGACGAGGAGGAAGACGATACCGAGTCCGAGGCCGAGGAAGATGACGAATTAGATCCGATTGAGGCCGAGAGGAGGCGCCGGGCCAAGAGGAGGGATCGGCTTCGACGTCGAGCAGGTGAACCGGCGAAGCCGCCGATCACTGAGATTCACAAGTTGAAGGAAAACTTCATCGTCATGCTACGACAGGTGCTCGCGGAGTAACCGATAGTGGCCGCAGCGTTGGGCTTCTGCTCTTTTGGGTTTGACTCACAAGCGACGTATGAACCTCTACGAAGCCAACTTTTCTTAACTCTGTTGGGTTTTAGGAGCAAATGGTTATTACTATGGCATGCAAGAAAAGTTGGAAGCCGCTCAATCGGCTGGGGGTTGGGGGTTTTGTTTTGGTCCCTTTGTTCCATGTCACGCCTTTCATGATATCCTTTCCCAAAGCAATGACTCTGGGTTGCTAGCAAATGGGGTTTTCTGGCGAAGACGGCGGTGTTGGGTAAAGAAGAGAAGAGATTAAGATAGACACATGCTAGAACGGACCGGCAGGTGATATTGAGAGAGCGATTGATACGAAGTAATTACCAATTACAATTATTGCTTAGAATTCTTTGGCCGAGGGGCCGTTTTAATGCGTTGACACATTCCCTAAACAATATTCAAAGATGCTTGGAGCCAAGTATAATTATCTTCTGTTCTCATGTCTAATATTGTTCTGCTCTCCAGTGTCTCGGACTCTCGAGTGTACGACACTGTCGTGGTGGACGTGGTGGAGAGGTACTTGGTACACTCATAACAATCTACGTGTGTCGTCACAATCAAATCAATGGTTCTATGGGTCTAGGCTCCTCACGCATGCTCGTGCTTGTGTGCGTCATGGAGATGACTAAGCAAGGGCAGCCATTGTCTCTGCTCATACTGGGAGAATTTTCCGTTATTGTCAGCGGAAACGGGCATTGCAGGGGAAGCGACAGCCAGCCAGCTCCCACTGTTTGGCCGAGCACGGGTAACTCCGACAAGTCCTCTTCCTCGGCAAACCAAGCGCAGGCCCAACCAATCACGGCAGGTTGAATTGAATTATTTCTTCTTCGGCTGCCATGTAACTTGTCAGGAGCTCCCCGCCTGAGGCTAATCAATTAAATCGTCCCAAGTCCTTGCTTTCTAAACCTCTTCTTCGAACCTGTTCCTTTTTCTGAACACAAAATCCAACCCTCAGAAATCGATTCTCCGTGGTGGAATGATCTTGCCGGTCAAGAGCCTCGAGACTCGCGTGCTTCCTGCAATCCTGCCATAATTGCCTCCTGTGTTGCGCGACTTTCCGGGCCCTTTCCGTCCTTCGAAGACAACGTGCTGCCCACCTCCCGCGCCCTCTTGCCGAACCCCGGGGCCACCAACGTAACCCGACGATAACAATTCCGCCAGCTGTCCCTTGGACTTGCTTGAGAACTCTGCAATCGCAACAGCAACCATGTCTACAGTGAACCTTGCCCGATTGGCGAGGTCGTCCATGCCTCTGCGGAGGCTGGCGCGAAACCCGGTGCCCTTTGGCGCGAGACCCTTCTCCAACACCCGCGCGGCCGGTAATTCCTCCCCTCCTCCCTCCAACCCTGTCCTACTTAGACCAATGCCTATCGAAATGGCGTCGTCGCGTCCCTATGCTAACGTCAATTGATTGTCCCAGGCTTCGTCCTTGCTTCAGACACTCTCCGTGCCCAAGAAGCCTCTCCTCACCTCACCAAAAAGTACCAGGTCATTGTATGTGCCCACTCTCATTTTTTCCCTCTTTTCCTCCCCGTCCCATCCTAGCCGAGGATGTGTAAAAAGTCTTTTGGGGTCTAGTGACGACGGCTTCTTCTCATCCAAACATTCTTCACGTCCTCAATGACCGTTAGCTAATGCTTTAATCTCTTTAGGACCACGAGTATGATGCCCTCGTCGTCGGTGGTGGTGGTGCCGGTCTTCGAGCTGCGGTCGGTCTTGCTGAGGAGGGATTTAACACCGCTTGTCTTACCAAGCTTTTCCCTACCCGTAGCCACACTGCCGCCGCCCAGGGAGGTATCAATGCCGCCCTCGGTAACCAGCATGAGGACGACTGGAGATGGCACATGTACGATACCGTCAAGGGTTCCGATTGGCTTGGCGACCAGGACGCTATCCACTACATGACCAAGGAGGCTCCCGCTGCCATCATTGAGCTCGAGCACTACGGATGCCCCTTTTCCCGTGATGAGCATGGCAAGATGTACGTTTTTCTCTCTTGTTTTCCCCTCCCCGAACCGCGTTGGGGGCTCGGATCATGGTGCTAACGTGGGCTCTCGCATATAGTTACCAGCGTGCCTTTGGCGGTCAATCCCAGAAGTACGGCAAGGGCGGCCAAGCCTACCGAACCTGCGCCGCTGCCGATCGAACTGGCAAGGCCCTTCTTGATACCCTCTTCGGCAAGAGCTTGCAGTTCGAGAACATGAAGTACTTCATTGAGTACTTCGCCCTCGATCTCCTCATGGAAGATGGCGAGTGCCGCGGTGTTCTTGCCTACTGCCTCGAGGACGGCACTCTGCACAGGTTCCGATCCAACCATACCGTTCTCGCCACTGGCGGTTACGGCCGAACCTACTTCAGCTGCACCTCCGCCCACTCCTGTACCGGTGACGGCATGGCCATGGTTGCCCGTGCCGGTCTCCCCAACCAGGATATGGAGTTCGTCCAGTTCCACCCCACTGGTATCTATGGTCCTGGTCTCCTCATCACCGAGGGCTCTCGTGGTGAGGGTGGTTACCTCCTCAACTCCGAGGGTGAGCGATTCATGGAACGTTATGCCCCTACCGCCAAGGATCTTGCCTCTCGTGACGTCGTGTCCCGATCCATGACGATGGAGATTCGCGAGGGCCGTGGTGTTGGTCCCGAGAAGGATCACATCTACCTCCAGCTCAGCCATCTCCCTCCCGAGATTCTCGCTGCCCGTCTCCCTGGTATCTCTGAAACGGCTAGGCATTTCAAGGGTGTCGATGTCCGCAAGGAACCCATTCCCGTCATTCCCACCGTTCACTACAACATGGGTGGTATCCCTACTCGATACACTGGCGAGGTCATCACCATCGATGCCCAGGGCAACGACAAGATTGTCCCTGGTCTCTACGCCTGCGGTGAGGCTGCCTGCGTGTCTGTCCACGGCGCCAACCGCCTCGGTGCCAACTCCCTTCTCGATCTCGTCGTCTTTGGTCGCTCAGTCGCCCACACTATCCGAGACAAGGCCACCCCTGGCGAGGCCCTCAAGCCCATCGCCGCCGATACCGGTTCCAAGCAGATCGAGGACCTTGACCAGATCAGGACCTCGGAAGGCCACCGCCCCACCGCCGATATCCGCCGGTCCATGCAGAAGGCCATGCAGGCTGATGTCAGCGTCTTCAGGACTGAGGAGAGCTTGGCGGATGGTGTCGAGAAGCTTAACAAGATTGACAAGCTCTACCACGAGATCGGCATCAGCGATCGTGGCATGATCTGGAACACTGATCTCACCGAGGCTCTTGAGCTCCGTAACCTCTTGACCTGCGCGTATGTTCTTACCCCTTTTTCCCTTCATCCAGCTCCCCTTTCCCTCACTATGGATCCCGAAACACAACCCACCTATGAACATTGCTAACTCAGTCTATGACATTCTCTAGTGTCCAAACCGTCGAGTCTGCCCTCGCGAGGAAGGAATCCCGTGGTGCTCATGCCCGCGAGGACTTCCCCGACCGTAACGATGAGGTTTGGATGAAGCACACCCTCAGCTTCCAGAAGACCCCCACACCCCCGTCGAGCTCAAGTACCGCAACGTCATTGCCAACACCCTCGACGAGAACGACTGCAAGCCCGTTCCTCCTTTCAAGCGTGTATACTAAATAGACCTAAAAGAAAACTCGGAGCCGAGGCATGTGGGTGAGGGCCGATGGTGATGCGAGTGGCTGGCATTTCCGGCTAACAACAACAAAAGTATCTGGGAAACTCTGGAGGTGAAGGGGCGCTCATCAACACATTATTGGGGTGTTTGTCGACTTTTTTTCTCTTTCCTTATTGAAACCATATGATAACTTGTCATCCTTCTTTTACTATGTTAGACTTGGGAACGGAGCCGACAACGGAGGGGAGGGAGCCGGATCGAGTGCCGGATGAGAAAGGCAAGACGTGGTTTGGAGGGGCGGCAGGAAGGAGCATCCAACATTTTCTGTATAAAACAAATCCCGTAATGACAAGATAGGGATAAATTTGAATTTGCATTTACCATATCTTGTCACCACGGAATATGTCTTTTCCTTTATTCTTTGGCTCTTTTTTTCTTTTTACTTGCTCATTCTTCACTATATAGTTGTAGACCATATCCATATATAGACCGCAATCTACCCTGGCTTAGTGATAGCATCCATCATATTCGTGACCCAAGGGAGATGTCTGATATTAGATTCTAGTCAGCGGCCAAGCGACCCCCATTGCTTCGCAATCATGGGGGATGGGCCTAGATCCCGTATATTACCGTCCCTTATACTCTATCGCCCTTTCCCCGAAACCCCATGGGTGCTCCAAGTAGATCTTGTACATCTAGAAACGGATAGGAGATTTAGGAATGTCGCAAAAGATGACACGAGAGGAAAATCGATTCTTTGAAACACGAGGCTAATGGTAGGGTATATGAAATGACTATAAAACAAAATCGTCCTTGCAAAATAATTTCCAACGCACACAACATAGATGCCTCTCCAGTCTCCAAGCACTTGTCCACCGCACGCCCTCCCACCAAGTTCATATGTTTTGGTACATCTCTAGTAGGAGGCCCCTCGTGCTCGCGCGGGCCTCCCGCTGCTCGCGGACGGAGTTTTCCAGATCCCGCAACTTCGCCTGCAGCCGGGCGATCCTCTCATCCCTGTCTTCTACCGCGGCCTGGGCCAACCTCTTTTCGGTCCTCGCCGAGGCTATCCTCATGGCGAATCTATCGAATGTGGATCGCACGGCGTTGCAAACTGCGGGAGGTGAGTTGTGAGTCTTGAGCAGGGCCATGATGCCGGTGATCTCGGCTTCCTCGGGGCCCAGGATGTCCTGGTCGCCGGGCGCCGCTGGGTCTTGACCACGGTTGAGGTGAGGGGCGGACTGCAGTCGAGAGCTCGACGCCGCATAGGGAGATGGCTGGATCCTTTGGCGCTTGGCTGCGAGTGAGCCGGGGACGGGGCCGGGGACGGGGACGGGAGGCGGGGCGGCCATCTTTTGATTCGTCACCGGTGTAGAGAGGCCATCGACGGTGAGGGTTCGAGCGACGGCAGGGCTAGATAGCGGATCCAGGGGTCCAGCAGAGCCGTTGGTGGGTTTGACGGCGCTATCGGCAAGGGCGAAGAACTCCCTCTCTTCGTCGGATGAAAATTCTTGCCACTCTGGCTCCTGGTCTAGATCCTCTTCCCGTCTCCTCTTGCTCCGAGACGGGGTAACGACGGAAGCCGCTAGGTTTGCCGGGGTGATGGGCATGGCGGGGTCCGCGGTGCGGGGTGGGGGTGTGGATGGTCTTGGTCTTGCTGGTCGTTGCTCGAGCAATATACCCGCAGGGACCGCGAATATCCCGTCGTTGGCGTCGTCGTCTTCTGGCTCGAGCTTGATCGGGGTGACAAGCGGAAAGGGAACGGTCGTGAGGTCGCCCTCGGCGCGGTTGCGGGGTCTCCGCGTTGGGGTGTCTGGCTCTTCCTGGGACGAGGGCTGGCTTGCGGGCCGGACCTCTAGATACTTGCGAATACTCTCCTGATTTCTCTTCCTTGTAGACATGGGATCGGGATCCCCGTTGACGCCGTAGTTCTCGCGAAGTTCCTCCGCCTCGTCGAGCCAGAGGAAGAACCCGCAACCTTGATCTTTACCCAAACGACAAGAGTGAAAGCAGCGATCGCGGTTCACGTTATCTTGCCTAGACCGACGCACAACAGCTTTTATGCGCGGTTTGCAATTGCCTACTCGCGGATGCTTGCGTTAGCTCGATAGTTTTCAGGCGTTTTCGTTCTTTCCTCTTCCTTGGTTGGCAGGATGGGCACCAGTAGTAGCCCGGAGCAGCCACGCGCGGCTCTGAGGCTAAGACTAGAGCCCGCAGAGAGTTATGTGGGTCGAAAGCGGGATGAAAGTGTGTGTTCACGGGTGGGTCAGTGGGTGAGGTGGCGGAGGAGCAACATACAATACCACGAATTGTTCTCGAAGTTACCGTACCTCGCAGTTGACTTCTTCGGGCTGGGCGTCGAAGGTGGTGACTGGCCTGGCTGGGGAGCTTGCGTCGTGGGGTTCGGGGACGTGGGCCTCTGGTCTGTTTCCGCGGGTTTTTCGGTCGGCGTGGTTTGACTTATAAGTCCCGGGCGGTTCCGTCGTGGGAACATTTGTCTCGGGAAGTTGGCAAGGGAGGAGAGCAAAGCGCGAGAAAAGAGAAAAAGAAAAAAAGGAACTGGCGCCGTTGTGCTCGGCGAGGGCTTTTTCACATTGAGGATGGTTGGTTGCAGTTGCGGGAGGTCAGAACTTTAATAAGAGGCAGCTCCTCGAGGAAGGTACGATTGGGGAACGTCTCCCACACTTTATGAATGATGATGAAGGGCCAAGAAAGGTATAATTTGCTTTCCTTTCATCCCTTTGGCTCCTCGCCCTTCGGGATCTGGGCGTGTCGGGCGGGGTATCCTGCAGCTGGCCTGCTGGTCGACATGAAGTGATCCAGACAAGGGTGCGCGGGCTGAGCCCAGAGTGTAAATGGTTACAATATCACACAGACTTGCAGATGAGAGACCCCGATCATGATGAGGCCGTGCCAGCGCGAGCTGCTAAAGTGTAGAAACAGCCCAGCCTTTGCTTTTACTTGCATATACTTTTAAATGGCCGTGGCCAGCCCTCAAGCCGCTGGTGGTGCGGCAGCTTCCCGTCGGATGAGGGGCTGCAGTTTGGGTTGAGGCTGGGGCTGGGGCTGGAGGTTGGGCGGGTAAGGAGGGGTTAGAAGGCTGTGTGGCCCAACATCCTTGCTTCCCCCAGTCTGGGCTGTTTGGTGATCGAACCAACGAGGGTTGGAGATGGAAGTGGAACTAGCCCCCCTTGCCCTTGCAGCCCTCACCAAGAAAGCGGTTGCCATGCGCACCGGGCGGCAACGGAGCTCGTTGATGCGATCGATGATAATTGTGGCTTGGGGTGCGACATGAATTCTCACACTGAGGGCGGAATTTTCCCTTTTTAATATGTACATGTAGGCGGTGATGTTGATGATACCATCGAACCTCAATGTTCTTGGGGTTTGGTTCGGGACGACCCAAGCTCACCCCTGGCTTCGTCGGGAGTGGGAGGGAGCCAGCATGAGGCGAAAATCAAGAAGAGCAACGTTAATTAACGAACCATCCGCGGTCCAGGCACGCGACAATCCGGAGCCGCAAACCAGGTTTCCCGCAGATCTTGTTCCGCTGAAACCCTCCCAGGCCCATCGCACAGCGGGAAATCGCTGATGGACCCCCTGTTCGGACAGGACGACTTGAGGAGGATCAACCTTCGGGGTGACACTATCTCATCTCTCATCGCGAATGAGAGCAGGGCTACCCACACGCCTGATGGAAGTACACGTAATGCGTGGGTGATCGTGGGCCTGGCTCGGAGTTTGTTCTTTTCTTGTTTCATCATTCCACTACTCAAACTCGGCTGGCATTATCCACCGGGCGGAATCGAGGCTGGCTCCATGTCGCTCTCGACGCGCTCGAGTCCCGTCTCCCATCCGCATTCAAGAGAATATCCTGCGAGGACTCCCCTTTCGAAAACAGATAGCCAAATGATCCTGCATCAAGAGGTGGGAAGACTTTGGATTAACTGCACTCTTATCAATGCTAAAGCGCGAGTAAATCCACTTTTCCCGTGGCTTAGGGACGAGGTCGTTTCCACCCTTCTCTTTTTCTCCCAATTTCTCCAATAATGCCTCTGTGCTGTTGGCAGCCCGCTGCGTCATCGGATCCATCTCGCAGTACATGTACATGAGTTGACAAAATTGGGTGGGATCGCTGCTTCCTTCTCCCGCTCTCTCTCTCTTCTCTCTCTCCCGAACAAACACACATTTCCAGTCTGGATCCATCCATCCATTGATGGATCTATGTGCGCACATGCACACACACATGTGCACACATACGGGCATATAATTGCGCACACAAGACAAATAGACCGGACAGCAAGACACCCTCATTAAAGAAGACGAAACCGGTCCCAGTGTTGAAAGGGCCGCCCATCACATGGAAACCTGTGACTGAGCATTACAAAGACTTGTTCTTAATTTATCGCTCCCTGGAAGCTTCGAACCACTGGAAGTGGGGCGCCGGGGTCAGCAATCGAATGAATGTTCCTTCGGGTTCGAAGACTCGTTGCTTCCTAGCATTGAGGGTCTCGCCACCGTGTTTCCTACCTTGTGGTGGGTTTACATGGGGCCTTTACTGGCAATCGTATTAAAAAGTTCAGAACCTTGATTCTGTGTCCTTCGATCGTTGTATTTCACGATCGCTTGGATTGCTGGCCAAATTTGGCCCTCTCGGGTACATACAAGTAATGGAGCTATTGATTGTATGGACGTATCGATTGTTCTATTCTTAGAGGTTCAAGGAACTGGCGTCCCCGTAAAGGGTCAGCCCTCTGGCCACACACACACACACACACACGACGTGATAACACATCCATTGGATCTGTGTACATTAAAAAAATTGGGTGCCTGACCAAAACCAAACTTCTGCCGCATCGTGGAGAAGATGTTTCCGGCATCCTAACCAAAGGTGAAAAAGAAAAGAAGAGTAATGGACTCGCCGTTTGTCAACACTGGCTAGTGTCTGCCGTCTGACTAGGATCGACAGGGACAGACAAGCCGTCCTCGACTGACAAGACATTTCTTTGGAGCAGTCAGCTAGCTCTGTCATGCTCACGCTCACGGCTGGAAGTAGAAATAAATCCAGCGACAACGGGACCTAACGACTCCAACTGGTGGCGCTAGCCCTGCGCGGCTCTTTCTCCGTTTGGCGCTAAGAACCAAGGGTCCAATTCGGGGAAGGGGCTAACTACATGGCCTCTAACAGAAAACATCAATGGTAATACAATATTGGTAACATTGACAATCCTTCTATTAAGTCAGGGGCCAAGTCTGACTTGGGTGTTCTCTTTGAAGCCAAGTTTCGATGTATCGTGGGCCGTCACTATCTACGTGCGTGCCTTTGCGGAAAGAGTGTAGCAGACTTTTCATCTTGAGCCCGTTAAGAAGAGTCACATATACCTCAGTACATGCACCTACGACGGATGGATCTGATCTAAGGATTGCCGCGCTTTGGGGTATTGTATTCTCGTTGGTGGTTGGGGATGACGGGGCAGCAGCGCGCGGTGTCCAAGAGGGCTAGCTGAAATCAACCATGATCCTGCCATTCTCGTCATGTGGATCGACAGAGTCAGCAAGGGCTCCCCGTTTCGTATTTTTCGAGATGACTTGGAACAGCCTCTCTCCTCTTTCGTCTGGTTCGTGCCCAAGCGACTGGGTGAGAGCCCAGTGATTTCCAGGCTTTCGGCCAGGCCCATAGAATCGCTGTCGCCTCGAGAGACGTCCAAATTTCTATGGTTGTAGGAGGGCGTGGGCATATGCTGCTCAAGTGATTGATTCAAGCCTGGAAACCTTTCGCCTTCATCAGGAGCCATTAATCCTCCGAGAATGAGATCCCTTGCAGGAGAACTCTACTTGTAGGCAGTAGGCTAGCCTGCATTGAAGAAAGACTAGGTAACGGGGTATTTCCCATCGAGCCCCTCGCTCTCTCCCACGATTCCTGCTCGTCAATACGACGTCCATCATTTTATACATTGATGTACAGCTAAGCGGCTGGACTTTCTAACCATCTCGGAGACCTTGCTTGTATCACCAGCAGGACGAAAACAAGGTGCTTTCTTTTTCTCTCTTTTCTTTCTTTTCTTTCTTCTTTCTCACTTTGTTTTTGGAGCTAGGACAAGAATGCCGAAGACGGAAGCTACATGTAAGGTTCTCGAATCATGGTGAGACTATAATAAGAATATTGAGCACCTGGAAGACAGGGATTTAAAACGTCTCCGACGTTAATGTGGGTAGAGCTACCCGTTGCACGCCTTGCACACCTCGCACACCTTGCACACCGTTCGTGTGTCTTGCGCTCTCGGGGATCAAGTGCTAGGAGTCTTGTGCTCCGTCCGGCCCGCTGCTCTCGACGTTGGAGAGATTCAGCTTGGCTGGCGGGTGGAAGAGTGGTCCCTCTCGGTTGAGGGGACACGACGGCCTGTTGTGCTTGGGCAATACCGGCAACTCATACACAAAGAGGGTCCAGTCGCTGCACCCTCCCATCAAGTTCCCGATTAACCTGTCGTTTCGTTCTCCTCTTTTTCCCTCTGATTGTTTCCGGTTCGAGGCGGCGCCACTCGCCCTTCCTGCTCAGAACATTGAACCAAACCCACACGCCCACACACTCGCAGGCACCCAACCCACACCCTCCAGGATTTCGAGAGGACAGTAGCTCCTTGTGGCCAAAGATCCGTCAAACCAAGCGTCAACCAGGAGCGAGCGCCACACTTAAGAGTCCCGAGTGAGGCAAGCAGCTAGCAACACGAGCTGGGCCTGCGCATTGTAACCATTTCCACTTGCATGGCTGACGCCCAGAAGGCTCTCGTACAATTTATTGATCTGACGACACCACACGACACGAACCCACGCACCCACGCACCCACGCACCCCGCTGTGTTCAGTACCACACGCCACACCATCCCCGCACCACCGCCCCCAGTCGCAACTACGACACCACGGATAGACCCCCCCATTGATCCGTCCATCAATCCCTCAAACAATCTCCCACCCACCCCTACGTTTCCACCTCGAGTCTCTTTTTTGAACCCTAAACGTATTACCTGCCCATTCCTTCTTCTTGAATTGATCCCGTCTATTACCTATCTTCTGGGCTAGCCTGCTCACTGCCCACTACTCACTACTCGCTGCCTTGTCTTCCCCTCGTTCCTTCCTGCTTTCTTTTGTGTCTTTGCTGCCTTCCTTTTCTCACTTTACTTTCTCTTTGGTGAGTTGCTTGCTGGGCCTTTGCTTGACGTATCCATCGGGGAGAAACCCTGCTGCCCATGTCTCCCACATGCCGTGCCACGCCCACGCTTTTCTCGTCACTGCTAACAACCTCTTGCCCCCTCGCGTTTGGACGATTTAGGAATGCGCGCACATGACGTCTCGTCTCTACAGTAAACCTTGACCAAACCACCACCGCCGCCCACCACAGCACCCCACCCAGCATGGAGAATGATTCCTCTAGGCGCAATCGCCTAATGAAGAAGTTCTTCCATGGGAAAGACAAACAGCCCGACGGTACCCAGCAGACCGACCTGAACGATTTCCTCCACACCTCGTCCTCCGACACCCTCGACGTCACCCACCCCGTCCCTCCTCCGCCGGCCGCCGCCAGTCGGGCCCTCCCCAAGCTCAATATTTCGAATGCCTCTCGTTATCCGCAGGCACTGACATTGGACCAGCCGAACCAAAACCTCCCCATACGGCCGCCTCCCCATAGCCCGGGTCTCATCCCCCGTCGACCCGTACCGAATAGAAAGGGCCAGCTCGTGCGCTTCGTCGACTCTAGGCCCGATGTTATTGGTATCGGCGGCGACGAGTGGCCCGAGCCCACCATTGAGATATCTCGCCAAAAGGCCAAGAGAGATGTTGCGCCCCCGGCCCCTCCATCTCCACGTAATCCCGCCCGGTTAGCTCAGTCGCAATCTGACATCACCAACAATGGCAACCGGCTTCTCGACGGGCGACTTGGCACGCCCCTACACAGCATCTACAGCCCGGCTCGCCGCGGCCGCCCCCGCCCCCACGACTGATTCGCGTAATACCATCACCCCGGCAACTCATCTACTTCTAGGTTCCTCGATACGTCTATGCCTAAGGACGAGAGGAGGAGATCTTTTATTGAGATTCAACAGGCCGAGATGAGGCAGGCCGAGGGGCGGGCCTTTGCCGAAGCTGCAAGATCCGCGGGCTCTGCCGCGAACGACGGGGAATGGGACGAGTCGTCTACTGCCGATGAACACAGCCCGCAGCAACGATACGAGTCTCCCCGGTTCCGAAATGCCCAGCCCGTCATCGATACCAACCGAGGACAGCACCCGCCCCGCCCCCGCATGCTAATGCGCAGAGCCCCGTGTCTCTTGACTCTGCAACGTCCAGCGTGTACAGCCAGCAATCGTCAGCGCCGGGCATGGCCTCGCGCCAGGGTAGCCTCATTACCCCCATGGTGGCTACCGCGCCCCCGATCTCGCCAAATGTGTTTTCCCTTTCTCGACAGGGCAGCCTGGCTAGCTACCCAGACCCCTTTGGTAGTGCGTCCCGCTCCCAGTCCCTTAGGATGCATGACGTGGTGCAAGCCGCATCGGATGATGCGCTCAACATCTTTGTCGACCGCGTCAGACATTTATTCGAACTTTTCCGGCTTCATGCCGAGGCAGTGCGGCCTATCCTCTCCTCAGTCCCTGACCAATTCGCACGGGCCTCACTATGGTGGTTTATCAAGGGAAGGATGGGTTTAGAAATGTTTATTCGCAGCCGAGACAGTTCCCAACAGTCCCAGATGCAACTTGAGATGGATCGTCAGCAAGCCTATGCGAACCTTGCCAAGGGGTATTGGATATTTGAGGTAGCGACTCCCGAGCTCCTGGAATCCCGGGGCTTGCAGCTGGGCATGGAAGAGGAGGAAGCCCGACAAGGGCTACTATCCAGCCTCAGGAAGCTCGCTGTTTCGATGAAGAGGAACAACCTGCTACCACCAGAGGAGGCGTTTCTCCCCAGACAATCGACAAGTCCATCTGGATTGAGTACCCGCCGCTTAGCCAGGATGTCATTGCTCTCCTGACTGGCGCCGCAGGTTCAGGGATGACGATGACACAGCGCGTCGGCCCGAACATGACCATCCTCGAGTCTCTCCCTCTCGGCGACGTAGGCGAGTACTTCAACTACAGTCGCATCGCTGTTGATGTGTATTTAATGGAACAGGGCATGGAATCGCAGCGCGTGACGCTGCCCTGCCTTCTTTCTACTGTGAGGCCGCAAAGCCAATCTAGTCTCTCCTTTCTCTTGTCGAGTCAGAGCGGCCAGGTTCAGCTTAGGATTCAAGGAAACAAGAACCTGGGTCCCACATGGGAAGATGTACGTTGGGTCCCGGAGGCCAACGTTCTCGACGTTCGGTTGCCGCGCGGGTTTAAGCTCGATATCCATTGCTCGCGACAAGACTTCTCCATGCTATGGAGCATGTACGACTTTGGGCGAAAAGTCCAGTCAACGCTATACCCGCGCTCTGATGAGCTTGTCACATTCCGGTCGACTCTTCCTGCCTTTGAGTACCTGGATGCTGACCCGCAATCCCGCGCTTTCCCCAAAGATGCGCAGACAAACTGCGAGGTCGCCCTCTTTGAAAAAATCTACAAGGAGTCCGTCGCTGGGGGCACGCGGAGCCTACACCGTGGGTGCCGTCTCGCCGTCGTCACGGGGCCGAAGACGAGGACGTTGAGCGGCGTAAACCACGCATACATCCCATCTCAACCGGTCCAGTTTACCTTCTTGCGCGGTAGCAGCGGCTTGCCGGCGCTCCACTTACGTTTTGACAATGGGAGGCAGAAAGGCCACATGGTGCTTTCATTCCGGGACGAAAAAGAGCGCTTGGAGTTCCACCTCCTCTTTACGGGGGCTCGCGTCGCAAACGACGAGCTTGTCGTCTGCAAGGTACCGCTGGCCGGATTCAAGATCACGCAGAGGTTGGGCGACACAGAGAGTCTAGCTGGCTTGGACACTTTCCCGTGGGCCGCGGTCAAGCTCATCAACGACGAGAACGAGGGAGACGAGCCGCGCACCGTCTTGTCGGATCGATTACGGCTATGGATGGACTTTAATATAGGAACGGTCACGGATAGAATGAACATGGCGCCAGGAGAATTTAAGTTACGGCTCGAAGTCGGACAGACCAAGGTGCTCCATATTCTGAGACAGCCGCAGCCAGACCTGACCATGGCGCTGTCGGAATCGCACGTGTCCAAGGAGGCCTGCGCCAGTGTACAGCAGGGCTTGCAGATCCTGTCCAAGACACAAACGGTTCGATCGTACACGTTCCAGTCGCTCGGGGACCTCCATGTCTTCCAAGAGGCCATGACAGGCTTCAAGGTCCTTTTCGACGGAATGGCGACTTCCTTCGCCATCGCACGACGCAGGATGGTGGTCCCCATCCACAAGAAGTGGGAGGCTGGCCGCACGAGGATACAGGTGATACAACAAGATCCGGTGATGCAGATGCTCGTCTTCTTCGAAGACTTCCACCACGGACATTGCATGGGTTTCGTTTTGAAGGGCACAGATGTATTTGAGGCATTCGGCCGGGGTAGCAAAGCCGGACTCAAGATTGTGGACGCCAAGTTCCCGCTGCCTCGAATGCTGGAAGAAGGCAAAAGGACAGCAGCGGGCAGACAGACGATTTTGCATTCGTGTGTCTGGACCTGCCTGAGATACCTGGCGAGCATGACGACATCTCAATCACGTTTGAGTCCGAAGCAGGTACGTTTTCTCATGGTGGGCGCGGCCCCGAAGCGGGTGCCTTTCGCGCTATGGTTCTTCTTTCCTCCCCCCTCCCCCAATCTATTGCCTCGTACCATGCGTCCTTGTTGCCCGGAGCGGCTCCTTTGTCTGTACTTTGGTGTGGCCATTGCTAACTTTTCTTCTTTTCCCACCTAGACCGAGATGCGCTCTGCCAGCTTCTGCCGTCGCCTGTCAAGGGGTCCTCGCGCATCTCCAAAATCAAGTGAGCATGGTGGGTCGACAATGATATCTCTTGCATAATTATGCCCCTGAATTGGATGGAACTTGAGGTCACAAAGGAAGAATGGGCAGGAATGAGCTACACGCGCAACCGCAACCGCAACCGCACGACGCATTATGACGGCGTTTTTTTTGTCCCTCCCCACCCTTTTTTCTCCCTCCTCTTTTCTATTTGCCCCCGACCTGGCAATCGAACGAGACCCGGCTGTTGGGGTTGGGGATTCGGTGAGAGGAGGAGAAGGGGAAACAAAGCAGAGATGTTTTGTTTCTTAGGGGTACCCCTTTTTTCTTTTTCTTTTTCTTTTTTTTTTTGCTCCATGCATGCAGCTGCCGCCGATACCCCTTGAAGAGTTCTTGATGGTTGAGCGTTTCTAACAAAAGAGAAAAACAATGATGCTGGATGCCAACGGAAAAATCGCGATGATGGGGAATGGAAGAGGTGGGGGTTTGGAGATGGGCTCACGAAGTATGCGCCGTGTGGAAGCAGGTGGCACTGCCAATGGGTCGGCATCTCGTTCTACCCCTTTTCATTCCTCTAGTCCTTTATGCGGAGACGGAGGCACCAGTTGGTGCGAGGTCAGGATGACGGAACGGGTTCTGAATAAGGGGTCTTTTAGCCGCAGACCAAGCCGGAGCTATGCTAGGCAGGCTGCTCTCCGGACACGAAGCACAGGAGCTAATCTGTCCCTCTTCTCGAATCATAGGGGAGGAGTGTTAAAATACGGCTATATCTCGAGTTCCTGGTATCAAAGGAACGTCTCTGCAGCCAGCAATATCTACAGAAGAACACAAGGCTACACGTAGAGGGGTCTGGACTGTGGCCGCATCGCTAAACAGCCGTAGCTATCAATTCACAAAGCTCCGAAGCAGCGCGTGCACTTGTCATCTGCTATTCGATGGCTGCGTAGCTGCACATCCTACGCAGTCATCTAAGCCCGTGCTCTAAAGGACCGTTTCTGATTATATACAACGTGTGGCAGCTCAGTTTTGGCCAAATTTTCTTAGTACATTTGGCTATCAATAGTCAATAGGTCCAGTGCTACTCCGAAAAACTAAGTCTTCAATACGATAAAATGATGCCAGACGAGCCCTCCCCCATTTTGTGAAGATTTAAAAAGGCGTTCTTAGGTTGGATTATCACTGGATGGCCTCGGCATAGACATAGACATCGTTTAGACAAATGCAAATGAAAGATCGGGCGGACCAAAAGGAACCGTCGATGAGCCGCTGCGATTGAGGGCAACTTTGATCAACATTGAACCTGATTGGGAAGCTATTCTAGACAAGCCACGACGTCATTGTTTGGGTGGGAGGTGGGCTGCCCAAAGCCCCAAGGTCGAGTTTGACCCCTCAGTGCTCTTTTTTGGCCAGAGGCCGGAACATAGAGACAGCGGGAGGCATGGGGCTAGAGCTACCCCGCCATCATTGCTCCTACTACATGTACTGACCGCATGAAGCCGGCAGGGCAAAAGACAGGGATCTGTTTGTTAGTGGTGGCAACATCCATCGATTGATCCACGATCCATTGTTGAGTCCAGTCTGAATCAGATCCATCCACCATCGATGATTGCGATTCCACCCTCGCTGGAGAAGGCGACGTCCCGTAGCCAGCGCAGCGTTTGATGCGTTGCGAGACATGAGCACGATGATACGCAACGTCAAAATCGACGATGCCATCCGTCTCTATTGACCGCTTTGTTGCCGCGAAAATGCTGGCTAGCCCATGGCAGCATGTGAGCTTTCCGCATTCTCTCTTTCTCCCCTTTTTTTGCCTTCTTTTCGTCTTTACGCGACAGAAGCGTATCTTGAAAGAAAGAGAATGGAAAGAAGAATGAGAAGACAAAAGATTTCCCATGCTGAATTCATCGCTCAACGAGAGGCTAGCAATGCATCTCTTCTCTGGTAACTTTATTGATCCATCAGCCCGGCATGTTTGAGAGGCGTCCATTCCATCCATCCATCCATTGGATCTGTGATGGATGTAATGGATACATGAATGCGAGAGCTTTTGGGCAGATCGGTGGAACCCACCCCACCGGATTTTGCTGAGCTGCTCTAACAAGCGCGGTGAGCTCAAACCATCATTGATTTCAGTCGTCAGTCGTCAATGGGGACCAGGTGCCGCTAGCAAGTCAGAAACAGGGTCGTGAGCTGCCGGAGGCTACTAGACGAACAAGTGAAAAAAGCTCACACGTACGCCATTGACGTATCCCCAGTGGCCCGGTCTTGCCCGGATATATTAGCAGGTGGCCCAACGCTTCCGTGGAAGCTCAATGGATGGTCAGATCAACCGATACCTTTGATACCTTTGCAGCTTTGTCCCCAAATGGGCGGCTCAATGGGAAGTGATCCCCCTGTCCGCCCTCCGATCCCGAAAACTAGTGGCTATGCAATGTATATACTTTTTTTTGCCTCCTACTGATATCATTCCTCATGGGTTGCTTGAACTACCCACCCCATTCCCCATTGCCCATTCCCCGTGCCCCATTCGACCGCCGCATTAAAAGAGGGCCGGATTCCCAGGCTGCTCGAAGCTTCTTCTTCCGGGGCCCTACTCTCCTTGATTGCGTTGCGCTTGATAGTACGTGAATTTTGTCCATCAGCCCAAGAACAACGCGTAGCAGCATCGAAGCCATAGATCTCTTATTCAGCAAGAGCTCTGCTGAAGTACGGAACTCTCTCTCTTGCTTCCCCGAATCCGTACAATTCGACTCCCTCGCCCGAAGGTGTTTTGCCTCCAGAACGGGCCATCGCATTCGATCGCCGAGTAGCGTATCCCAGATACGCAGACCAGCATAAAAAAGAAATCTCCTATCGCGTGGGTAAATATCTTCTCTCTCTCCTCCTATTGTACCCCCGTCCCATTTATCTTCCGTCCCTCGCCGTTGAGATCTCTGGTGCCGGTGAGGAATTAGGAGGTGAGTCGAGGTCTCAGCTCCGCATCCCTGACAGATCGATCCTGTTTCCGGGGTGTGCGTCACTTTTGCGCTGGAGGCTGCCGCCCGAGCGCGATTGGACAGGGCTTGGCGCAGCACGCCGGCGCCCGGGACCAATGGCGCCTATGGGACTGAAGCCGGAGCTCTCAAATCCACAAGCCGAACAACGTGTCCGTGGGATCGAAGCTGATAGAAGCGTGCTCGAGGCAGAATATTGAGGGGAACAGCAGTAGTTGAACTCAACAGCTCCCGAAGTGCCACCTGCCCGTCCACCTGCCCGCCCACCCCCTCTAATAAACGATCGGTTGGGGAAATGCGTCTTCACCGCGGACACCGGAGGTCCACGTCCAAGGATTCGACTTGTACAGACGGTGGGTCAAATTCCTCCATTCTTTCGTGTCCCCCTTTGTGTCCTTGGTGCTCCTTTTCGTTCGGCAAGCGCTCTTTACTTCCCCGTGGGTCCATTGGGGTATCACTAGAACACTTGTCTTGCCTTGAACCAAAATCACTTGCAGGCACGCTTGCTTCGCTGACCCGCGTGTTCCGCGCATCTGCTGCTGCCTGCAAAGCTGCAGAAGGGCAAATTGTGCATGCGACGAAACCTGGGCTTAGCGACTCTCCCCATGTGCTATTCTTCCATTTCATTTTTGAGGGGGCGAAAGAAAAGGAGAAGCCGATCTGATATGGACCAGCAAGCCTTGACGATGAAAAAATCTGCCTGATCTGGCGTGCGTGGTTCTGGTCCATTATTGAACCTTGCATCAGGAGCCAGCACCGAAGAAGGCGCAAGGCGCGAGGCGGGTCGCCGCAAGTACTCAACCACATCATTGATGATTCATCCAACATAAAGTATCAGCAAGAACTGGAAAGTGCGATGGCCGTTCCCTCCCATCTGCACCTGTTGTTGGTATCGGGACCGGGTTGAACCGTTGAATCCAACCAGACAGCCCGGATCCATATCGGTTTATCAATATCGTCAATGGTCTCTGCGGAGAGGATACTTGTACAATTTGCTGCAGGGTGCGCCCACTTCCAGAAACGTCTGGCTCATCGCCCGAGTTCCTGGTCGTTCCGGGGAATTCTCGCAGTCTAGTGTTTGCGCCCCTTGTTCAATCCCAACCCCAGCTCCTTCCGTCCCGTCCGAATGGAGCTATCAGCAAGTGGCTGATGGCTGAGTTGCTTCCCAACATTGAAGTGTAACAAAACGAGGCCCCCATAATCACCCGCTCCATCAATGATGTACCATGCTCGCTATAGAGTTCCTTCGCATTGATCGCGGCACAAGTTCGAGCGCCACGTTCACCCTCTCGCGCTAAGAAAAAAAAAAGAAAAAGGGCGAATGGAAAGAGCACGAGTACAGAGATGATGAGAGGGAGGGGAAGAGAGAAACCCCACTAAGAGAGCTCAGCAACAAGCGTTGTGGGACCTTTTAGCTTTTGACTTTGACTCTCAAGCTCACAACCGCTTTGCAAATCCTCTTTGTCTACTCATGTCATCCATCCATGGATGAATCCATAGATGCATGGATGCTTTCTTCCCAAGCACGCTGATCAGTTTCTCTCACCTGTTTCCGCCTACCACGAATACGTCCTCTCCTCGACCTAGCTCATTTCCCCCAGAGAGTTAAGGCAGACAACCCCTCAGTGCCTAACTCCAATATTTCTGCACCCCGCCCCCACGTCATCATTGACTGATTGCGGCATCCCAATCTTTATAATTTTTTTTTCCTTACTTACCTCCCCGTCTCGCCCGTCGCCCTCCCCCATCCTGCGATCCGCTTTTGCGCTTTTGTCCACGAACGGACCCAACCCATAAGGGGAAACTCCAGAAGGAAACAAAAAGAATTCCGACGAAATAGGAAGTTATGCTAACATCGTGGTGGTCCGCCCCGGCTCCTGAGCCAGATTCCAAAATTTCGGAAGACGGCCGAAGCGACACCTCTCTCTCTAATGATGACAACACTCAAGAAGTCGATGCCGATCAGGGCAATGGTAAGGCCGCTTAATTCCACCCTCTTTGTGCCATCCTGGCGTTTTCCGGCATGCCCGGAGATGCGATATCGTGGACGTTCTCATACTAACGACGTCCGGATTGTACTCAGTACTCTCCCACATCATCTCCCATCTCCGCCCGGGAGCCGACCTAAGTAGGGTCGTCTTGCCTACTTTTATCCTCGAGCCGCGGAGTATGCTGGAACGAATAACAAAGTAAATCCCTACCATTCCCAATTCCTCCTGCTCTTCCGACGCATCCACCCCGCACCAGGTCCGAGATTCCGACACCCGGCCCGATCGGTGTGCATTCCGCGATTTTGAAGAGAACATGGGCTAACCACCAACGCTCGTCTCCCCCGACGGCTGAATTAGTTTTATGTGCCATCCGGAGATGCTCTTGCATATCCCCAGATTGACGACCCCGTCGAGCGATTCGTCGCCGTCGTCAAGTTCTATCTTAGCGGCTGGCATATCCGCCCTGCGTAAGTCTGCCCTGCTCATCTTCGTTTCGCGCCCCCTCTGGAGGACCCTTTACTCTTGCGGCTGCTAATATGTTGGAAACTAAATCAATTTTATTCGGCAATAGCGGAGTGAAGAAGCCCCTCAACCCCATTCTGGGTGAGATATTTACCTGCTACTGGGACGTTGCTGATGGCAAGCGCGCCTACTACATCTCCGAACAGACCTCGCACCACCCGCCCAAGTCCTCCTACTTCTACATAGCGCCCGATTACCATGTACGCGTGGATGGAACCTTGAAGCCCCGAAGCAGGTTCTTGGGCAACTCGGCCGCCAGCATGATGGAAGGGGTGGCGTTTTTAAGCTTGCTGAACCGAGGCCAGGACCCTTCCAAAGGCGAACGATAGTAAGAATTGCCTTCCCTCTCTTGTGTCTCCCTCTCAAAACAAAAAGACCTCTCTTTTGATAACTAACATGGGAATAAAACAGTCTCCTGACGCAGCCGAATATGTACGCCCGCGGGATCCTCTTTGGAAAGATGAAGTACGAACTAGGTGACCAGAGTTTTGTTCGCTGTCCCGAGCTCGACCTCGTTGCTGAGGTCGATTTCAAGACGAAGGGCTGGGTCAGCGGGACCTACAATGCTATTGGTGGCGTGATTAAGCACGAAAGCACCGGCGAGGTCCTCTACGAGCTCTCCGGGCTGTGGAATGAGGAGATGTACATTACCGACGTGAGGGTGAGCGCTACCTAGGCCCCTTTGGGGACCACCCCCTTTCCAACCCTAGTGGGAGCTTGTGTGCAATGGCAACTAACCTAGCTTGGTGGCGCCGATAAGACTGGCCAGCAGGAAATGTTCTTCGACGGTCGCAAATCGAAGCCGAGCCCCCATCGTCCGGCCCATCGAGGACCAGGAAGAGCGGGAGTCGCAACGACTATGGCAGAATGTGGTACAGGCGGTAAAAGACAAGAACCATGAAGTCGCCACTGACGAAAAGACCCTCATCGAAGATCGCCAGAGGCAAGAGGCTGCTCTGAGGGCCGCTGATGATGTAGAGTGGACCCCCAGGCTGTTTAGGAGAGTACGGGGCGGCCCTGGAGGCAGCGAGGAAGGGGAAGAAGATCTAGAGTGGATCATCAACTCGCACATGTTAGTTCCCCTTCCCCTTTCCCTCCCCACGCGCACCGAGTAGACCCTTGGCCTCCCTTTGCAAGTACTTCGTATATATATACTAACTTTTGGCGCTTATGCGCGCGTGTCTCGACAGCAACCACCAACTTCCACCCGAGGCGATCGCCGAGCATGTCATGTCTATATACCCAATTATTCACGGCCAGCGACCCAATCCCTCCCACGTTATCCCCGCACGTACTCCCGACGTCCGGCCTACGTCCACAGAGGACTACGTTAGCGCCCACGCTCCGCAACAAGGCGGGGATCTTATCGATCTCGGACCCGGAAACGGAGCTGCTGTGTCTGCGAATGGGGTTTCGGCTAGTGGCGTGGAGGGCTGAAGCCTCCGGTATAAGAGAGGGCACCGAAGGATCTGGGTTCGGTTCATGGCGAATAGATTGGTTTCTGCCTGATTTTATTTTTTTCCCTTCTTCCCTTTCCCTTTTCTTTCCCCCTTCGCCTTCCTGTCGTTCTTCTTTTACTATTGCATAGAAATGGGGGTGGATATTCTGATTTTAGAGACCGGGTATGGTAAATGGGGGATCGGTTTTCATGTACCACCTAGGCACATCGTGCACATCTTGCACACACATACACACACGCAAATATACACAGACACATACGTAGATCAACGTAAACAAAATCAAACACTCATGGGCTCGGCTCGGATAACACATATCTAATCTTGAAGCTTGATACTACCGAAGTAATGCCATCGCGTATACATTCCTTTTGTCAGACGCTCGAAAGTCATTCGTTTAGCGATACTCTAAACTTGAACCAGAAAATAATAATAAAAAACCCTCAAACGCCAATTTTCTTCTCGAAAGTAGTGTACAGCTGGCCAGTATGGGTTGAACCTGGCGACTCTTAGGCCAAACAAGACGAAAAAAATCCTCCTCTCTCTGCTACATCATTCATCGCTTCCGGCTTGTGCTTTGCCGAGCCGTTGGTCGGAAGCGTGGAACGCTGCATTATCGTGCCGATTTCCACCTCACTTTGAAGGCGGGGGTGAACCGCTGCTGCCCATCTCGTACTCCTGTTCGAGTGTACTATCCGCGGGCCTGCTAAGGGTCCAAATGGCACCACCACCTTGGCCAGCGAGTACGGACTCGCCAAGGCAGAACGTGGGTAATGCGGCTACGGGGAACCCGAGGTCTCAACTCGCGGAGAATGCTCCTAGAATCTCCTTCGGGTAGGCTCGGGGGTGGGGGACCTGGAGGGTCTTCTCGTCCTTGCCGGACATTCTGAGCCACTTCTTGGTGGCGAGAGTGAGCTCGCGGTCAAGCTCTTCGCCGGGGTTCTTGCGGTGGATAAAGTTGCAGAAGCCGCCGCGCACACAGCCCTCGCCCGAATTAAGACGGCAGCAGGCTTCGCGGAAGTCGGTGACGGGGAAAGCTCGCAGTAGATGGGGCGGCCCGCGTACCAGCGGGAATTGAGGTCGTCGCATGCCTTTTGGGCGCTGTCTTCGTACTTGAAACGGGCGTAGACGTTGCCGATTAGATCTTAAGGGAGGAGATGGGTTAGAATCTAAGGGGGTCCAGTTTGCGTGAAGGGGAGAAGAGGGAAGGGCCGGGGAGGGGGCGCACGTACGGTCATTGTTATTGTCGCATACTACCAGCTCTTCTAGCTCTCCGTATTTGCACAACTCGCACCATACGTCTTCGTAGAAAGCATCAAAGTGGTTTTGAAGCTGGCTCGGGTTCATGCGGTTTTTCGGATCGTAGGCGGGGTTCTGGTAGAGGTTGGGCATGAGGATCGTCTGGCTGTAGGAAGGCTTGACGTGTTTTCTCGAGCAGCGATCTCCGTGGCGGCATGCGCCGATTTTCTATTCACAAGGCGCATGGTATTAGTAGATGCTTCATATCCCGCCTAATCTTCTACGGGTAGGAGGATTGTGGAAGGTTGGCGACAAGGAACAATGGGCATGGGGGAAGAAGGCAAAGAAAAAAAGACCTACAAAGTAGAAAGAGCAATTGACCTTGTCAAGCTCGGTTCCGAAGATGGAAGCAAGGAAGTTGGCCATTGTGTGAAGGGGTCGCGATCTTGAGCTTGGTTGGGGTTGCGAAAAATCAAAGGACTATGAGGCTTTCTTGTTCAACTTGGTGATCGGGTTTCGCGAGGCGGCAAGGCTGGAGGTTGAGATGGGGAACGGAGAGCAGAGTATTTTGATCAAGTGCAACCATCACTCAAACTGCTCTTGACCTGTTGCCACATGGTGGTGTGGCGTCTTCTGAATGATTAGTAAGTGTGGAAGTGGCTAGAATATTGCCTGATGTGACTGCTGGCTCGGTGGCCCCCTTCAATGTTCTGGTCCCTTGCAGCTGGGAATCAACATTATTGAGCATCTGAACTCCAATTGCCCACTAAAACACCACTGGACCAGCCCCTTGTCAGCCAGGCCAGCGCCCTGCATGAATAGCGTCGACTGAACCCACTCGCGCTGTCGTTTACACGTGAAACCCGTTCTTGGTGACTTCTGCGGATTCTGTCTCTTTTATATTATCAAACCTCTTGCCAAAAGATCAATGATGAAGTCTTAGATAGAATGGGATGGGGTATTTATTTGTACAAGGCGCAATTGTCTGTCCGTCCTAAACTGGCCCGGAATGAGGGGCGAGTTGAGGATTGGCTAGCTCCTCTTAATACTTGGAATAATACATGGCTGAAGTCGAAACAGAATCCGTGCTCTCGCTCCCATGCTTCAATTGATATGTTTTTCGAGTGGTGGATTTCAAGAGCCAAACATAGAAATGAAGCGATGCGGCGGGGACTATCGTTAATCCATTGAACAACCACCAGCACGACAAATTCCTCCTCCTAGTCTTTCCTCCTAATTTTGGATAATCTCCTGGATTTGGAAGTGGAAGCCTCTATTCTCCCTTCTTCACAACTCCACAAGCCGCGCTTCTCTCCCAGCCGTTGGCGCAGTTGCTTCCATTATCAAGCCCACGCCTGTGCGCTACTCGCTGCTCCTTTCTTTAGCCTCCCCTCATCCTCGGCCACTTTTCAGTGAGCGCAAATTGGTGGGCTCCTAATCCGCCTTCACCACGCGCCTACCAATTCTCTCTCGAAAAACCCTGGGTGTAGGAAATACTCGACTGCTCGCCGCCCCTTTCTTCTTGGTTCGTTTCGACTCTTTCCCGACGACTCGCTCATTTGCTCTATCCACGCAGCCACGGCGCCCTGCTCTCCCCTGACGATCTCAACCATTTGAAAGACGATTCCCACTCTCCTAAAGAGCGAACGGCAGAGGCCGAATAACCGCAGCCATGGACCAGGCGGATATTCCTGCCTTGCTGGCACGCCTGGCTAGTGACGAGGACACGGCACGCAAAATGGCCGTCTTCAAGCTCCAGACATCCATCAACGACCCGGCTTTCGCAGACGTCTTCATCTCTTCTGGCGGCCTCATCATCCTGCGCCGGCTGATCATGAGTACCGGCGGAAACACACTAGCGTACTCGTTGCAGAGCCTGAGCAGGCTGCTCGAAGTTGACATGGGCTGGGACATCTTCGAAGGCCCCACCGCAGGCGACCTGGTCGAGCGCATAGTCGAACTCATCGTAACGAACCCACTCGTCAACATTCTCCGAGGCGCCATGTCCATCTTGGTCGCGCTTGTCAGCCACTCGCAGTCTGGCCCCGCGCTGTCTCCCGCGCCCCCGGCAGCTATGGCTTCCGTGCCTTGAAACCCGCTGTCGCCGTATATCCTCACTTCTTCGAGCTTGTGATTCAACAGCTGCAGTCCGCCGACCACGCCCTCTGCGCCAATGCGCTCATGCTCATCAACGCCCTCATACGAGACGCGGTTGCCAATGACGGTGGTAACTCGGCTGCGGTTGCAAAGGGCGCCGTTCCCGTGCCAGGAGAGGAATGGTCCAAATTTATCAAGCGCCTGCAAGATCTAGGCCTCATCAAGGCGGTCTACAATCTGATGCAGAGCTCGGCCCTGCAGGACCTGGCACACCCCTTACTCGAGTTCCAGTCCCTGACCAAGGTCCTGCTAAGGAAATGGCGCGAGGTGAATGTGGACTTGGAGCGGCCAGAGCACCGGAGGGCTCTCAAGGGACTGCATCTCTCTAGCGCCCCGGACCGCCAAAACGTCAATGGCTCTGGCAAGGAGGAGCCTGTAGATCCTAAAAGGGGAGCAGACGCCACAACCCCGAGAAGTGGAGGCGGCTTGGATTCGAGTCGGAGAGCCCCGCGCAGGAGTTTGATGTATCGGGCTTTCTCGGCATGATGGACCTTACGGATTACGTGAGGAAAAACGAGGACGGGTTCCAGAAACTACTTCTCGAGCAGTCGGCTAGGCCCTTACGGGAGAGGTGCCCCGTTGCGCGAGCCAGTCTCGCAGTGACCATGACCCTCTATCAGCATTTCGAGGTAGACAAGGTTGAGCTGGAAGATCCCAAAGGCTACCAGCTCCTCGGCGATATTAAGAACAACGACGGCCTCTTCCGGCCCTTGCTCCTCCAGTGGTCTCGACTGCACACGGCCGGCTTGCACGCCTTCTTCCGCATCTGGAAGGCAACCATGGCCGAGCTCAACGACTTTGAAAAGTGTCGGAGCTCGTGCGCATCCTAATCGAGCAGGTTGTCGGCCAGGCGAGCAGGACAAAGGATGTGCTCGAGGTTGAGGACGACCTCATGGAATACGACTGCGGCCGGTTGAGGGAATTGCAGATGGAACTTCTCGAATTGTCATTCGAAGACAATTGGGGCCTGCATCTCCAACAGGTCCGCGACGAACTAAAGAACGAGGCGCTTCAGTTTGTCAAAGAGCAGCGCGTCCGCTGCCTACTCGAGGGCTCGTGGTTCTACAGGCCCACCCCGAAACGCTCCAACGTGTCGGAAGACCAGGCGATGAGGCGCAAGGGCTTCACACTGACACCGTGGAGATTTGCCAGGCTCTCGCACAACAAGCGCTTCTTGCACTACGCCGACTTTGCGGACAAGGTCCCCATTGAGCCGGCTTTGGACTCGCTGACAGAAAAGGTCGACCTGTCCACCATCAGCTCCGTGGTCTCCAATGTGTCGGCGCCCAACGACGATGCCAGGAGTGCCACGAGCATCTCCACGGCCAAGACGCCCCCAACGAAGCCCACTACCAAGATTACCGTGTATTCCTTTACCAACCCGAGCGAGGCAGGGACCAGCGCCGATGGCGCGGACGAAGAGAAACCAATCCTCACACTCTACCCCACCACCCACAGCCTGGCGTCTGAGTGGCTCGACGGCCTCTTGATGCTCCTCAACCAGGCGCCTATCACGGCCGAGACGAACAAGCTCGTGTACCTTGTGAGCGAGTACGGCCTCAAGATCCGGCTGCTAAACGTTCGTTTCGAAGCGGCATACAACGGCCCACCACCGGGGGCCGGCGCAATCCCTAGCCGAGAGGGACTGGATGAAGATTACTACTACGAAGTGTAAGGGTGGAAGAAGAGCGCGAGAGCTACACATATCATCTACCTATATACCCACTGTCCGCGATGACCTCCTTGTGTGCAAGTTTATCCTTGTTTATTCATTTCGCTAGCCTGTAAATAGGAAGACTCGTATGAGTTTTTGTCTTTGTTTTGTTTCAGAGCACCACTGTGGTGCATCTCGTTTCGCTTGGCCGGCCGCCATTCTCTGCGAGAGCCACTCGATCTTCTGTCTTCTTCTTTTCCCCCATTTCGTTGGATCTCTCTATATGATATCCACGGTTCGTCTCTATCTTGCGCTTAGGCTTTACAAATATACCCTCTGCTACAAACCAATTACGAGGCAATAATATTGTGGCTGTGGCCTCTTTGCTTCCTTGCGTAAGAGAAATTTTGAAATTTCGGTCTATCCATCGAGCAGTCGGCGAATAGGTGTCTATTCGAGGATTAGTGTCTCGCGGTTATGCCTTACTTGCATCGCAACTCAACGTGCGCCGTTTGCAAACGTCAGGTGTGCGCTTTCATGCATCTTCGCTCTCCCTAGTTCTACCGGAACCGGGAGGGACGCCGGGTCTTCTTGCCGAGGCTAATAAACCACTCCATCGCTGTTTGATGCTCCTAATCGTGATCTTCTTCCGTCAGGCCTGGGCATCCATCCATGGACGCATCTGGGTACGCGCTCTTGCACCAGAAGCAATAATTGTGCTCCTCGCGCAGGTGCTGCAGCACCTTGGCCAGCTTCTCGCGGGGCTCTTGGGCCTCAAACTCCTCCAGCTCGGCGTCATCTTCGTCGAGGTCCTCCGCCGCCTCGTACAACTCCCGATCTTTCCCCATGGCCATCCTATAATCCGGGTCCTTGTCCTCGTCGGCCGCCGCGTATCCGGGCAACCGGGAGGACAGGCTATCCGTGAGCTCGCGTTTGGCGGCGCGGTCCCGCTCGCCGAGCTCCCTCTCCTTGACGAGTCCGCGCCACAGGATGTTGATGGATTTTAGGGGGCCGCGGCCTTGGCTTTTGTCTTGGCTGTGGCCTTTTGCTTTGCGTCTACCATCCCGGCCGTATCTTCTTCATCGGACGCTGCTGCAGTCTCGCCGTCGTCGTTTTCAGCTTCGCCTAGCTGCTGCGCGAGTCTAGCTGCCGCTCTATACTGCCTCTCCAACCGTTCAGTCTCCCTTTCCTGCATCATTCGTGCTCTGTAGTCTCCCGGATCGATCTTCTTCACCTTCTTGCCCTCCCTCTCCGCCTGCTCTTCCGCCTCCCTCGCTCTCTTTCTCTTCTCCTCCTCGATTCCTAGACCGCCTTTGCCTTCCCTTACGAATACCCGAATCGGCTCCGTAACACCACCGGAACCTTCCTTTCCCAGTGCGCCGCCGCGAAACCCCATCTTTGCCATCATGGCCAGGCCTTTGCTACCCATGGCGGCGGGGGCTTCTAGGAGGGAGCGCGAGTGGGTGGCCTCGCGGCGCTGAGCCTCTTCCTCGGCGATCTCAGCGCGCGATTTGGGTCGGCCCCGTGCTGCAGCCTCGCGCTTCAGGCGCTGGGTGCGCTGAAGAGAAGATTCGGTTTTGGGGGCCTCGGTGGGTAGGATCATGGTCATGTAGTCATCCTCTTCCGAGTCCTCCTCTGGGGCTTTTTGTGGCGGTGGCATTTGTGGTTCTCTAAATATAGGGAGTTGCTTCCTCCCCTTTTTATGCGAGGCAGATGGGAAGATGGGTATCCTGAGCTGGGGGTAAATCTTGCTCTTGATGAGGATGTTGTAGGTTTTTGGAAAAGAGAATAGGGCCTTGGGAGGTGTCAATAAGCTGATAATTTGACCTGGGGAAAGAAACGAGAAGGCCAGAGAGAGCAAAACAAAAACTTGAAAACGGCAAGTCAAGTAGTTCAACGAAAGTCGGGGAGATGCGATCAGTTTGTCAAGTCTTCACTAACAGAGAAAACGAACGGGAGGTGGACAAGGCCCAGGGTTAGCTATTTAACCCTGTGATAGCTGTATAAATTAAAATAAGCCGGATAATCCACCAACATGGAATTTTCCGAACGTGCTCCTGTGACGCAGTGGTTAGCGTGTCGTTCTTATATTGATTCGGCTTAGCTGATCAATATGACGAGAAATGCGAAAGTGTAAGTTCAATCCCAAGCTTTCAATAACCCCGATAAGGGTCATTTCGAACCGCGACTAACTGGGTTAAATAGCGAGGGTTCGACCCCCTCCAGGAGCAATGGAGCAAAACTTTTTTGGCTCCTTGAGCTTCTCGTTCTCTATAGATAAGCTGCTTGCCTCGAAGCCAGGAACATGCGACGCCGTCTCTCTCCTGTCGAGCCATCGTTTTTATATACCCTAGAGAGAAAAAGAAGTTGGTGTTCCGACTCCAGAATTGCCTTGCCTTATATCCAATCCCCATAAATTTGGCTGGGGCTGGATATGGCCTGGTGCCCGTGTCTCGACTTCTTGGCAGATCACGGCTAACCGTCCCGCCGGCCGGAGCTCTCTCGTCCACACACACACCACCCTGGTTTTTCGGGATAGTCGAATTTGAAATTGCAGAGAATAAATTCCTTCATCTACTATATTATGTACAGAGGCCGTATTGGGAATGGATATGCTAACTCTGCTTTCCTATGCTCCAAAATGATGATCGAGATGAAGGCGAACCACAGATTTAGAATTCTATATCGGAAAGAGCCGTCTTCTCCTACCCTCGCATCCTCGCACGCTTCCTTGCCCTCTTTTCCTTGTCGTACTCGTTCGACTTCTGGCCCTCCTCGCCCTGGATCTCCGCAACGAGCTTCTTGAACTTCTTCTCGTACGCCTCGTCCTTGGCCTTCTTGATCTTGAGCTTCTCCCGCGCCATGAAATGTGCGTCCTTGCGCAGCTCCCGCATCGCGCCCTTGCGTTCTCTCTTGTGCTCTGCCTTGAGCTGAGCCAGCTCCGCTCGCTCGCGATCCGGATCGTAGTGCTTGTTCGGGTCGAATTCGTTCTCGAATTTGGGCACGTACGATTTGATCGCGAGCGGCTTGTGATGATGCAACTCCACAGTCCGTCGGGAAAGTTCCGCGACTCGCATTGCTCGCTCGGTCTTGGTAAAGGCCTTTGCGATCTTGTCGCTGAGGGCGGATGGGAGTTTGGGTCGGTTGCTCTTGCTACACAGGTACTTCAGGACCTTGGCGATCGGCTGGAGAGTTTCGAGGCTGGCGGATTTCGTAGACCATGTATCTGCCGATACCTCGAGCAGCTGGATGGTCGTCTGCATGAGGGAGGCCTTCAGGACCTCCTCATCAGCCGGGGATAGCTTTCGGGCCGTGCAATCGCTGAACGCTAGCTTTCTCACCGCAGCGCTGCCGTCGCCACGAATGCGAATTCCTTCTGCTGGGGGTGGATGGGGAAATCACCGAGGCTTGACTTGGATGCCACAGGCGCTAAAGCGCAGAGTGTATTGAGACAAAAGTTCATAAACTCTGGGACGTACCGCTTAGAGAGTTGCTGATACTGGATAGTGAGTGTAGCGAGATAGATCCCTGTCGCGTAGTCGGCGAGGGTTTGCGGCTTGCTCTGTCCGAGGTACCTAGCCATAACAAGCATGGCGGGGGTGACGACCTGGTGGAAGTGATCCGAGGTCGGAAAAATGGAGCCAATTGCAGACAACACGACGAGATCGCCGCTTCGGAGGGCCGTAGCTCGCGAGTCCGCCATTGACTGGAGATGCATTCGGAGCTGCTGGGCGATATCGACAGCGAAGCTCTTGGAGAGGAGTGAAGATGCCGTGTCACGCTTTCTAGGGTGGCAAAACCCGTCGTGCTAGACTCGCCAGGGGCGGCGATAAAGTCGACTAGTGCCTTTGAAAGGGCCCCGAGCCTCTCCTTGTTCTTGCTGTCAAGGCGGGGGTGGTAGATGGCACGAATTCTCTGTATAATCGTGGGCAGCTTTTCTCTCGGATACGGCTTAATGACTTGGAGAAGCTCCTCGCGTGTTTGCGGGCAGGGGAAAGTGTAAGGGATACCGTCGTCATCGCCACCCTCGCGGGCCTTGGGTTGAAGTGCTGAGAGATCCTCAAATTCCGGGTTGGCTTCCTCCGCGGCAGTTAAGAGTCCTTTGGTGAAGTCATCCTCGTCACCATCGTCGTTTGCTTCCAGGTCATCCTCGGAGGAGGACTCTTCGTCGAGCTCGAGCTCGAGCTCGGAGCCGCTCGCTACGAGATCATCCTCGATGAAGAAATCATCTTCGTCGTCCAGTCCCAGCTCTGTCGCCGTTGGCCGAGCCTTGATACCTGTGCCAAGGCCAAAGTCCTCGTCTTTGTCCAGGGGTATCATCTGGATCGCGCCACCCTCGATGACTGCGCGCTCATCCTCATCCTGATCTTCGTTCTCACTCTCCACTTCTTCCTCTGACTCACTCTCCGCCTCTCCTCGCATTCGGCGTTGGCGTTTTTCTTCGAGCTCCTTCAACTTTTCTATCCTCTCCTCTGCTACTTCTTCCTCCGTCTTGGTGGGTGCGGCCGGCTGTGCGCGCTTGTCCATGGCCAATTGCTTTAACCGGATATCGAATTCTTTCTCCATTGCGGCCTTATCCACTCCAGGCATAAAGGTGACGCTCTTGTCTGCCCCTCCCGCAGCGGAAGCTGCAGGCCTTTCCCTCATATCCCTTGAAAACAGGAGCGACTTTATACTATGGAAGTCCTGATCAACCTCCATTCTTAGGTCGTCGTTCTCCTCCTTTGTCGCCTGTCGTTCGTATTTGTGAAGTTTTGACTTGGCGATGACTTCTTTCATGACTTCGGCCTTTGTCCTTTTCGGTCGGGGTCTTCGTCGGCCTCTTCTTCTGCAGCCTCGAGGTCGGCTACGGCATCAGCCAGCCTCTGTCGCTTCGATATTTTCCTTTCGTCCCCCGAACCATCACTGTCGTTCGACAGGTCGTCCTCGTCGAAGTCGTCATTGAGGTTCGGCCCGTCCAGTGAGAGAGCTTGGCCGTTGTGAGTGAGACCAAAGCTCGGCGTATCCTCTTCGAGGTCGAAGAGGGAGCTCTTCTTGTGCAGCCTTTGCTTCTCCCGCGCGAATCGTTCTAGCATCTTGTCCTCTGGGGCCATGGTCGGGTCATTCTCTCCGAATCGACGATCGAGGATACCGCCTACTTTGTTTCTCTTTTGCATTTCCACCAAGAGGGTTTCCCGGCGCTAGATACCATGTGAGTTAGAGAGCAAGAAAAGATTTCGTCCAAAAATTGTGAAGGGGCCGTCTCTCGCTTACCCTTTCTTCGCCAAGCGCCTTGGACACACCCGGCCGTCCTTTGATTCCCTTGTCATTTGGGGATTGAAGTGTGGTAACCTGGAATTTGGGGCCTCGGGGATTGTGCTTGAACTGGAAAGGGTTGAACTGGTCTCGAATCTCTCCAAGGGCCTCGCTACGGCGCAGACGCTTCTCGCCGCTTGCTTTGGCATCTTGGGCCAGCTTCCTTTTTGCTTCTTGGATTGTTGGGGGCCTATAATGCCCTGCTCCCGGAGGGAGGATTTTAGGCGTTTTAGCTGTGACGGAGGCATCGCGAGGCTAGCTGGCTGACAAGCCTTTTTCTTGACCCGCTCTTCTGGGAGAAAATAGGGAAGAAGGAAGCGCAAATGGTTGAGAAGAAGGGAAGGAGAAAAAAATCAAGGCCCTGCCTCTGCCGTTCAGCGATTCCCTGAGCGGTGATCTTTTTGGTCCTGTACTAATTTTTTGTGAGGGCCATGGCTAGGATTTTTCTGCTTTGCGCCGTCTTATCTTATCTCTTTCACCGCCCGGGTAAAGCGGTGAAGGGGGCAGATTATAAGCTCAAGCAACCTTCTTCGCTGAGCAGACCTACTGGTCATGCCTTCCCCTCAAACACGGTTCGGTGTGGCATCACCACAACGCTCGAGCGAACGAATTACGACCAGCACGACGTACACCCCTAGTCCTGAGAGTGAGATCGAAGAGGGGAGAAGGAGATTACAATGCAATAAGAGGTCGTTGACCAATGCGGCAAACATGGGATTTATGTCCTTCTTGCGCGATGACCGCGTAGCCCTGGTTGGGATGGGCGTGGCGGCAGTCGCCTTAATCAGTAGCATGATGGCGGTTGTCACTATGGTCATTGAAGACAACAAGATCGAGCGCTCAGAACCAAAGACGCAATACATTACGCAAGAGACGGAAGACTCTTTGCAACTAGAAACCTTGGAGAAGCTTATCAACCACCCTAGCTATTCTATCCGAGAGGTGGCAGTGAAGATTCTCTGCGATCGCGCGGTTAACGATGACGATACTGTTCACATCCTTCTCCATGGGATAACTAGAACGGATTACGACTATCGGCTACAATGTCTCAAAGCCCTCGCTCTCCTATTGTCGCAAACTGGTGGTATGGCCCCAAACCTCCCGCTCCCCTTTCATCTTTTCTCTCCTTTTCTTTTCTTTTTCTTTCTGCTGCCGTCGCTGCAAAGCAAGGGACACGATTTGGCTAACTCCGAGGTCTCATCTCGATCGGTCATATAGAGACCCCGGCAACGTTCGACACATTAAAAGCTTATGTAGCGATGGTCCGGTCTTTAGAAATCGGCCTCGACGAGGACGAGCTCCCCAAGCTTAACGACCCCCACTTCGACGAGTATTACCTACGAGATATGGCGGAACGCACCAACCTACTCATCATCTATCAACTGATACAGAAAAACGGCGCATCAGAGCTTATCAAGGCAAAGTTTGTAGAACGATGGCTAGCCAAGCAGAACTGGGGCGACTCGGAAGGCGAAATCCAGGCAAACTTCAAAATGTACACGGAGGGGAACAAGAACAACCCCATTCGCAGCATTGTCGATTGCATTAGGACGGCCTCCATGGGCTTGGATACTCTTAGACGATGCGGACTAGTCGCGAAAGTAGAATCGCCCCCGTACCAGGAAGTTTGGGACATAACGTTTAGCACCGCCCGACCAGGAGAGGGCGAGGACGGGGTGCAAGACCCTGATCTGTCGGCGGAGGATATCCGAAGACTAAGACGCGAGGCCTTTGTCTTCAACGACGGAAGTCGGCCAATTTCGCGGCAGGACATTGTCGAGAGAAGTTCCCGCTAGGGATACCAAAGGCTGACGGACCGACTAACGAATATTTGTACGATATTACCAATACGAAAGGGGACGGCAACAAGTTCGGCGAACCGCTTCACCTCTCGCCTGCTTTTTGTTGCGGGAGAGGCGGATGCTGTGAGAGGTAGAAAAACGTTCATAATGAATGATGGCTGAATATGGCAGTGGACGCGACACGGGCCGCGGTGCTAGGCCGGAACAGAAAATAAGAGCACGAGCTGGGAATGAATTATCAGTAGGTTGATATTGGAGGGCGCGATGTTGCGGTACAAAAGATACCCTTCCGTGTATTGTATCTATATGTAAATATATAATTTTCAACCAAGAGTATCGTCCCACACTATTACTCAAAACCAATGTGGGAAGCGGTTAAATGAAAACAAACGTTTGCGGAACCCCTTGATCCCAAAACTTGTCACCAATACTCTTTCGGTGCCCGCGGCCAGGACAAAGAAGAAGGGAGAAAAGCTCATCATCAACTTTCGGGGGTATAAGTTGATGCATAAGCGGCATAAGAACCTCCTCCATATAACAGACTCCCAACACAAAACCTGGTCGAACGAGTTGAGAGTAACCGCTCAACAATGACCACGCTAATAACTTGCGGACACGTCTATTTCGTCTTGAAGAGGATAACACGCACCACTTACAGTCTACGTTGCACGTATGCGATGGTTTTATCCCTCTCGTCTCTACGGCTGAAGGGGAGGAGCCCTCATGTACTTCGGTAACTGCCGTGGGTATTCATCTCGTAGACTCATAGAGAGACGAGTTAATAGTTCATTGAATAATGGTTGGTTTCTGCGCCAGATGGCCATGCTGGTGCGAAGCTGGCGCGTGGACCAACTTTGCCCTTCATACAATGACAGTCTTCATTTTGGCGCGCCGGTGCAGCATTTTGCCTGTACCTGTGATCGGGCGAGGTATTAACAATCCCCCGACCTACCGAGGTAGATATTGATTGAATGGATCAATATGAGTATTACAAGTTGCTGAAAACAATAATACTTCTCTTTTAGTGATGTGAACGAAGGAAAGCCGCGAACCCCCAGGCTTGAAGATGTCCAGGTGTCTTCAAAGCTCTCCCTGCACTGACCTTACCCTGCCAGAAACTTGCTGCAGGAACCCCACGGAGGAGCGGGGCGCTGCCCTAGGCAACCTTTACCTTGACGGGGATTCGGCCATCTGCACGCAGGACGGATGAGTGTATTTTGTACAAGTATGTGCTTCGTACGTGCACGAATTGATCAATTCCATTATTGACTTTCGGGGACCCCAATCAACATACAAGTACTCAACAGTGACCATTTGTGGACGCGATATCCCCAGGTTAGATACTGTGGAGCGCTGAGATCAGCGCCGAAACCCACCGTTGGTTCGTGCAGTCGCTCGAACCGCACGCCAGGAAGCTCTGACCCCGCGCCTTCACCGCTAGATGGAGCAACGCTTAATCCTGTTGCTTGTCTCAGTTCATGGGGTCAAAATTCAAGGTTTTCGTCTGATGTGCTCTTGCACTAATACTTCGTACTTGTCTTGGAGGCTAGCATTTATGCTGTATGAGGGAGCAAAGACCCTTGACAGCTCTCAATGCAACCCTGTTCAACCCTCCAATATCCGAAGACACCTTGACCTTGCAGCCCTTTCTTCAGGAGGGATCAACGTTTTGTTACTTTTCCTTGTACTTGTAATGCTACGAAGTACTTGAAAATAGGTACCACATTCGGCAGACAGAGTACTTGCAAAATTCGGCGTCTCTTGCAAATGAAAAGATATTGAAGATGGCGGCTCGAAGGCGTTCGGGGTCCCCACGAGATTCGGGACAGGTGGCGGCTGATGGACGCGCTCTGGGGAAAGCAGGGTGGGGGATATATGATCGGACGCGTTCAGCCACCTCGCGAGGTCGTGTCTAGCCTGAGGACTGAGGTTCCGGCTGCAAGAAAGATCCATTGCCCAACCCAGCCCAAAGACGATTGCTATCGGACCTGTGCTGTTAACTTGAACAAGAGAGCTCAATGCTATTACGCGTAGTTGCTCCGTTTACCTCGGTAAATGTCAATTGACTAGGATCAACAAAAAAGCAGCAAGAGTGTCTTATTCGTTCTTCAAAGGAAATTGGGGGACCTGATCAGTCCCTCTGATGCATGATTACTGGCTGACCCAGTATAACAAGTCCATTGACAGGAGCTGATTTGGCATCGATGGCTGCTGTGTAGCGCCCAACCATGGGGAAAAGGAAGGGGTTTCTGCACGCTGCGCGTCTGATCACGGTGGTGCTGCAGGCAGGTACCATAGCAACTGTAGCTGGGTGAGGGTATGGTACAGGTACCAGTCCAACTGCCCTGGCGACCTGATGCCCGCAGCATCCCCAATGGGTCCCTGATCTGACACGCTTGGGCAGGCAGTGCACAGAAATAGCACTGGCCCGGCGTTGTAACGCCCCATCGTGGGGACTGTGCTCGGTTGTCGTGCATCCCAATACCTCAAAGATTGCGGTTTGACAAGTGCGGATAGTAATAGTACGAGGCGAGGGGGAGATACATATACAGACGTAACTCGCCCCTCGCTCGCTGCTCGCTGCTTGCTCTTGCGTAGTATAGTAATAATAATAAAGCAGAAACAGCTTTGCTCGGAAGATCGACGCCAAAGGTCGGCTGGAAAATATCCTCACATCGCCGCCTCTATCCGCACAGCGCGGCAGATGCTGTAGGCTCTTTTCGAATCAGGCCAGCGCGGCTCACGCATTCGTTTCCTCGGGAAAAGGAACAAGAGGAAAACGTCCCCCATTCGGCGCCCCGGTTCATCTACAAGTCTCACTTGACCCATCAACCGTTCCTTGGTCCACAGAGCTCGACGGCCAAGGTCCCCGAAAAGCCGTGAGCACTCTTGCTCTCCCGACCAGCAATCTCTAATACTGCGGTCACCCTCACTCTTCTTCCCAACCATCGCTCCTTCTCTTCTTCGTCCCAGTCTTCCCCAGAGCTAGCAGGCGCCTCCCACAGCAAAGTCTTTGTGTGTCGGAAGCACCTTCTCGTATAGACTCGGTGTCTCGCAGTGTCTTTCTCTCCAACATTGTGGAAGGGGCGAGAAACAGCTTGAAGGCCTCGACTTCCCCTCAAAGGGCGGTCAGCTGTCAACCCCAGGACGAAGATAAGGCTTCGAGTTCAGGATCGGACTTTTGGGTTGACAACCTTTACCCCTCACCAAACCCTGACACCCGAATTTCAAGGTAAGATGGATCCTTGCCTACTAGTATTTTGCCTCCCGTCTGCGGCCACTTGAGACACCAACGCCGCTGTGTGAGGGAGGGAAGACCAAGGACACGGGAAGATGCAGACACACGAAATACTAACAGCGTTGCGCAAAGAGACAGAAGATAATAGTCGAGCCCCGAGGCGACGCGCGCACGTCCTGTACACCGACAGACACGCCGAACTCCCGACGACATCCAACAGTTTTATTACCTGCCCTGACCACACTCGACGGGACAAATTCTATCCAAATCACCAACGACCTCCTCGTTTTCTTTCTGTGAGTATCAAAATCAAGTTTGTTCTTGAAGAATGAGTCGGAGATAAATCAAGGGGAAGTAAACAAAGGTGTGGTCTGGACCATACAGAGGGCCAGACGCCCCTCCTTCACGCTCAGTGTGGGTACCTGTCAGCAGCCTTTTGGTGTGCTGGACAGGGACCGTATCATTGTGTCTGAGCTTTTGGAGACGGGAGCGGCACGCGGGAATCTTGGTGCACAAGCCTTGTGTCTTCTTTTTTTCACTAACCACCGCGCATAGCCAGCAACAGTATCGGGACACGGGCCAGCTGGAACGACCAGTTTGGTGGCCAGCGCTGATTACCATCGCCCAGCCAATCCAATCTCGGACACCCACGCAAGGCAAATATCGCACGCGCCACTAACCGCTTCTGGATAATTGGACCCAGCGATTCAAGGACCAGGACGAAGTTTCATTGGTACCCGACGAAATCGTCCCCTTACTTTGAACGCCACAATTTTAGTGGTGTTCTTGTGCTGGAGGGCGAATAATAGTTTCTCGAGCACCACAGACACTGGCCCCCACCACGCTTACCCGGTACGACGTCAGGTGGGTGATCTTTTGATCGGCAACCCCTACGCACAGGGCACCGGTGAATTTGACACTGGTCTTTCCGTTGACGCTGTGACGCCGCCCCTAAATTGGCTGTCCCCCTGTTGAGGAATCTTCGTCGCCATGGCATACACAACCACAACAACATTTGCAACTTCTGCGTCCAAGGCTTCGATTTATGGCACAGTAAGACAGCCAAGCAGTCGCAATCGCACGCTCCGGAAATCTTCCAGTCTTGGGCCTGGTATCGCGACGGCATCGACACCGAATCTTAACTCCTTGTTCAATTCCCATTCGCGCGTTGCCGTGCGACCAAGCCTTGCACGCAAGGGGTCGTTGGCGACGCTTACCCAGTCTTCTCTCGCTTCGATTCCCGATGCTAGTGAATCGTACGGATACGATACTGTCCTGAACGATTCCATAATGCCTCCCCTCACGCCCGGGCGCTTCATGGCGGAGGACCTGGCCATCGGCGATGCGGTTGAGGTGCCTGGTAACATGTTTGGCACCGTACGCTTCGTCGGCGCGGTCCAGGGGAAGAAGGGCGTGTTCGCCGGTGTCGAGCTGAACCCAGAATTTGCGGCTCGAGGAAAAATAACGGAGACGTTGATGGGTATGTTGTTGCTCCTTTTGGTTCTTTTTCTTGTCTTGTTCTTATACATCTTGGCCTGCTTGGGCCATGGCTGCCATGTGTTCGTCGCCTATGGCACCCCGAAGACGGTGGCCCAGCGTGACTCTATGTCGCCTCTGTCTGGAAGCTTATGCATTTCCCCGTGATGGTCAGGAAGAAACCTAGACGCTAATAGCAACGCAGTATCTCCTATTTCACGACATCAATCCCCGGAGCTGGGATCTTCCTCGCCGTGTCCAAGGCATCCCGGCGCGACGGCGCGACCTCGATACCCGCCACCCCGACCGGCTTTTCCGGCGGTCTCAAGATTGGAACCCAGAATTCTACCAACTATACACCGCCAACCCCTCTCTCCCCAAATTTTCTCAATCTGTCGGCCCTGGCCGCGCCCCAAGCCCGTACGGCAAAAAGCCGCCCCGCGCGTCGCTCCCACGGCCAGAATCGCCCGTCCGACGCCTTCAGATGACGCCGGGTCCTCGACCCTCAATGAGCACTAGCCCCAGCAAGGCTAATAATGCAAACTCTCGCTATGTGAGCCCGACAACACCTCGGTTTGCACAGAGCGTGCGTGGCACGGCTGGAGACCCTGCCAAGCGACTCGGCTACGGGAGGGGGACCCCAAAGCTAGTGTGGGCCCTCGAAGCGTTTCTGCGCTTGGTTTCGACGACGATGATGCCACCCCCACCAGCATCAGCCAGGCCAAGACAAATGGGAGCATCGGATCTATTTCTTCCTTCACGGCCAAGATGCGGCCGGCTTCGAGGGCAAACAATGATGACGAGTTGGAGCGTCTTCGCGCCCAACTTGATGATCGCGACAAACAACTCAGGGATCAGACGGCTACTTTGTCGGAGATGGAAAGCACCCTTACGGAACTCCAAGGGCTTATGGATCAGCCGGGAGGCCCGCGGTTCGGCGGTCCCGGTCCGGACGACGATAAGGACGCGGCGCAACTACGAGGTCTCTTGCGCGAGAAGAATGACAAAATTGCGATGCTTACCTCCGAATTTGACTCTCACCGCGCGGATTTCCGCAGCACCATTGATGCCCTCGAGATGGCCAGCACGGAAACAGTTCGGGTGTATGAGGCTCAAAAGAAGGAGATGATGCAGGAGATCCAGGACCTCACGTCGAGGTTGGAGGATGTCGAATCCGTAGCGTCGCAACTAAAGCAACTCGAGGACCTCGTCCAGGATCTCGAAGAAGGCCTCGAAGACGCTCGGAGGGGCGAAGCGGAAGCACGCGGCGAGGTCGAGTTCCTTCGGGGAGAGGTGGAGAGGACGAGAGCGGAACTGCGGCGCGAGCGTGAAAAGGCAGCTGCGGGGTCCAACAACAAGACCACACAGGGCATCAACGGGGGAACGACAAATCCAAGGAACTAGAGCAAAAGGAAGACGAGATTCGCGGGCTCAAGGCCATTATACACTCGCTCAGCCGTGACTCGGCGCCAACGGAGGCGGGCGAATCACCCGAGTCTCGCCGACTGCGAGAGAAGCTCGAGCGGGACGTGGCGGATCTCCGGGCTGTTCTCGAAGAGAAGACGGGACGTGAGGAGGAACTGGAGCGCGAAGTAGACACTCTGCGTCGGTCCAACAGCATACAGAATCATCGCCAGAGCGCGATGACGGTGGTTAGCGCCCGCCGGTCATCGCTGCGAGACTCCCGAGACACAGTGATCCTAGCGCGCAACCAGGGAGCCCGGTCTCCCGAGGCGACAAATGGTCACAAGCGAGCCCATACTCTGGACACGATGCCCGAGAGCGATACATACTCGACAGCGACGGAGAACAGCACCCTCTGGTGCGAGATTTGCGAGACGGGCGGTCACGATATCCTCACCTGCACCAACATGTTTGGGCCGGAAGGTGCCAAGACCAGCGACCTTCCCCGTCGCCACCACGTGCGGCCAGTCAAGGGCTTAAGCCGACCGTCATGAACGGCAACACGGATTTCAAGCCCGCGCCTCTTTCTTCGGCCCGTGTCAGGGTGACGCCTACGATGCCGACACCAACACCGGCCCCTGCTCCGGCTTCAGCTCCAGTTGTGCGACCCTTGCCCAACCTTATGGAATCTGGGCCTGTCGCCGGAAAGGAGAGTGGAGTCATCGATGAAAGCAAGTGGTGTGCCATTTGCGAGCGAGACGGTCACGACAGCGTCGATTGCCCGTTCGAAGACGCTTTCTAAGGACGGAAAGGAAGAGGATTTCCTTGATTCGACGATTTGAGGGCACGGGACGATAGAGTGTACGATATAACGACCGATAGTCAGCTTCTGTCCTCGCCTTTTCTTTTCCTCCTTCTTCCTTTACCTTTCTTTTTTCCTCTCAAGGAGAGACCCGAGACGTTGATTCGGGGTCTGGTTTTGACGGGTGATGAACGCATGATAGGGTTTGGGAAATGTGTAGGGCAATGAGGATGCGGTGCTCTTGCCCATCTGTGAGCGTACGGCCGGGGGATGAAGCATTTCCTAGCGATGATACCACTGGTGTTTTTACATTGTTCCCCTCGAATGGCGCAGGCGTGTTTTACGTTTCGGTATTTTGTGGCCAGTATATTTCTTTGCCCTTGTTCCAACGCCCCTCTCTCTCTCTCTTTCTCTCTTTCTCTCTCTCTGTCCTTGTTCTTTTTTCTCGCTCCTGCGCTGCGTAGACGTAATCGTGCGTCTGCAACGAGATAGGCGAGGCCTAGGGTTAGACACGCCATCCCTGAGCTGAAGTAAACGGGGCAAAAGCTACGAAAGTAAGACAGCGAGAGGACAGGGAAAGGGGGCGGATAGAGAGTGATATTCTATTTCTTCTTGTTTTTCTTTCTTTCTCTCACGAAGTATGCGCATACATAGTACGATTGTAATTAGAGACTGGACCAAGTCAATTTTCGCTCCCTCAAGCTCGCCCTCTTTTTGCTTCATGTTCTTTTTCTCAGCAGGGATGCTAAAACAGATGTGAGCCGTAATAACTAGCACGAGAGATACCAAGAAGATCAATGATCTTGATGCACTGTCAGTGGATTGATCCATCGCCGCGCCATTGACGCACTGATAATAGCATTTCCCACTGCTTCTCCTCTGCTCGCTGGATAACAAAGCTCGTCCAATATCAATTGACAGAAGGCTGGACTGGGCACGGCTAAGCCGGGCAGTGCTTACTAGGACGGATCAATTGCAGCTTGGACTGCGAAGTCCACTTGTCGTACTCTCTCTCTATCAGACGGCCATCGCCAAGCCAAGACTAGCTTACCTAATAACAAGTTGTGGGGTGGCGCGTTGACTTATATGCCTGCGCTTGCTGCGCTGTCCAGTGCTATTGATGCTGCTGGACTGGAATTTATTATGGGCCTGGCTGAATACGTGCATGGACTAATTGGGACGCTCAAACGCCCTGAGACGAAGACAGCTGAGCTTCATCAGCAAGAAGTCACATTCAGTCGTAAGTTGACCACATCAGCTCGCTCCTCCTTCTTGACACGACAAATTGACCGAGGCGCAGCAGTAAGAATTGAGCGAGGCACTACACTCTTGAATCGCAAAATCCTTCGAGCACCAGCCATTCCAGTTGATTGTCATAAACTCCACACAACCTCGACCTGTTCGCCGCCCAGTCTCGAGCACGGCTGTCACGGAACGCCAATTAGTCCATTGACATATTTCGCGAATTCCTCAGTCGACCCTACCCGTTTGCACTCCAGCCAGCACGCTTAGCGGGTCGTACGTAGCATTCGGCCACCACACTCACGACTAGAGATCCCCGAGAGCACATTGAGAGCGAAGGCGACAAAAGCAAACGAAGAGAAGGAGCCGAAGAAGACAGCGGGCGCGCTTGCAACACTCGCTTCCGCCGAAACCTACGAACGCCGAGAGGTTCCAAAAACGGGACCGGCTGCTAGATCTAAACGAGCCCTCGACGAAGCCGTCCGACTCGACCCCCACCCTTGTTGAGTCAAAATGGCAAACATGATACAAGACCTCATCTACTCCCTAGGCAACTGCCTCAATTGCTTTCCGGGCTCGCCGACCCTCAAGATCAATGGCCGGAGTTTCAAAATCCTACGGCTGCTTGGCGAGGTTCGTTGCCCCCTCCCCTTTGTCTCCCTCTCCTCCACTCCCACGCTCCGTCCATAGGGCTAACTCTCGTGCTCCCCTTTTCCTTTTTCCAGGGTGGCTTCTCCTACGTCTACCTCGTACAAGACACAAGCACTTCGGAAACGTTTGCGCTAAAAAGATTCGCTGCCCGTTCGGCGCCGAGTCCGTCGCCACCGCGATGAGGGAGGTGGAGGCGTACCGCCTGTTCCCCCACGCCCCGGGCATCATCCACATGGTGGACTACTCCATCGCGACTGACCGGGGCGGCTCCTCCGCCGACGAGGCCTCCAAAACCGTCTACGTCCTGCTGCCCTACTACCGGAGAGGCAACCTGCAGGACATGATCAACGCCAACGTCGTCAACAACGCCCGCTTCCCCGAGCGCAAGCTCATGGTCCTGTTCCTCGGCGTGTGCCGCGCCCTCCGGTCCATGCACAAGTACGACCCCGCCCCCATCGCCATGGAGAGGATGGAGATGGGCGACGGAGACACCCAGAGCGGCCACGCCAACGGAGCCGGCCGGAATAAGGGCAAGGGCGGCCAGAGGAACTCGAGCATGGCCGCTAGTATGGCGGATGAGGAGCACGAGTCGGAGCAGGAGAGGCCGCTCATGGCGGGAGAGGGCCTGGCCGCCGCCGGCAACATAAAATCCTACGCCCACCGCGATATCAAGCCTGGTAAGTTGTGTCGTGTCCCAATCCGATTCCTATAGGGGCAAGCGAAAAAAAGAAGAAGAAGAGGGAAGAAACCAAAGGACAATCCCCAGCCAGAACTGACCCAAAAAAATCAACAATAGGAAACATCATGATTGACGACTCGGGATCCAACCCCATCCTCATGGACCTCGGCTCCGTCGCCGCCTCCCCCATCCCCATCACCTCGCACTCTCTCGCCATCGCCACCCAAGACACCGCCGCCGAGCACTGCACCATGCCCTACCGCGCCCCCGAGCTCTTCGACGTCCGCACCGGCACCGTCATCGACACAAAGGTCGACATCTGGTCCCTCGGCTGCACCCTCTTCGCCTGCCTCGTCGGCAAGTCCCCCTTTGAGATGCGCTCCGACGAAACCGGCGGTACCCTCTCCCTCTGCGTCCTCGGCGGCGACTGGCGCTTCCCCGACGAGGGCAACCCCGCCGGCGCCGGCCTCCGCCGCGCTCCCACCAACCAGGCCGCCGATCCCGCCGCCAACAAACCCGGTTCCGACACCCGCATCAGCGAGCCCGTCCGCCAGATTGTCCGAAAGTGCCTCACTGTCGAGCCCAGCGAGAGGCCAGACATTGACGAACTCATCGAATTGGTGGAGACCGTCATCGAGGAGCTGCCCCAGGATTCCGATGCGTAAAATGGCCGGGACGCGAGTTGGCACTGGAACTGTCGTCAATCCTGGCTTTCTTCCTTTTACCCCTCCCACCGCCTCCGTTTGCTAGACGTTATTGTCGGTCGAGGCATATGCATGCATGCTACCTGCCGGGCCAAGATACGCCTTCGTTCTCTCTATCTTTCCCTCTCCCACCTTGTACAGAATGGCGATGACTATGATCTGGGACCTCTCCGGCGTCTTTGTTTTGGTTTTTTCCCTCTCCCTTTTGCTTGGCTTGTCCTTCTTTTAGCTTTTGCCGTTACTTGATCTCCCATGCTACGGACGATTTTGTATCAATATGCTACCTCTTAAAAAGAGAAAAGGAAAAGAAGAAGGGCCAAAAATTGAGGGATTTCAGGTGGGTAGTCTCTTGTTCTTAACAAGTCTACCTCGGTACTCGTCATCATTTAGGAAACAGGGCCCGTCACACTGAAGGAGCTCATTACTTGCTTCAATAGTTCTGTTATACGCTATGTGTGACATACAATTTTAGATGGCAGACGCCAAGAACAGAATCAATACATAGTCCAATGCTGTGGAATCGCTGTTGTTATTGTATGACGATACCTGCAGGCTGATTTAAGAGCCAAACTTTGGCCATCCCGCTTCAGCACCGGCCTTGGCCATATAAGAGGATGGGATATCCGGCCGCACAATAGACTGTTCAGTTCTGAGAGTGAGGGAAGAGGGAGAGGCTGAGTGAGGGTGAATGAACGCAAGAGAAAGGGAGCTGTGCCCCAGCGCACCAAGAGGAAATGAAATGCGAAAAGAAAAGAAAAAGAAAAACTTCAAAACAAACTTAGGACACTGACACATATCGCAAGCGCCGCTCGTCGTTGGACGTCCTTTGTCCCCTGCCATGTTGCCGTGCACCTACTTGTCTCAAAGCTCGCCGCCATCATCCCGAATCTCGAGGCGGTATGTGGCCACCTCGAACGGGCGAAGGGTTATCTTGAACTTGCCAGCGCTCTCCATCTCCACCTGCTCTAGGTCATCCTCCAAAATGTTCGACTTGTATACCTTTCCGACGTTCCAGCTCGTCTCGACCACGGCACGGCTTCGGCTTCCAAGACTCTCGTACACGCGGATCACGACGCTTCGTCCTTTTCTTCTCGGAAGGTCGCCCCGGCCCACATCCTTGTCATCCTCGCCTCGCTTGACCGTGTCTAGGATCAACGACTCGTCTCCATTAAGGGTGACAGGGCGCTTTCCAACTAGAGTCTCGATCCTCTCCTTGGGTGCCTTTAGGGCCTTCAATGGACTGTTAAAGGCAAACGCGGCCTTGACTGTAGACGGACCAAGAGCGCCGGCATGGGGTAGAATGGCCCACTTGATTGAGTGGGTGCCCATGTCCGCATTGCCATCAGGTGCCTTAGGCGCACGGAGCAGTGACAGCCTCATCAGGTTACCGCAGGTGGAGAAACCGTACTTGCTGTCGTTGAGAATAGAGACTCCGTATGCGGGCTCAGACAAGTCAGCGAAACGGTGGCAGCAGACTTCAAACTTGGCCATGTCCCAGGTTGTGTTGTAGTGCGTGGGGCGTCTAGTGATGCCAAATGCCGTCTCGTAGGATGCCTCGGTATTGCGCACCTCTACGGGGAACTCGACCTTGAGGAACTTCATCTTCTCATGCCAGTCCACATCCGCCTGGCACTCCACCCATGACTGGGCTCCCTTGAGGGCTGCCGAGAGGCTGATCGTAGACACCAAGGAGCTTTCCTCGCTAATCTTGACTTTGGTCACGACGCTGACGCGGTGCGGCTTCCTCTCCGAGATGCGAGTCTCTCCGCAAGGTAGAGGCTTGGCGGTGTCGAGGTGGTACACTTCCACATCCCACGCTTGCCAATAGAGCGGCTTGTCGTCAAAGATGAGGAACTTGTTGGCCCTCTGCCCCTTTTCAATCACCTCCCGCTCATTCACGCGATCATAGAGAGACGTTATGCAGCCGCTTTCCACGGTAACCTTGAGCTGATCGTTCTGGAGAACGAAGACGCCCTTGGAGACTTCCTCAACGGTGACCGCCTCCTCGCCCGCAGTGGTCTTGAAGTTCTTAACCGCAATGAGTTGGCCCGAGCCGCACGCGACACCGACTTCACTCTCCGAGACCTGAACTAGCTCCTTGCGATGCCAAGGGAGGGTATTCAAGGCGACTGGATGGTTAGCGGCGTCTGGCGCGCCGCGGGCAACGCCGAGGACGCGGAAAATGTCCTTGAAGATGGCCTCGCCGGTCTTGAATACCTTGGCGTACAGCTATATTTTAGGGCACCCCTATTAGTCTACGGGACTACTACGCCCACAGGAAAGGAAATCACAGTATTACTAACCTCGTCCGAATCATCATAGCACATCTCGATCGAGCTCCCAGGGAGGCAATCGTGGAATTGGCAGAGAAGCACCGCCTCCCACATATCATCGATGTCCTTCTTCGGATACTTGTATGCTTTGTCTTGGAGGGAGGCTTGCGTTGCAAGACCCTCAAGGTCCCTCAGCATGGCTTCAGCCAACCTGTTGTATTTTTTGTTGTTGGCTTGGGTGGTGTACGTGCCACGATGAAGTTCAAAGTACAGCTCGCCGTACCAGGTCACAAAGTCGTCAGCCTTGGCCTCGAGCTTATCGAAGAAGTCTTCGGCCGAATTCCCCATGTGCACGCGGGGTAGCTCCGTCTGCCCGAGAGAAAGGTTGTCTGTGATACCGCGGCAGCGGCGTAGCTTCTCAATGTGCTCCCAGGTCGGGCCGCCGCCGCCATCGCCCTTGCCAAAGACCAAGAGCGAGCTGGTGTCTTGACCCATGGACTTGTGCTGGGTCATACTGCGCCTGACGTCTCCGAAATGCGCCGATGCTGTGTACGTTTCGGCCGGGGGCATATGACAAACAACCTGAGATCCATCAAGGGAGACCCAGTTGAATGTGGTGTGGGGGAACTTGTTGATGTTGTTCCAGCTAAGCTTTTGGGTTAGGAAGCGGTTCATTCCGGCAAGGCGACAGAGTTGAGGGAGTTGGCTCGAATATCCAAAGGTATCTGGGAGCCAAAAGGTCCTGCACCTCTCCCCAAAATTGCTCTCAAAGAAGCGCTGACCGTAGAGGAACTGGCGAGCCAGGGACTCTCCGCTCGGCATGTTCGTGTCATGTTCCACCCAGCTGCCACCGATGGGGTGGAACTGGCCCTTGTGCACCTTTTCCTTCACGCGGTCGAATACATATGGGTAGTCTTGCTTGAGCCACTTGTACTGCTGAGCTTGGGAGCAAGCGAAATGGAGTTCGGGATAGCGATCCATGAGATCGCACTGGTTGGACCACGACCTCGCTACCTTGCGCTTTGTTTCGGCCCAGGGCCAAAGCCAGCAGCTGTCAATGTGGCAGTGGCCGACGCCCAACACATCAGGCGGGAGCCCATTCTCGTACACTTTGGGCGAGTCAACATGCTTTCCGAGGCACTCTTGCGCTATCTTTCGGCACCTGACAATGGATTCTTTGTCACCTTTAACAAAGGTATTGAGGATCCTCGTGGCAGCGTCGAGGGCGCGATGCTTTCCAGGAGAGTTATCCGGGAGTTCTCGCGCGGCATCACCGATGATCCAGATATCGATGTGAAGGGCACGGGCTTGCAAATTCACAGCTACAATGGAAGCCTTGGAAAGTTGATACCTCTTGTTGGGATCCGGCGGCTGGATAGAGTCACCACCGGGTGCGCAACCAAACATGCCGTTGCACGCCATCTCAATGTAGATGATGTGTTCTTTGCCGTCACGGAAATCGTTGGGGAGAATCCACTCAACACGTTCACCACTTCCCGTGAGGCCTTGGAGAGGGCGCCCATCCTCAGACCAGACCATACCCTCGTTGTTAGCGTCCCAGTGAAGCTCGAGGTGCTCCTTGTCATGCAGGTCATCAGGCACAGTAAGTGCGACTTTGAACCAATGGGTAGACCAGGACGGCCCGAAAGATTGGCCAACCGAGGTTTTCTCGAACGTGTGCGATGTTGCGTCTTTAAAGGTAGGACGGGTAAGATCTGGGGCATGCCAGACGGATATCTTTACGTGGGGTTCGCCCGAGACCTCGGCCTCATGCAGCATGCTATATAATAGGGAATCCTTGATTAGCAACGAAAAACGGCATATATGTGCATATACTAAGCGACTAGCACTCACGAACGGAGGTTCTCATTTTGATATTGCCCACCGCCCGTAAACTGTCCGATTCGGTCGCGGTAAAGGTTGGTGATCCACTGGCCCTTGGGATGAGCAGCCAGGACAGGGTATGAGCTCTTGCTCGTGGAATCTTCGCCGCCACCCATTATTCGAATCGCGACTTGGGCAACTTTTCAAGGCCGTGAGGTGGGGGCTGACGGTTTCTACTAAACTAGTCACTGACTAGCTGATGGCCGGGAGTAATAACGGCAACGATAGATGCCGTGTTTAAGGCGGGAAAAGGTCGCCAGGACCGGAGGGATGTCAATCTCGATATCCGAGTCGGAGTCACGTAGCCACAACCGATTATGCTGAGGAAGGGGGATTGGCAAAGGCGTTGCTGCATTCACAGCGAACAACGCATAGGAGCCCCTGGTGGTATGGGTGGGTCTCAAGGGATCGAGAGCACAAGTGTTGGCAGATCGTGGATCAGCCACTAAGAAGCATACAATGCCAGAGATACAGGTAATTCTGTAAATTGTAGGGTAGAAAGAAGATGAATGGGTTAGAAAGTTGTGAGGGGATGGTTAAAGACCAGGTGATGCGGACAGTGGTGAGTAGCTCGGCACCCAACGGAAACCAGTCAAGCTCCGCGTGCAGGTTGGACAAGGCGGTATGGAACAATTGATGGGGAGGAAAGCTGAGGAGGAATGCGGGGAAGGTTGAACCCGGGCCTGGGATGAGGATTGTGGGCGGTTCACTTGCATGTGGCACCCACGCACTCACGCACCCACTTGACGCTAGAGCTCCGTGAGCTGGTCCTGGGGAAGGGCCTGGCGCGGTGCGGGGTTGCACCTACCAGAAGTGGAACCTGGGTGGGGGTGGGGGTTTCCATGTCATGTTCCAGATGATGACGACGGGAGGAGGGGCAAACAGAAGGCGGGGCTTGAAAGCACAGGGTCCGTAACAGACCTGGCGCAGACACTCCCAACAACCAGGGAGGCACCTGCCCCGAATAACAAAAGTATGCAGCCCTTGCCGAGAATTGTACTGTATGAAATCAATTGATGCCTTTAGCATTCGAAGGTTGAAGGCACCTTCTTAAGAAGGGTTCAAGTCTAATTTTCAGCCTCTGGGTAATTTGAGTGTAATTGAAGTTTGTGCAAGGAGATTGACTCATATTTGAAGTTTGAAATATCTGGCACTCGCAGCCTTCCTCAAAGCAAAATAACCAGGGGTTACCTCTCGATTGTGCCTTGATATTCCCGTCTTAGGAGATAGTTGAATGGAGACTACATGTAATTGTTGGCAAGTTTGTAGGGCGGGCGCCTTCTTTTCAGGGAAGATCCGTTGTCAAGGGCTTGAAATCATCCCGCTATTGTATCAGTGCTTCAGTGCTCCATACAATGGCCAGCGGACGAGCAGAATAGCCTAGAGGTACTTTCCCTCCTCTTCAATGTTCCCAATGGAAGACTTAGGCTGACTTAGGGGTCAGAAGCGAAGGGTGCGATCGGGTAGCCCAGCTTGCCTAAGTTGAGGCGGCGCAAATATCCCTGGATCCAATTGATCCCTTTGTTGCAACATGTCCATCTCCCTCTCCCTCTCACATGCACACATACTCTTTATCTTCCCCTTGTCCTCCGAAATTTGATCACAAATACCTTGGTAGACACAAATGAGCCGGTCAACCCCGATGTGCATTTCCTCATCACCCCCTTGCCCCCTTGCATACGCCCTAGAAGGGATGGCGGGTATGCACCTCCGATTCGGCGCCTCACCAAATAAGTTCCGACAAGGAGACCCTCCGACCAATGGTGGATTCGCATCCTGCCGTTGAGAGTATCTAGAGGTTGATATATGTAAACCCGAATCAAAGAAGAACGACGATGCATAGCGTTGATGATGATGTATTATCCTACCATTCCTCCACTCATGTTACCCGTGAAGAATTATGATCATGCTACGAACAAAAGCCCCAGCCCGCCTAGAATGTGTGTATATATAAAGAAGAAGAAAAGGAGGGAAAAAAAGAGGTAGAAAAGATGGGAAATCGCCTGATAAATGTGATAGAAAGCGTGTCCTGCGCCGGCCGCGAAGGGCTCAAGTCCTGATATCATACTCATAACCCTTGCTTCCAGAAAAATAAAAAACGAAAGGCGGGACAACGCCCCCATCCCCACGAACCTGAAAATGAAGACATAAAAAGAAACTCAAAAACAACCATGCAAATGATAAGAGATGAAGGGGGATATAAAAGAAGAAGAGGGAAAAGGAGAGGGCCGTTTCTGTTATAACAACGAGCTTCCTTCATTGCCCCGGCTTCCTTTGCCCGTACCGCCGTGTACAAGCTCCGAGCCAAGCTCCTCCTCTTCGTCGAGTTCATCCATATCTTCGTCTTCGTAAAGATCTTCGTCATCTTCGTCGTAACCCTCCTCATCGTTCTCCATCTGAGCCTCTCCAACATTCTCGTTTCCGACGGCGTCGTCGAGGTCTCGAGGCTCGGGCGGGTCGCCCACCACCTCCATCTCGCTACGACCACTGCACCGCGGGCATTCGTTTACGCTGTCCGCTTCATCCTCGCTCTCGCTTTCTTCAAACGAGAGCACCCCATGAGGGGCACCTCAATGTTTCGATACTGGCTCTTGATGAGGTTGTCCGCCATCTCAAAGAGTTTTGTATCTCTGTCCGGGGCGGTTTCGGCGTCAACCGAGAACGACGCCTCGTCCTTGTCCATGATGCGGTCCATGGGAAGCGTGTCGACCGGCAACGGGTCTTGGGGCACCTGAGACACCCAGCGTCGAACCCTTTCTCCCTTGGGCACGGGACGCGGTTGGGTACGCCTCTCGCGGAGACCCCTTCGGAACTTGTCCTTTTGCTTTCTCCGCCGTCTCCGGATCCGGTCCCGGACGTACCACGCAACCACGAGCATGGCTGCCTGCATCGTCTCGTGGCACTTTTGGCGGTACGTGTTGGCCCAGGCCTGGCATCTCTGCTGCTGGTAGTTGGTGATGGCCTGGCACCGCTGCTGGTAGAATGCGGCGATCCGCGTTGCCATGACCATGTCCTTGGGGTCCATTGGGAACTCCATCATGGCGGGGGTTGCGCTGCTTGTGTCGCCGTGCGGGCCGAGTCGGTGGCCGCACGGAAAGTAGGCGGCAGAGGCGGTGGCTGCATCCGCTGCTGCGTCTGGTCTTTTTGAGCCTGCCCAAGGGTCTGTTGTTGTTGCTGTGGTTGTTGTTGCTGCTGCTGCTGCTGCTGCTGCTGTAATTGCTGTTGTTGTAATTGTTGTTGCTGTTGCTGCTGTAATTGCTGTAACCTCGAGACTTTTTGTTTCTCCCCGTAAAGTCAGTTGGAGTGGGGAGAGGGTTGGCTAGGGTATTCATTTTGGAGTTGGGAGGTTGCAAAGGAGCTAGCTTTTGTAAGAACGATTGATTCTCCGGAGGGGGTAACCGGAGTGAAGGGATTTATGGCTGTCGTCGTCATCATCGCGAGTACAGGAAAGGTGGAAAGAAAATGGGTTGGTCTCGTATCGATGACCAGGGTTTCTAGAGTGAAGAATCAAGTCAAGGAGTCCTCTGCTTCCTACTTGTCCATCACGGGCCGACCGGTTACACGGCGGCGATTTCGGGTGGTGGGTGTGATAAGGGGTATTCGATCCGCGGGTAACAAAGGAGACGAGAAAACGGGTGACCTTGAGATGGATCGAGAATCAAGGTTTCGAGGCGTCAAGGTGTAAAGGTATCAGGGTATTTGATGGAATTTGGCGTAGGTGAGGAAAGATATGTGTCTTTCCGTCTGCGTGTGCCTGTGTACCTAGGCTTCTATGGCTGGACGTGTGAAGGTAGGCAGGCGGTCGGTGTGTGTGTGTGTGTGTGTGTGTGTGTGTGTGTGTAGTCGGATGAGTAGATGGGTGCGTGGATATGTATGTTTGTGCACGAGGAAAAGAGGCGAGGTATAGCAGGGACGTGGAATTTAAGTGTCAGGTCTGTCGATAGGTTTCTCCCAATAGAGTAGAGTAGAGCCAAGGAGGAGTAAAGAAGATGGAGCGGGGGCAGGCTCCCAATAGCTTGGAGGAGGTTATGCTCCCGGGGTCATATATATCGAACCGTGGGAAAGCCGAAAGCAAAGACTCGAGCTGCTCCACCCTCTAAACTCCGGGTTCGATGTTATCACAGGAAACATCCATTAAGGATCGATCGGATGGGACCACGAGGTACCACTCTACGACCTAGGCTATGATATCCCACTGACCACTGGACCATAGGCCACAGGCCACAACCCACTCACAACCAACAAGGAAAGGTTAAGGGGGAGGGACGGACGGTATCTCCGCTAGCCGCAAGGAAGCACATATTACCTTTGTCTACCCTTTTCTTTCCTGTTCCTTCTTTTTCTAGGGCGGACCTTTTTTTCGGTTTCGGTTGCTTAGGAGGCACGCCCTCTTACGAGACTACTCTAACAGAAAGAGAGGGGGAGGGGTGTGTGTTGAAAAATGTCATGCCAGTGTGTCCTGGCGCGCCGGGAGCCAGAAGTGTAGACAACGTGTGTGTGAATGTACACTCCGCAAATAATTCATTGGCAAGTTGGCCGGTGGCTTCGGCGTGGAACAAAGAAAAAAAGGAACGAACAGGCGAGCGGGCGAAGAAAGGAACAACAGGGAGGCGTCAGAGGCGGAGTCGGAGGGGCGTGTGAGCGAGCGACCTTGACCCGCGGACGGAATCGAGCCAGCCAGTCAGTCGAGAGGAACTGGGTTGTCTTTGACTGTTTCGGGTCAGTGGTCGGGCGATAAATTTGGGCAGTGAGGAAAATGGGCTGATGGGGCCTGGAGAAATCGGCCGATCCCGCAGAAAAAGGTGGCACCGGATGGTTTGGGCCATTTTGGGGGGGTACAAATGAGAGGGCGAGTCGAGGGTGAGGAGGGTGCGTCGAGGTCGACAATATTAGCGGAGGGCACAATAATGCACTCCGAGTACATTGATCCATCTGTCCATTGGAACATTGAATGGATCGATCGACTTGTATTGTCAATTCGAATGAATCTACTCCATTCATAGTGCAGGAGGCCACTAATAGAAGGGGGCAGGAGAGACCAAAGGAATTGATGGATCCATCTGGATTGACCCATTCTATTGTTGATGCATCCCCGGCCTGCGTCTCCATTAAGCAACCGTTGAAGGCGACGAGATAAACAACATTTTGTGTTATCCGCCCATTCTAGTCCTTTTTTTTTTTTTTTTTTTCTCTCTCCATAGCGCAAAGGCTCACGGAGAAGACAGGCGTGGGAGAGCTTAATGTCCCTGCTCGGCTCGGCTCTCCCAGTACCAGGCAAGAAGGGACAAACCCGTGGTGATGGAGTGGATTTCTGAAATCCCTCTCTGTCGGATGACGATTGATGGAATGGATCCATACTGATAATATGCGTATGTACGAATTTGTTTGGAGTCGTATTATTACATGGCCCAATCCAAACAGGGCGAGCCCTGCTGAGTGGCCCCAGAGCTGAGCAGGGATTTGAAGGATTTCCAAGTCGAGATGGCACGATCAAGAGATGGACGCATGTATTAGATTTCAGTCTTCTTCTTGTTCTTCTTATCCAGGTTACCAGTAATAGATCCTTACCATGTATTAACCACGTATCTTCCGACGCACAACCTCGTCACGGCGTTACTCACCATCGACATTCTCTTCTCCAGGGACCAAGAGACCGTCGTCGGGCTCTCACTTCTTTCCTCGAGCCAGGACAGGCCATCGACGCTTCACTTGTCAGTCTTTACTTTCTTGCACCACTTCACTTGTTCTTCGCCTTTTCTGCTTCTTCCTCTTTTCTCCCTTCTTCCCCGCCCTTTCCAATTCCATCCCTTTTCCGATCTACATGTAGACGCCCTCATCATGAGAAGCAAGCTAGCCAGACCGCTCCTGTGGTTGTGGGGTGGGCTCTGCCTGCTCATCAAGCATTGTGGCGCCGCCACGGCCGCGTTTGAAGACGAGCCCCATCCGTTATCCAATCCATGGCCGGGCGTGTACAGGTCTCTGCCTACCCTTCACCGTACCCCTTGAGCCGCCCCAACCCAATTTCGCACTTTCCAAAAGGTTTCAACGTTGTCGTTGCCTTATAGGTAACGGCGGGAAAAGAAACCAGGACAGGTACATGCGGTAACCTCGACCCACGTCGTTGAGCGGCGCCATACCTTACGAGTGGCAGAGACACTGCTGGGCGTGGTGATCCAAGTGTCCATCATAATCGAGCCATAATTGATTACCTCCCGTGCCATTGTGCATGAGGAGCACTGAGGGGAAACGAGGCCGACCCCTCTTCTCCCTCCAGCAATCTGACCGCTGGCCTGTCTCTGACCTGTCTCTCATCATGGCTGGCCCAGCCCCGAATAGGGTTTGGCTTGTGTGATGAGGAAATGGGGGCCATGGCTCGAATTCGGCCACTATTCCTCGCTTGGGAGTTCCAGCCACACCCTATTCTCCTCCTCTCCCCCTTTCGTGTGCGCTCCTGGCCCCATGCTACCGCGATGCCGTGAGACTGTAGGCGGGGTGTTCGGTTCGCGGGGTGCTCAGAAGTAGGTACAAGTACTCCCGCTCCTTTCCTCCTTGTATCCACCTACAGACTCTCTACCGCTCCGAGCATCTATCATTGCGCCTGGCCGATACTTATTGGCTAGAAGTACTGGGCCCATGCCCTGCCCTCCTCCGTCCGACGAATCCGCCTTATGTGGACGTGTAGATGCACAGAGAGGAAAACAACTCCTGCATCTCGAATGCCAGATCCACGCCAGGTGCCCCCTGTCCTGTCCGAGATGCGGGAGGCGTGTTGTTGGTGCCATAACACTGGGAAGAGGAGCAGTCTCCCCACCTCTCCTCGGCATGGACCTACTATGATGAAAGACCAGTGTCCATTTATATGCGCGCGGATGTAGAAGGTGACTTCTGTCACCACCTGTGCCTCCAACAACACACCGAGGAGCCATGCTAGTCCCAAGAAGGGCAGCCCACCCCACTTCTCTGCTTAGGTTAAAATCATTGTAGTACTTTGTTTTTCCTGTCTTTCGTTGCTCGGTCCGTTCTACCTTGAAAACAGGTAGAAGGAGAAGGAAGGGGAAGGGTTGCAATAATCTTAGTCGATGCCCGACGAATCCATTCACTCCCCAATGATTCGAGCTCCAACCATTTCATCATTTCCAACTCTCCGACCTGTGTACCGAGCTGGCACTCGAGCCACAAACATTCTCCGGACCCGGCGAATGCCCATGTTGCATGTATATCTCCTCGACCATGCGATCAGCGGATTTTTCTAAGACCGGGACCACAAGTCCCTGTTTTCCGAAGCTCGGGGCCGGACGGCATATCTCGAGGCTGGATCCCAGATACCAGATATTATCATCAGAGATGGCAGGTTTGAGGGCAGATATGGCATGGATGCAGGGTGTTTCGAGGCCAGGCCCCTGCTACCCCGGTACTTATTGATCGCTCACTCCCCATCGTTCTCTGGGGAATGAGCCAACGCTGAGCAGCCGGTGGTTTAAAAAAGAAAAGGAAAAGGATGGTCTCCGATAAAACCTCGTCAGGCGAGGTTGTAATATCTGTGCTTTCTGCGATAGTTCGATATTCCACCATGCCACTTCATACTCACCTCCATGAGACAAATGGTGACGATTTATGCCGTCTTTCAGGTTGGAACATCCAATTTCTCGTGTCCTTGCTGTCATGTAAACTGCTCAGCCCATGCGAGTAGCATTGTTCGCCCGCCTCTGCGTTCCGTCTTGTTTCTTTCACTCCTAGTCTTGCTTTCTGCGTTTGCTTTCTTTTAGGCGGTTTTGCACTTTTGGTAAACTAATTGATCCAGATCATTTGCTCTTTGCCCCAGCAGCCTTTGGCGCTAAAGGCTAGGCGGGCCCTTCCCCATTCTTGGTGGACTTCGGGTGGTACCGACCCCCATCTACGAGGCTGAGATGTGGTGCAGCACTCATGGGTCTTGGGGAATCGGCGGTTCTGGTGTAGCACGGCACGAATCACCCTCCTGCATAGGCGAGATTGGCCGTGTTCTCTGGCATGGTGACCGAGCTCGACATTTCGCTACCCCCACCCTCCGACCTTGATCGGGGATCAATGTTTTTGCTAGAGTAGATGTATCCATGTTTCTGGAGCTGAACCATCGATGTGGCGCAATGCACAGAATTAGGGAAGGTGCTTAGGGGTCGTGCCATGTAAACATCAATAGATTGATGGGGCATGGGGAAGCCAGCTAGACTTCAATGTTTCCCGTGTGGATGGAATCGGACGCTTTGGATCCATCTAGATGCTGTAGCACCCAGAGGCATAGGTGCTAATTCCTCTCCTCCCTTTGTTGTTCAAGATAGCCTGGGTCAATGTAGCCTTGCAGCTCGATCCATGGATCTTTTTCTCTTCTCGCCTATTTTCTTCGATTTGCCTTCTTTATCGTCAGTTTCTCTTCGGGGAGGGAAGGGAGTGAAGGGAGGGAAAAGGCCATCTCCGGGTTGTCCTCGGAGCGCTCCAGCCGTGCTGAGAGATTGGCCCATAAGCCGGGGGAATCAGGGTCGGGGTCTGGCGTTTAAAGTGCTACACAGCAACACCGCGGGTGCTCGCGGAAGGAATAGCGTGTTCCACCGTTCGTCGATGGGACGAGGAGAGCAGCCAGACTTTCAAGCGTCCCAGGGTGCCCCAGAAACAGAGTTCAAACCTAGCCACTGTGGCGTCGGGAAAAAATGGATCAACCCGGAGAGCTCCAGAGCATAGGTCTATCCATGGATTGGACGGATCTTGACGGATTGATGATGGATAGATTTGACTCTATCCCTTGATTACAGGGAGCAAAGCAATTGTAATTATTGCCTGTCTGCCCGTCACGCCCGTCTCAGTGCCTGCCGTGGGCAGACCAGCAAGAATGCGACGTGGCGAACGACATGGCGGAGGAACATGACCGACAATGGGCGACATGGCTCGAAACCCACGTGCGCTTGTCCAATCAAACGTCAGGGCGGCGACCTCCACAGACCGGCCAAATGAGGCAACATCGATCAATGATCAATTAATTCCAGTTGACGCTGGCAGTACGCCCTCTTAGCTGGGGTGGGCTTGAAGACACCCCCTCCACCCTCCCCTAACTCCCCTGGAATCACGGATGGGTAGTCTTCCTGTCCACTAATACCCTCAATCGGCTAGCCAGTGCCCATAGATCCCTGAAGTCTATGCACAAACACGCGACCACCCGACGAGACGCAGAGGGACGATGGACAGGGGGCCATGAGCACTGGCTCTCGAAGTGTGCTCTGTTGCAAACTTCAGCCAACCAGCGTTGAGAAAACCTGAGGCTCCAGTGCTGGACCAAATCTTCCACAAAAGCAACAGAATCAACCTCAAGCTAATAATCCGAGGCTGTGGGCCACATAACCTGGATCGATTCTCACGCAACAAATCCTACGAAACATCTCATCCGGATTGCCCCCCTCCTCCCCTGAATCACCCCTCCCGCCTTTTCCCCGAAATAGGCTTGCGCTTCACCGCCCAACGGGTATTATTAGTCGCCATCTCTTGGCTCTCCGTTTAGTCCGTCCTGTTGCCTGCCAAGAATAGAGCCAAGGACCCCACGCCTCGAACCATCGAGGCCGTTTTGTTTTGGGTTCAGGACTCGGCTTCCTCTAGCATCCGGCCCTCCGCTTGTTTTGTTGGTGTCTAAGCCGTAGCCTGGTCGGCCCATGCTATTCCATACCCGCACGTCATCCTCTTGCCAGCCTGGTCCCATCTGCTTGCTCCTAACTGGTGGGGTTGTCTCTTGATCAATGCTCAGTGATTTCGACCCTCATACCCTAATGCGGACTGGAACATACTCGGCATTGAGGCACACACTCTCATTTACACCATCTTGCTAATCCACGCCATCTCGCGCGGGCAAGCACACGCGAGAAATCGCAAGCACACACACACACACACACGCACGCGGACCGAACCCTCGATTCGCGTTTGGGACAACAAGGCAGTCTCGCTCTTCGCCGCCGCGCCTTGTTGCCCAGTATTGTCGCTGAGCGCTGTCTCCCAGAGTTGTCGCCCATGCTGCCTAGACTGTCATGCCCCTTGCTCGCCACCACGGCCTCGTCGAATGTCGGCCGTGCTTTTGGCGTGCTTCGTCTCCAGGCGTCCACCTCGACAGGGCGAGTCTGTGGCCGCTGTGGTATCGCTACAGTGGCCGCTAAGCGTGCTCCATGGCTTCACCATGATTCGCATCCTTCCCGGTGTGGCGCGTTTGCAGCTCACCCTCCCCGATCCCTCGCGAGATGCTCCCCCGTTCATTAGAGTTTGTGCGGGGAAAGAAGACGAGATCGACGCTGAAGCTCTCGGATCTTCCCCAGGGAGTTATTCCTCCCTCGGAGGTGCAGCCCCACGAGGAAGACACTGGTCCCGCTTACCCGACTGTCGTCCTGCAGGCTCGGCGGAATATGCAAAAGTTCGACAATTGCGTCCTTCTCACGCGCGTGGGTGGCTTCTACGAGCTGTACTTTGAGCATGCTGAAGAATACGGGCCACTCCTCCATCTAAAGGTTGCTCAAAAGAAGACGAGCGCTGGCCCAGTACCCATGGTAATGTCCACCCTTCTCTTTCACGCCCCCCTCTTCTTGATATCCCCACCGCCCAACCCTAGCCGCCCTTCACCCTTCATCCTTCCACCCCCATTCCACCGGGTTACCTCGCTTCTCCTCTTCTTATCCTTCGCTCCTGTCCCCTCCTGGCTTCCGCTCATGGTCTGTTTTGTGCGAACCCCCGCCTTCGTCCTCCCGTACCTACCTTTTCTTTCCTTGATTTCGCTTAGCCCTTTGCCCGTAACGTAAGCATGACTTGATAGACGCCATACTTCCGTAATCTGGTCCGATGTTCATTTTCTAATCTTCCTCGTGTATTGCTGTTGTCCAGGCGGGGTTCCCCTTCTTCCAGCTGGAGCGCTTCCTCAAAATACTTGTGCAGGATCTCAGCAGATATGTGGCCATTGCTGAGGAATTCCTAATAACGCCGCCGACAAAGTCAAGTCGGGCGGCCTGTTGCACGATAGGCGAGTGGCTCGTATCATCACGCCAGGCACCTTGATCGACGAGAACTTTATAGATCCTTATGCCAATAACTACGTAATGGCTCTCCACGTAACCCCACCGCCTGCGCCTGAGCAGCTCGGGCCGGATCATGAGTCAGGATCCAGCCAACTGCGAGGCCTTGACTGCCCGGAGCGCGGTGCTGAGCCTAACGGTACGGAGCTGGGAGGGATGGATTCGCCTTCTTGCCCTGACTCGCCTGATGTAGACCTCCCGCTTGGCCTGGCATGGCTTGATCTCTCGACCGGGCACTTCTTCACGCAGTCCACTAACCTTTCGTCACTCTCATCCATCCTCTCCCGCATAAGCCCGCGTGAGGTGATTCTAGACCAAAGCTTCCGGTCGAGACCTGACCATGGCCTGTCCTCTATCCTCGCTGAAGATCGATACGTGATCACGTATGCTCCCATAGGCGATCGTAGGCTTGAGCTGGATGACTGGACTCCCATGCTGGAATCCGAGCTTCCCCAAGATTCACGGCAGGCCTTCACCAAAGAAGAGGTATCGGCCGGTAGTCTCCTGCTAGGATACGTAAAAGATCGCCTGCAGGGCATGAGCATGAAGCTCCAGCCCCGCTCCGCCACGAAAACATGCACATCATGAATATTGACAAGAATACCCTAAGGGCCTTGGAGATCAAGCAGACAATACGTGATGGCTTTTTTCGTGGAAGTTTGCTGCATGCTATCCGGAGAACGGTGACGAAGAGCGGCGCCCGTCTTCTGAACGAGTGGTTAAGTAAGTCACCTAACACATCGCAACAATGAAGCGTAAACGGGCGGAAGGAGAGAAAGCTGCCCATCCTCGTGATGCACTCATCAACGTAAATTCCTCCAGGCTGCTTCTTCATGCTTACTTTCTTTGCCTTTCACCCCCTTTTAGGCTCGCCGTCCACCTCGCTCGATGTCATCAATAACCGCCAAGAGCTCGTCGCACGATTCATCGAAGACGAAACTCTGCGGGAAACCATCATACTCTTCCTCAAAAGAAGCCACGATTCGCAACGCTTAGTCCAAAAGTTTGCCCTTGGGCGCGGCGACCCGGACGATCTCGTCGCCCTAGCCAACACGATCCGCGCGACGGAGGAGATTGTGCGGCTGCTTACCGAGCATGCGGGGCAGGAGGAGACCGCGGCCCCGACACCGGAAACCGAGGTCGTGCCGCCCAACTGTCTCTCCGCCATGGCAGCGCGCATCATCCTCGACGGACCCCTCAAGCTCGCCAAACGCATCAAGGACGCCATTGACGAGGAAGGCATCGTTCACCGGCACGAGATTGAGGATACCGAGGCCGACCACATGCTCGCCCTCGCGCAAGAGGTCGTCACCTCGGAAGGGTCCAGCGAGGACGCCGCGGTGCTGCCCAAGGGCAAGTCCAAGAAGCGCGCCACCTCGCTGCGGGAGCACTACGGAGAGGACAACGAGCCGTGGATCATGAAGCCGAGCGCGAGCGCCACCCTCAAAAACTCCACCGCCAGCTCGACGCGCTTTTGGAGGACAAGACCGCCCTCGGCGAGACCCTCCGCGAGCAGCTGGGCGCCCAGTCGCTCACGCTGCGCTGGAGCCCCGGCCTCGGCCACATTTGCCACGTCAAGGGCAAGGACTCGCGCAGCCTCGCGAACCTCAAGACGCTGAGCTCGAGCCGGACCACGCGCTCGTTCCACGCGCCCGAGTGGACTAACCTCGGCCAGCGCATCGACCAAACGCGCCTGCACATACGCAACGAGGAGCAGCGCGTCTTCCACGCTCTTCGCGAGAGCGTCGTGCTGTCCCTCGTGAAGCTGCGGCGCAACGCCGCCGTGCTAGACGAGCTCGACGTCACCACGTCCTTTGCCGGCCTGGCGCTGGAGCGGGGCCTCGTGCGCCCGCGTCTCGACGCCTCGACCGCCCACGCCATCGTGGGCGGCCGGCATCCCACCGTCGAGGAGGCCTGCAGGAGCAGGGCCGCTCCTTTATGCGCAACGATTGCCTCGTCGGATCCCCTTCCCACGGCCGCGTCTGGCTCATCACGGGACCCAACATGGCGGGCAAGAGCACCTTTCTCCGGCAAAACGCTCTCATCACCATCCTCGCCCAGATCGGATGCTACGTCCCCGCCTCCTACGCCTCGCTGGGCATCGTCGATGCGATATTCAGCCGCGTCGGCTCCGCCGACAATCTCTTCCGCGACCAGAGCACCTTCATGGTCGAGATGCTCGAGACGGCGCATATCCTGCGCGCTGCCACACCGCGGTCCTTTGTCATCATGGACGAGATTGGCAGGGGTACGACGCCCGAGGACGGCACTGCCGTCGCTTACGCTGCGCTGCACCACCTCGCAACGGTGAACCGGTGCCGCACGCTGTTCGCTACCCATTTCCACGCCGTGGCAGACATGGCAGAGGAGGCCGGGTTGTGCGCTATTGCGGAGAAGAACGCGGGTCTTGGCGGCGAGAATACCCGCGGAGGCGCAGCGGTGGAGATGTACTGCACAGACGTGCAGGAAGACGAAGGTGGGGGTTTCGTCTACGTGCACAAGTTACGGAAGGGGGTCAACCGCCAGAGTCATGCCCTCAAAGTGGCGCGCCTCGCAGGCATGCCTGAAGCGGCTATCAAGACGGCAAAGCAGGTTTTATGCAAGACAGGGGTTGACGGTGCACGTCGGTCTACAAATGGGCGCATGATCTACGAGCAAGTCATTACAACACGTTTCATTCACAAGGAGAGGCGAAGTGCGGGAGGCGGCGTATTGGAAAAGAAGAAAAAGGGCAATGCCTGAAACTGTAAAACACTGATGTAATGTTAGCTGTGATACCCTTATACAATGCTTAGAAAACTAAAAGTGAGGATAAAAGAGTACAGCTGGTGTCTGAGTCATAGGGTGGTGATGTGTTGGGTCATCAAAATAGAGATTCAGGGTTAAAAAGCTCTTGATTGTTTGGATTATAATCATCCAGACGCCAGCTGGTACGGGGAGGAGCAAGACATGGTAACGAGAGAGACCAGAGGGAAAAATGGACTTCAACTTACGTTTCATGGCACTTGAAGCCGAACGATGCTTTCCCGGTTAGGTACATCCAGTGCATACGATTCACAATAGTAGGGATGCGAGACGAAAAGAGAGGCAGCAGAAGCCCGGATTTGAACAGAGTTAGATTCCGAACAGGGATACTATGTGGTGTAACCCGTGGACCAAAAGTCCACAAACTATTTCATGACCAAACGGCCAACTCATAGCCATACCAAGGTCGGGGCAATCTCTGTCGAATCTCCACTTATTGGATTTAGTCGCTGTGAAAGTTGTGTTAGTTAGTTATTGCTCACGATTGATTCTCTGGGAGCAGAGAGGGCTGGCAGGGGAATGGAAGACAGGGGGCGAAAAACCACCCAAGGATAAAGAAGAAAAACTTACAAGAGACCGCCGAAGCCGCCCTCGTCCTCATCCTCCTCCTCCTCAGAGTCGTCCTTCTTCTCGTCGGCAGCAGCGGCGCCGGAGTCGCCACCGGAAGCAGCAGCGGGAGCAGCGGAGGCGTAGGCATCGGGGTTGGCGATACGGTCCTTGAGCTCCTCAACCTCGGGCCAGGAGAAGTCGGTCTCGATGGCGATGGCGAGGACCTTCTTGTAGCCGTTGATGAGGAGTGGGCAACGGAAGGAAGGGTAGGGAAGTTAGCGGCGAGAGAGACGGCGGCAATGGTGGTGACAGCAGACTGGAAAGACTTGAGGAGCTGCTCGTCGGTGATGTCGAGGACGGAGGCGGGGAAGCAGTTGCCCTGGTCGTAGACCTGGACGATTCCGAGACCGTAGGTGAAGGGGAGATGTTGAGCATGTTCAGGAGGGTGGCCTCGGAAGGACCGACCTTGCTGTTGGCCTCGACGAGCTTAAGATCGGTGGTGATTTCAATGGTACCACGAGCAATCTTGGTGGGGACACCGAGAGCCTGGAAGAAAGAGGTCTTGCCGGGTTCCATACCGGTGTTTCCGGCGGGGACCCAGACATCGATGGGGGCGACGGCACCAGCACGAGCAGGGGCAGCGACACGGTTGTTGAGGATCTTGTCACGGATGTCCTTGAGGTCGTTGTTGGTGAAGACGAAACCGACGTTGCCACGGACGAAGGGGAGGAGACGTTCGTAGTCGGGGAGGTCAGTGATGAAAGTACGGAGCGCACGTCGGATCTAGACAAGTTCAAGTTGGCGATTAGTATAAAAGAGGGCTACCCTGCACCCAATCCGGCAAAGCAATCTGCGAAAAGTAGGGAAAAGAGAAACAAAGAGCAAAAAAGGAAAGCCCAGACTCCCCAGGGCCGAAACAAGCAGAGAAAAATATCATATTTTACGATTTGAAAGCTAGGGATTGGTAACAAAACTCACCATGGTGTTCTTGCCCATGAGGACGACACCCTCTCCGCGGAGAGAGGCACGAATCTCGTGCATCTGCTGAGAGCTGACATTGTCGACGGAGACGATGAAAACCGACTTGTAGTCCTCCAACAGCCCCCGGAGCTTCTCGAAGTAAACGGCCTTGTTAGTTTTGCCCCCATATCTTCTTGTGGATGAAGGCAGGATGTTTAAGGGCAAAATGGTATGAGTTGAGTTGGAAAAAAAGGAGAACTGACGAAGTTCTCTTGCTGGACTTTTTGGTTGATGAGGTGAAGTTCAGAAATTCTTCTCGAGATCAGCCGCCAGCGAGTTTTGGACAAAACGTGTGTGCTTGGGGGAAATGCTTGTTAGGGCAAGTATTGACCTTGCCCAATTGGGACTAGCGCGGGGTGATTTCAATACTGGCAACGAGAGACCGCCAAAACGACAGGCAAGTGGGGTCCAAAAAGATACATGCTACTTGTACTTTTTTTTTTTTTTTTGGAGCCGGTCTTTGAGCTCGCTCATGACGCCGAAGTGGGATGTTTTTCATGTCCGTGACGAGGATCGGTCGCAAAGAAGCTTCTTTTTCCATCTAGCTGAACTCGAGCCCAAAGAGCTGTCTTTTTTTTCCTTTTTTTCTCTTATTTCTTTTCTCATTTTCTTTTCTTTACAAGTGTATCTATTTCTGCGCTCCATTTGCTCGCGCTTCGCTTCCCTTGTCAGGCCAGCCCCACCATCGCGATGAAGGTTCCCTACAGCTGCGTAGCCAGCCACGCGGAACTGTTGTTCGCTTCGCGCGGCGGCCAGATCCAGGCCTTCAACCTCGAAGGGGGCGCTCCGTTATCGACGTGGAACCATCCCGAGGCCGACAAGGAGGCCTCGGCGACGAAAAGGCGCACGACGGGTCCGAAGAGCAGCCCCTCTTAGAACCCGACAACCAGCCGCCGCAAAAGAGGCAGAGGCTGGAGGAGGACACGGACGAGAACGAAGACGATGCCCCCGCGCAGGAGATGGCCGGGGAGCGCGTGAATGAGCAGGCCCAGATAGCCAAGAAGAAATCCAAAAGGACCATGCCCGCGTCAACCGAGACCCCATATCGAAGCGACCCGACGTGCACATCATCGTCCTCCTATCCGTGTCGAAAGATGGCAAGTACGTGGCGGCCGTCTCGGCCACGACAAGACCCTCTGGGTCTTTGACCACGATGGAAACGGTGGCTTGAAGGAGTCGAGCCGGAGGGCCATGCCGAAGCGGCCGTGCGCCATTGCCATCTCTAGCGACAACCGCGCAATCATTGTAGCGGACAAGTTTGGCGACGTCTACGCCCTCCCCTGACCCGGCCAAGGGCTCTCTCGGACAGGATGTCACGTCGCTGTACATCAAGCACCAGCGCGACCTTAGCAAACCCGCCGCCAATGCGTACACGGTGCACTCCAAGATCAACCTCCGCAGCCTGGAGATGCAGCAGCGCGAGCTGGAAAAGAAGAGCAAGGATCCGCAGGAGGCAAGTGAGCCGGCTTCCAGCGATCCGGCTTTCGACCATACCCTGATTCTCGGCCACGTCTCCATGCTCACCGATTTGCTCATCGGGGAGTACGAAGGAAGGCGGTACATTCTCACCTCGGACAGGGACGAGCACATTCGCGTGTCGAGGTATATACCGCAGGCCTACGTAATTGAAGCCTTTTGCCTAGGTCACGAGGATTTTGTCAACTCCTTAGCCGTGTCTGAGACTTATCCCAACCTGCTGATATCCGGCGGTGGCGATGACTCCCTATTCGTATGGGACTGGCCCAGTGGCCGGCTCCTTTCTGAAGCCGACCTCCTGAGCCAGGTTTGCCTCGCAGCTGATGTCAAACATGTTGCCGTCCAGCGGATACGCTCATCACCCTCGGGCATCTTTGTCATTTGTGAAGGGTAAGAATCCCTCCCCTTACTCCTTTTCACCATTTCCCTCGTTCTCAACGCCGTGCCGTTCACTTACCGTTACCTTTTTCTTTTTTTCCTTTTCCGGGAACATAGCGTGCCCGCCGTCTTCCACTGGCGACTTTCGTCCGATGGTACCCTGAACCACTGCAAGATTATTAGCTTGCCCGGAAACCCCTAGACTTAGTCGTGTCCACCTCGACGGAACCTAAGCTCGTGGTCGCAGTTGACCCCAGCGGCGCTGAGTCGGGACTCAGCCTTCTTGCCTATACCTTGACTGGCGGCGATGCCTGGCTCCTGGCCACAAACGCCTTTGACGAATTAGCGGGAGCAGACACCACTCTAGAACTATCCCCCACCCAAATCAAAAGCCTATTATACACTGTTGAGAGCCTCCGTAAGCGGGGACCGCAGATAGGCGAACAGGCCGGTGAAGAAGGACAATAAACCCACTTACGGTAGGTAAAGAGGGACAAACCAAACAGGGAGGGGGGCTTGTGGGAGAAGAGGAAACCACTCAAGCGAAAAGGAAAGGAATGGTTGGAAAAGGGCAGGAGCTAGCTTAGACATAGAAACGTTCATGCCATGTTATGTTGTCTTTTGCTGACGAACGAAGATATGAAATCCATCATGCAATCAAACCAATACCAAAGAAGAAAAAAGAAAAGAAAAAGAAAAGAAAAATAGAAATTGGTTGTAAAACTTAACAACATTTCGAGAAGGCGCTGTGCCTTGAACCGAAGTCACCCGAGGTAGCTGCATTTCATCCACGGCAAGGGGCGCAGGAGTTGCACCACTGTAACATAATGTATCCATGTTCCTTTTTCATTGGCACTAAGCGTTAAAGTGAAGAATAAGAACAGCATCAATTCCAATCAAGAAACCCTCTATGTCCCATGAACGCCAGCCGTGCTAATCTGCCAACAGCGGATGCGAGAATATGAGCGACACCAAGCTAACGAAAGCCAATTGCCAACGTTGACTCGATGTTAAATCGCATTGTGAAGACCGATTTCATGCCCTTCCGCCAACCCCGCTGGTCTGTTTGACGACAAGAAAGAAAAGGAAATAAGAAACCCGTGATCCACCAGCCTGTCGAACGCAGGCGCGCCCCATCCCCGCCAACTATCGCGCCGTAGCCTGTTCCAGTATGCTCGTGGCTTCAAATGCGCTAGAGGGAGGAATAAAATGCCCTCACCAACTGTGAAACAAGATCATGGTGATAAAGGCAGCCAGAAACAGGAAAGAAGATGAGAAAGAGAGAAACGAGAAAGGGAATCCGTCAACATCCGATTCGATCCGATCCGATCCGGCGCAAGTATTACTGTTTTCCCCAGCTCACCGCGCTGGCGATAGGGAAAAGGAGGTGGGTATATACGACAGTTCAGAAATTTCTTCACCCCATCCGGAATAAGTGACGACTGGGGGCCCGATTCGAGGCTTCGGATGAGATAAGAGGTGAAGAAGGGAAAGCGCAGAGGGACTCCTCCCTTACAACGCTTACTGAGAGGCGCACTGCACGCGCTCAGCATGGGGGTGGCCATCTTCGTCATCCTCGTCCATAGCACCACCAGCGCCGAAGCCGCGGCCGCCACCACGCTGGTCGACATCTTCAAGGCTGACGGGCTCGGTCATGGCATCACCAGGGGGACAGCCTCAACGGCAACCGAAGGCAACAGCTCGCGGAGAGCTTCGAAGTGGGCTGGGTTATCGGTCCAGTTCTTCTCAGGGAATTTGACATTGAATGAGATGTACATGCTGCCCATGTCGTGATGGCGAGGAGAGGGCATACCCTGTCCGCGGAGCATTTTTACGGTACCTAGTCAGACATGGTTAGCATATGAGCAATCGCTGGCAGCGAGTGGGTATTTCAGGGGTAGCAACGTACCAGGAGAGATAGCCTCGCCAGGAAGAATCTCAACGCTGAGCCAACGCTCATCAAGATGCTCGATGAAGACGGTACCACCGGCAAGGGCGGTGACGAGGTCGATTTCGCACTTGTAGAAGAGATCATCTTCCTTACGGGTGAACCGAGCGTGAGGCTTCTCCTCAATCTCGAATACGACGTCTCCGGCCTGAATACCAGGGGCTTGGTCACCCTCGCCTCGGAATTCAACCTTTGTGCCACTTCGGACGCCCCGGTCGACATGCACGTGAAGAACCTTCCTGTCCACAACGGTCTTCTTGCCTTGGCAACCCTTGCACCTGTCCTTCTCCTTGATGATCTCGCCCTCGCCATTGCAGTCTGGGCACATGGTCTGGAAGCGCTGGATCATGGGGCCCATCTGTCGCATCATGGTCTTGACACCATGGCCGTCGCAGCCCGAGCAACGGCGCACGGCACCTTCCTTGCCACCAACACCGCTGCACTTGGTGCAGACGATGGATCGCTGCAGAGCAAGCTTGGAGACCTTGCCCTTGTAGATGTCCTCGAGCGAGACCTTGTGTGTGTGGTGAATGGTACGGGCCTTCGGCGGTCCCCTGTTCTGCATACCGCCAAACATGCCACCGAGGCCACCACCGAAACCGCCGCCACCGCCGCCAAAGAATTGTGCGAAGAGATCCTCGGCGGCCATACCGCCACCACCGGCGCCGCCCTCAAGGCCGGCCTCGCCATACTGGTCGTAAACCTGGCGCTTCTGGGGATCGGAAAGGACTTCGTAAGCGGAGGAGATTTCCTTGAATTTCTCTTCGGCACCAGGGTTATGGGTGTTCTTGTCTAAAGCGGTAGTGTCAGCAGACGAGTCCAAAGGCAACAGAGTGAGACGGGAGGTAACAGGAGGGGAAACCCGCGGAGGACATACCAGGGTGATACTTCAGCGCGCCAGTCTTGTACGCCTTCTTTAGCTCTTGATCATTGGCGGTAGGCGCGACCTGTGAGCAGCAACAGGATTAGTATGTGTGAGTTAACGGAAAAGGAGGAAACCGAGGGAGAAGAAGGAAAAAGGTTCAGGATTCAAACACGGAGAAAACACGGAGAAGGGTGAAGACGCACGCCGAGGAGATCATAAAGTTTCGTTTCCTTAACCATCTTGAATGTGAAGAAGTCGCAATTACGTGACCTCTAGAAGAACGTGACACCGTCGCTGTTGGGCGAGTGACCCTGACTATGGGATGATTCTATTTTGATCTACGTTGAGCAGTGCTGGTCAGTCAATGTCTTTTATCAAAGGAAGCGGGGCTGGCCCATGGCAGATGGAGGAGGGGAACCCCAGATTCCGCGGCCTGGCGGGTGGTGGTTCCAGAAAGCGCCGAGAGTATTCGGGGTAAGCCAAGGGGAATGATGCCTTACGAAGCGAGGAGGGCGTCGTAGAATACGCTTGAAGAGGTTCCCAGTGTCGAGATACGACTGAGAGTTAGCCTCGTGTATCGGGTTTGGAGGGGTATCGAGGGTTCCTGTTGGGGGTGGTCGCGAAGGAGGTTGCGTTCAAAAGGAGGAAGACACAGGGGATGGAGAGACGAATGGCTCAACCCAAAAGTCCAAAGTGCTGTGAGGCGAGATGCTAAAGTCGACGAGCGAGGAAGATGTCGAGGGGAGGAATTGATGCGAAGGAACAAAAGGAAAAGAGAAAGGAAGAAAAAATCGACAGCTAACAGTGAGAGTCGGCAAAAATGTTGTTGCCTCTGGGGAAGTCTGGAATTCACGCTCCTCAGTACACAACAAGGGGTTCTTATTGCGGGCGAGAAGGCTACAGGCCGTCAGAGAAGGGGAAGGGCAAAAAAAAGTTGGTACAAACATTTTCGGGTCCGCTCCTGCGCCGGCTTCAAGTTCTCAGGTCAAAGTAACCAAATAGACAAGGTACGGGTGCCAGACCCTGGGCTCCAAGATCCAGAGTACCCTCCTCCCATGGAGCAAGGCGACAGTACTTACTGTCGGTGATGGCAGGTACCACTAATCCCCACTGTACTCTGACCATGGAAAGTTTGGGGGTTCTGGACTGGAAACGCCTAGATTCCGCATGCACCAATCAGCGTCGCGAAAACAGTATCGATGCAATTCCACACCAGCCCCATGGAAGAGTGTGGAAAGGCATCGATTCCGAGCCTCTTTGTGGCAAGTCGGTCAAGAAGAGACTTGTCTTTACGCTGTGAACAACGTGGCACAATCAGGTATCCCGTTATCAATAGTGGCCCGGCTTACAGGTACAAGTCAAGTTTAGAAGCCCCCAGCCTGGCATAGCCTGGCAAGCCTGGCACATCTCAGTAACTGCTATTAGTTGAACATTCTCCGAAGAGCTCAATGACATGTGGTTCTGGGCTCCAAGTCGCCAGCATTTTAGGCAAGCCCGGGAACAGCGAGAGTCTCGTGGAATAGTGCTTTCAAGACATGCCGATACCAGCTTTGAGAATGCGAGGCGCCCCGCACCGTGATCTCTTCGGTGGGTAGGTTTTCTTTCGGTTCCCACCGCTTTTCCCGTTTCGTTAATACTTTCCTTCCTTTTAATCCTACTTGGAATTTTCTTGCCCAATTTTCAGCGCTACTCTGCATTGGAAGAATACTGGATGTGTTGTAGATCTATTGCATTAAGTTTAACTTGTCAAGTGTATGGACAAAGCAAAACTACACTACGATTGAGGCCGGGCCAGGGGCAAGGCACTGGCTGGCCAGCCTCCACCGGAGGTTCCGTTGATCTCATCAGTAGCCTTATTATTTGATCCCCGATTGGGATCAACCATCGACGCTTTGCCAAGTTCCCCCGTGCCGAGTGTTTGGTGGATATCGATATGGTGTGGTCCCTGCGGCTCTTTTCTGATTTCAACATCGCCGGAGAAGTAAACTAAAGAAAAACAAATAAAACGAAAGGAAATGAATAAGGAGAGGGCTAGGCTCTACGCTCCAGCTTCCGCACATGAGTCTCCCCTGAAGCATATGTAGGCCTCGAAGCAATCCAGCAAATTGATGCTGGAATTTTACATGTTTCCGGACGGATTGCTCATCAAATCGCAAACGGTGCCCGTTGCCTATTGCTATCTTGGATGGACCAGGCTATCGCTGCCGTTCCGTCGTTCCGCCTAGTAGCCATCAAATGTTGTCACTGGCCCGCCATCCGAGAAGTTTGAGGGGAAACCAACATGAGTCTCAGCTGTAGATAGGGACGACACGCCGTGTATTATTTCCTCGTAGTCTATAATAACGCACACTCCAGGGTTATTGCCCTGTTTTCAAACCCGCTTTTCGCCGCCATGTAAAACATTGAATCCGCCAAAAATAAACCTTCTAACCGCTCAGTGGCTACATGTAAGGAGTCCAGGACCTCGGTGGCCAAGATCAAGGCAACCACAAATGATAACAAGCCGAAAAGAAAATGTAGGAAGATGAGAGCGGAAACGAGAGAATAAAGAACTAATGCACATACAAAACCGGCTCAATGCCCCTCCCCATCCTCCATTCCTTGATCAAGCCAAAAGGAAAGGAGGGGGAGGAGTGAAAACAAAAGCCAAGAGGGAAAGGGAAAAAAACACATGTTATGGTAAGGTGGTACAAACAAACAGTAACCTCGATTAAGAGGAAGGGGACCCGGGAGAAATAGGTAGTCATACAAGAGAGGGCGAGGGCGCATGGTAATATAAGTCCTTCTAGAAAGTAAGATGGGTTGTTTTCATAACGAGCAAGGTGAGCCTTTCACCCTTTTTTCTCCCTCCACCTCCTACACTTCTTCTTCACTCGTCTTTCATAGAAGAAGGTTGCGTAGTGAGGGCTTGCGCTAGCACCGCTTGGGGGTCGTTGTTCGTGGGGGCGTGGCGGCGGTGGAAGAACGGGAGGGGACTCTCGGATGTATGGCCCGCCTCCGTCCCTTCCTACGGGCTGACCGGGATGGAGTGGGGGACTAGCGTGGGATGGCCCATACGGTGATCCTCGTGAGAGGAGCCCCTGTGAAATGTGATCTGGAGCTCGTGGAGGGGAGGTGGCGGCGGTGTACCATTCGGTAAATGATGTGGGACAACCGGATGCGGGTGATACGGGTGTATATAAGGGTTTGGAGGCGGCGGCGGCACCCCGGATCGTAAAGGCGACGGGGGTAGCCCGTTGGGTAAGGGCTGCCCTAGATGGCTGCCCTGATGAAGCGAAGAAATTGGCGCGGGCGGGCCTGGCGGGCCCGAGAGCGGAGGCGGCCGAAGAGCGGAAAGACTGGTGACTGGACTGCGTTGATGATGGTCGCCGTTTAGATGACGAGATGGAGGGCTATGCTGAGCTGGGGAGCGGCCATGCCAGTCGCTATAGGGTGCAGGGGTGGATACTGGTGTATTGGTGGCATCGATGGGGGCCCTGCCAAATGCGACATGTGGGAGGGCGGTGGTGGCGGTCCTTGAAGGCTTGCTTGAGGCTGGGAGGGAGCAGGAGCCTGGACTGGGGGCTGGGCTTGAACCTGGACCGGAACCTGAACCGGAACCTGAACCTGAACCGGAACCTGGGGCGGCGGCGGTGGCGGAGGTGGCGGCGGCGGGGTTGGTTGCACGCGTGGGGCTGCGATGGGGGCGCGACCGGAGTTGGCGTATGCTGCGCTGGGGGTGTCGAGCTGGTTGTCCAAGGGAACCGGTGCGACTCCGGAGGTCTCTGCGGAGGGGCTAGCAAGCGGGGGAGGTGGCTCGGTGGTGGTGCCTGAACAGGCGGCGAAGGCTGGCGGCGAGAAGCCATTGGAAGGTGGACCTGTTCGGGAGGTGGCGGCGGAGGAGATTCTCGGAAGGGTTTGGGCTTTCGGCTCGTTTTGTGGCATTTGTGGCACTGGAATTTCCTCTGCTCCAGATATTTCTTGGCTTCGTCGCTCAGCTCATCGTGGTATCCGTTCACCATCGGCTCATCCTGATCCACGTCAACAGTCCACCACTTCGGGCTAACGTCGATACCGCAAGTGATGCATATTTTGCTGTCCAGGCTCTGTGTGTCCACCTGAATCCCCGGTTCATTCGACTGGCGCTGGGCAGGTGCACCGTTGACAGGCAAGGCCGTTGTTGATGCCCGCCGGACCCCGTGCTTGCGGCGCCTCCCACTGACTTGGCCGCTGCCGTGATCAAGTTAGCTTTACGGACAGTGTCGTTGATCGTTTGGTCGGCCTGCTTGAAATTTTGCGAATAGAATTGTATGGCATTCAGCGCGTCATCGCCCACCAGGTCGTGCATATGGTGTATAATCGTCTTGGTTGGCGCGTGGTCCTTGCACCAGAGCCCGGCGGACATAACTCCACTCTCGCCACCAACAGTGACAATGTGGAACTGGTCCCGTCTTGAGCCTTTAATTGGCGTGATGTCAAAGCCCAGGACGAAGTCATTTTGCCTCGCGCATTCGACATGGACTAAAATACAGTTAGCAATGTCCCACCCGCCTGCTTGCCGACTCACAAGGAGGCTTGAGTTGTGGAGGATGAGATGAGGTGTTCTTCTTACCAGGTGTTCGGCAATGATTGCACGAGACACATGCGCCCTCGGCTTTATTACACACTATGCACACCTCCTCGAACCGTGAGCGAGGGATTGAGGGAATTCCTTCAGCCGGGACCATGGCCTCGCCAGACCCGAAATTTACTTCGGGAGTCCACATTGCACATGTCACGTGTACCCAGTTATTGTCTGCCGTCCTTTTGAGGGGCTCACGGGGGTTGACCGGGCGGTTGGTCTCCTCCTGTTTCTTGCGATGATAGTCGGCCGCTTTCTGGGCCTGATCCCTCTCGCTCTTCTCACGATCCCGGTCTTTGTCAGACTTCTTTTTACCGGTGGCGCTCGACGCTTTAGGGTAACCGACAAAATCGTGCTCGGTGTACTCAATAGGGCAGAGAACACACTTATAATTCTGTGTAATGGGTGGTCAGTGAGTATCAACGAGAGTCGAAAATTATGGAACTTACGAGTGAGACTTGAGGGCTTCGGTCATTTGTGCACGTGTCGCAAATCCACTTCCCGGGCTTCGATAAGATGCGTGAGTCGAGGACACCATAACAATGCCGATGAACAGCCAGGCGACATTCTCGACAGGACAGATGTTGGTCGCCGAGGGGTTCCAGTTGACTGCAAATCGCGCACGGCAACGTTTTAGCCTCAGGTACAATAACTGCCGGCGCTGCTGGGGTTTTTCCATAGCTTTCTCTTTCTTCTTAGAGGGGGTTGCGATCCTGATTCGGCAACACTGCGTTCCTCAGCAGAGCTCTTCAGTTTCTTGCGAGGCGGCTCTCCATTGTGAGATGCATTCGTGGCGCTTGCGCTGACCTGGGCTGGCGCCGGCTCGGGCGCCGGAGGCGAAAGGCTAGGAAGGTCTTTCGCCGGAATCAGCTCTTTCAAGAGTTCTTCATCCTGCTTGCGCTTCCAGGCACGGCCACCAGCCTGTGCCACCTTCTTCGCCATTTCCTCGATGTCCTCCCACTGAATACCGTAGCGGCGCCAGAGTTCGGCGCAGCGCCGGCAAAGAGCCACAACGTATTGTTCCTTCCTGTCTTTGGAGGACGCTTTAGGGATTCCTTCCGAGCTACTCGCGGTAGCAGGAGCCCTACGCCATTGACGAGAAGACTTGGTCGAGCAGAACTTGCAGATGAAGTTCTTCTTTCTTATTATAGCCTTTTCTGAGTCGAAAGCAGAGTCATCCATATCATCCGCAAGGTCTTCCTGGAGCTTGTTGGCTTCTTCCTCGGCTTTCTTTGCTTCCTTTCTGCCCTTTCGCCCCGAGTAATCGCCCCAAATCTGCTTTCCTCGTTCCGTCTTCTTCCAAATATAGTAATGCCGCACGATGTCGCCATGTTTCAAAGTCTTTACGTGCTTCGTGATGGTGTGAAGCTCAGAGCCGTACTTCATGACAGCTTCCTCGAATTTCTTCTGCTCGGCGGTGGTCAGGTTGGGCTCTTTGAAGGCATCCAAATCAGTTTTAGAGAGGGCATCTAAAGCTTTTTCGACATCAAAATCATGCGAGTATAGAGTAACCAAGGCGATGTTCTGAAGGTTGGTGGAACTCTCGGGAACTCCCAGGGCATCGGCCATCGCCATAGAGTTTGCGGTGTACTCTTTCAAAGTAGAGTCGGATAACGTTTCCTGGGAGGGGGTTTCCAGAGGAGTGTAGCCGTACAGTTCGGGTCATCAGCATCGTGGTCTTCGCCTCTAGTCGTATAGCCGGGGGCTCGTCCTGCACCCATTTCGGCCGCGTTTCCCGACGAAGTTTCTGCGCCTCAAGGGCAGCCTGGTTCTCCTTTGAGAGTTTCGTGTCTCTCTTTCCAGCCCTCTTGAACTCAAGGACGGGCTCGTAGATCACGGGTCGGCCGGGCCAAGCTAAAACGTTCGCCTGGTGTTTTGGGCCGATACGGGAACTGGCTCGAGGGTAAATGCGGTCGTCGTAGTCTAGGGCATCTTCTACTTTGCAATGCTGTCCGAGATAACGATATGGCCACAGGCTGGCCTGGTAGATCTGTTCGGGAGACCCTTGAATATGAGCATCGTCATCCGCGTCAAGAGAGGGGTGCCAGTTTGCGTGGTTCCAATCGCTTCTTCCTCTTCGTTAAATTCCTCCTCATCGAAGTCCCCATCGGGGTCAAGAATGTTAGGAGTATTTCGAGCGTGGAGCTTCTTTTCATGCTTGCGACTACATGCGGCACACGACCACCCAAACCCTCGCGAGGGTTTCTTAGTGACCGGAGGTGTTACACAATTCATGTGGTAGGTAAGCTTGCAGTCGGAACAATCCACGGAGTCATTACTAAGCACAGTGTGAAGTCAGTAAAGGGACATTGGCCACCGCCGCATTGGGAAGTACCGCACGACCCAACCAGGGACAAGGACCGCCCCGACCGAGACGCGGGTCCAAGCGACCAGGGGGAAAGCAGCAGACAAGGGACCAGGCGAGGCCACGGCGAACGGGAGACCCAAATTCTGATGGTGGGGTGGATTGCAACTGGGGGCTGGGTCTCAACGGGGGATTGGGGGCTTCCAGTGGAGGAAAAGAATGAATGAGAAGGGGTAAAAACAAAGAAAATAAAGGAAAGGGAAAAAAGCAACAAAACGACATTGAAACGAACCTTGCACAATAGGCTCCGCATTTCTTGCACAGCTTCATCGCCGATGTCAATTCCTTTCCACGGCCTTGCTCGACCAGGACGAATTTCCATCGTTCGTCCAAGACTTTTTGACTTTGTCCGGTACATTAATGATGGAGGCAGTCGGGATGAGATCGTAGTTTTTCTGGATATATCGGTCATAGAGTTTTTCGTACCAGAAACAATCCGGCGTTTTTCTGTATTCGTCGAGGCTTTTAATTTCCGACCTGTGGCGGATTTCACACTTACCACGCAACGCAGTCAGAGGGCTTATATCCGAGTGCATTGTCGCAAAGAGGAGACGGGTGTCCTGCACGCGACGTCCAATGTCCTTGGGCCGGTAATACCAGTTGATACGTAGCGCATCGATTGGTTTGGAAGCATCATTTCCAATGTGCAAAAATTCCATGATACGGCCAACATAATACGGCTCGCCAGGCGGTTCACAGACGAGATAGACATGATCTGTGGAAAGTGTTAGTGAGTGTTCGCGAATACTGTGCAGGGCTTGCTGGTCCTGGCTGGGTTGGGTCGGGCGCTAGGCAAAGAAGGGGGAGGGAAAATCGAAGGAGAGTGGGAGGGGGCGTTGACTGGTCGCCCGTTTGGGAGAAGACTTGGGGGAGGGGGTGCGGCCTGGTGTTGCAGGTAACCTACCATTTGGGGCCAAAACGGTACCATCGTCAGCCAGGAGCTTCCCATCCACAGGAGTCGCGTTGCAATTGCTAAATGTCAACATGTTTGTGTCCGAAAAGCCTGTTCCTGAATTATGTGAAGTGGATTGGGAGGTCAATCGCTTCACAGGAGCCGAAGTGGTCGCTGCTGGAGGAGCTGCGACCGGTGGCATTGGAGTAGATTGGCTCGATTGCGCCGTAGACTTGCGCTTCTTGGACGAAGACTGAGTCGCCCCTATGCCATTTGTACCGTGGTTAGGCGTAGCTTCAGGTGGTGAAATTTGCTCCTTAGTCCCGTTCGTTGGGGAGGGGCGGGTTTGCCCTCATCAACTCCAGATTTTCTCGAGGAGCCGCCAGGTCGCAGAGCCTCCACAGGTGCAGCGGGAGAAGGATTGTTTTGGCGAGTCGACTTCTTGAGCTCATTCTCCTTCTTGGGTGGTAAATACTCGTAGTCAAGGTCCATGTCCTTGTCCTCTGCATAGTTAGGACGGGCGTTGCCTGTCCTATTCCTAGACCGCGTACCATACGGAGAGGACGATGAGGTGTCGCCGAGGCCATCTTTCATTGACGCCTCGGCACCTCCTAAGCTTGTTCTGCTCATGGAGGTCTGCGGTCTCTCAGGCACAGCATCCAACTCTGTGGATTTTGTATCCTGTCGCGAGTCGGAGCGTTAGGGGAGAAATTCGGACGCGTGGAGTAAATAAGCAGCAAGGGGAAATGGGGGATACGAGGTAGCCTCCTTTGGTGGAAAGTCGATTGGTGTGGGTGAGAAAGGCGAGATGGGGGAGGAGATGGGGTGAGAGGGGGCAAAAGTGTCGGGGAGGTGCCGAAAAGTAGATGAGAAAGGGACAACTTACATTCTGGGTTCGTTGTGTCATGACGATGAAATAATACAGCAGGCAAGGCTCGGGATGTCACTTGGAAGGGTTGAGAAAGCCCTTCGAAAATGACGGAGGAAGGGGCAAAGGAGGATGGGGGAAAGGGGCGGCCAAAATGGCGAGATCCGTAATCTTGAATTTTATCGCGGATCCGGGCTCATGAGGTGAGACGAGGGCGACGAACGAACCGAGGGTGTCAAGTTTTGTGTTGAAAGGGAATACAGAAAACACAAACGCTCGTCAACGGGATGATCTTCACGCGCAAGCCGTGATAGAACGCAACGCGATGATGAAGCGAAGACCGTTGAGTGGAAGAAAAGTGGCCGCGCCGTCACGGCTTCGGTCGTGACGGGCGAGGATGGGTATCAGTCAGAGGACGGGGGATATAAAGGGAGTTTCCAGAGCAATCAGACTGAAAAGGGAATAAGATGGGAGAATGGTCAAGGGGAGAAAGGTGACGGATGATGGAAGCGCGGCTTGGAAGCGATCGAACGTGAAGGGAAGGTAGTCTGAGTGTTCGAGATCTCAGAAAGAGTTGAGGAAGTGAGGTGTAGGAGAAAGGAAGGGAAGGTTGTGTGTGGATGGTGGACGACGGATGGCGGATGGGATTTGAACGAGGGAGGAAGAGAGTGAACCTGAAAGGGTCTAGGCGAGGCGAGGTTGAACGGCGCCTGGGGTGTGTGGATTGGGCCAGACTGGACATCCGCCGCAACTTGTCACTGGAGCACAGCGAAAGCCAAATAATAATAAGAAAACCACAGGAAGAGCGAAAGGGAAAAAAAAAAGAAGTGTCTGGCTGGTCCCTTGGCCTCAGCCTGTACTTTCGTACCGAGCGAGTACCGCACACCTTTTCCCACAACCACGCCCCAACTCCCATGCTCCCTCCGTCCTTCCTGGCAACCTAGTGTACGGGGTTGACCCCCGACATCCATCATCCATCACCATTTCCAAGCAAAAGCGGTATTGATAGATCATCGGGGCAAGGCAGCCCCTTTTTTCTCATTTCCGTGTTGAATGCCATACTTTGGCTTCAACCCTCCACATATTCCTCATGCTGCAGCTGGCTTGAACTGGCCAGGCAGGACAAAAAGAGCCACGGCAAGGCCTTGCCTTTTAACGGCGGCAAAAAGATTGATGGGTGGGAATCAAGCTAAGTACCGATATGCAGCCTGGGAGGTATCCGATCTGGTGGCCATCTGATGGCCGCTAAGGAATTGGCAACCCCAAACTTGTCATGGCGTTTTGGGCTACATCTTGCAACGCGGCAGGATACAAAGGCTTGTCGCTGGGAACTTCTCCATAATACAGGACTGGCTGTCTTTAGCGTCTGGGACACAGACGGTACCTCGTACCCACCCGCGACCTCAACCCTCGCCGACCGACATCACCACAACCCATCGGCTTAATAGGCGCTCTATTCAAATGCAAACGAGATAGCTCGGGCGAAATTCCATCAAAAAATCACTGCCTAGTCATTTTGTCATTACGTTTTATCCTCTTCAGGCCATACTCGATGAGCAGACTGGTGGGTTCAGCACCCAGCGCAGCACCGAAAAAATGAGGTGTATGTGTCGTGGCAGATGGACAGAGTGGGTCGTATCCCTTCCAGAAAGTCTCGGGACATCTTACCCTCACAATCTTGAAAGCACCCTTTGCGGCATCCACCTTCCCCTCGAGGAGACCCCTTCGCTTTCATCTGTCTCGATCCATTGTCGACATGGACCATCATAATTTGCGACGAATAGCTCATGAATGGCACGATGTCTGCGTTTCTCGAGGGAGAATAATCAGGTAGCGCAGCACACCCTCGCGTTTCCGCCTCAGGCCTCGGGTAGACAAATAGGATGGGCGGTGGGCCATGTCATGGAGGCAAGCGGTTCAGCTCGGATAACTCCAAACGTCAAGAAAATGCTTTCCAAGACAAACCAGGTGTGCGCTGGAGAGCCTCGACTAGACTCCAACGGGACATCAGTGATCATGGGCTGGGCTGGGTGATTATATCATCACGTGAGGTCATTGATGCCAGCACTGAGCCCTTTCCAGGACGGAGCCGGACGCTTTGAAAAAGCTGGAGAGCTTGAAGACTGAGGGGAGAGGTTTATTACCTAGAGAGGGGCGCAAATACCTCATTCAGCGCTCCTTCATTCTGAACTTGATTTTGTTTGGGGAAGGTGTGGGATTATCCACCCATTGTTGTCATCCTCTCCAGTAAATGACACCCTTTTACCAACCGGCTCCGGTCCTTCCATGCCTAGTGGGGAAGGGGAAGAAATGCGAAGAAGCCGCACATCGAAGTAGCACTGTGATGAACAGGATGGCCACTCTCGATAGGCGCTGAAATATGGTGGGCTTTATGAGAGACGAGACGTCGTCGAGGACTTTGGGACCTTTGAATCCACGATCGCTTGAGTTTGATTTTGAGGCATCAATCAGTTCGTACGAACTTCAGTATTCTTTCCCCCAAGTGTGGCCAGCCATGACCTTGATAGCAAGCGCCCGACAGCTCGGGTAAGGAGTTAGACGGTTGGTTCAGCCTCCAGACTGTGCGCAACAGGGAGAAAAAGACGGAGCCCATGCGCCCATGCTCCCCGGGTCCTTCAATTGATTAAGCTGGAGGGATTGCAATCCCCCAACCGGCCTGTGTCAATCCTTTCTTTTCTCCCTAATGCTGGTGCAGCCGATAGTCTCACGACAACGAGCCCTTCCAAGCACGTCGGTCTTCTATTTTCTCCTCAAACACCACACATCTACCTTCTAAATCTTTTGAATTATACAAGCTAGCATGTCAATCCTTCTGGGTTTGAGGGAGCGCGGTGAATTTTGGGCCGTTGATCAAATCATTGTTTCCCTGAGACGGTGCGGAGAAGTCCTAGGATGAAACGAGTGATCGCTTAGGTACCTTGACAGTGCTCTTCCATCGCGAGGATACTGATCGAAACACTAATCCGGCCGGCATGGGTGATATGACAAGTTGTGAGGAAGCGATTTCCTTACTATATTGGCAGAGAAGTTGCCAACAATGAGGGATCTCTAGAGGAATCGCTATCCTTCTCGGTGTCCACTCTTCTAAATCATCTTCCTGTCCCCGAATGAGTCGCTATGATGATGGAGCACGGCTCAGCTTGGGACACCCATTCAAATTTGTGGAGGACTGGAGTCGGAATCATCGCCGGTGCTTCATTTCACAAAACTTTGCATTATGACAATTTGCCCCAAGGTTAGCAAATACAGCAACAATGTTTCTCGCTAGCGATGAACAAAAGCGAGCTAAGTCCGAACCTTTCTCGCACTTGAGAAAACGTAGAGACCAGATATAAAGTTTGAAGCTGTGGTGTTATCAATTTTTCGCTATTACTGCTTCGGCCTCTTTCCCCGCCCCTTTGTCAGCCAGATCGGAGAGGTCCGCTCGGTTTGCAACAGCTCCACTCTCCTGCGGCAATTTATGGGCTGGATACCTCATCGTAGATCAAGGGTGGACAGAAGGTTCTTGAACGGCAGGTGGCAGGCGGGAGGGCATCACCTCACCACCTTTCCACTAGCCAGAATTGGACGGGCTACCATCCTTCATTTCTTCATCAAATAAGATGTCAGAAATGGCTTTGTTCGAATGACTGGAATCCCAGAGGTCCAGTCCAGGCAGGCATTTTTATCATTTGCATCCGCGTCTCTCTCGGCACCATCCAGGAGCCAGAATTGCCAGCATGGCTCTCAAGGCCGATTTGACGTCCATCAATTGAAGTTTTTGCATGGGAGGGTTTGGGTCCGATTGCCAGCGTTATTAGGGGATTTCCAGGCACTTCGACCACGAGAAATGACCCCGTCCCACTGCAGGAATTACATTGAGGTGACATCGTGTTGATTAGCGAGTACATGGCGCGCTGTCTCACACATTCCATCCTCCAGAAATTTTCGACTCAACTTCTATTCGAACCCGTTGTCCACCGTCAGGGCCGCGCCGGTCCAGAATCCAGCCGGCGTCCGTTATCTTGTCGCCCCCTGCGCAAGTGATTGAGAGAGTATCGACTGTTGCCCTTTTTCCCTCGTAAAAAGGAAGAAGAAACACTAGCGAGCGTCGGCAGACAGCCCCCAAGAAGACGCGTCGTCCACCTAGCGTGGTGGAAGGCTCGAGTAGTAAAAAGGAATTCATGGAAGGTAGTTGAGCAGAGAGAGGCCTATTCTTCCGGGACGGCATCTCCACATTTCCCTTTTCTGCAAGTTATCGATCGGGTACTTCACATTTGTACATTTCGTGCAGGTGGCCGAGAGCTTTAAAAACAGTGTCCCAGAAAGCAACAATGTACTAGTGCACACCTCATCTCTTGGCTGCCGTGCTTGATTCGCCATCTGACGAGGCTCCGCACGGAGTACAATAAACCCCTTGTAACCAGTACATATCACCCCATAGTAGACATCCAAGGCCAGCTCGTTTTAGTACTTCCCATGCATGGGGAGACAAGGATTTCATGATGATACCTCTACCGAGGTACCTCATCAATGGTCGCCCATGCCAGGTCCCGTTCCTGTCATCACGTGAGAGCGTGCAGCTCAGATTCCCGTGTGGGGAGAGAGGCGTGCATGCCACACCGACGACATGCAAGACTACCTTCATGATCTGTCGCCGAAGGATTACAATAGCTTGAGATTTTGATACTGTTTTGGAGCCTGTACCCCTTTGGATCCACCACCCCAGTTGGGGTTTTTTACTTTTGGAGGATAGAACTGAATCCCGTCGTAATTTTCTGCTGGCGAGATTGACCATCATAGAGATGGACCCCAGAGAGAATCCACCTCGCGCGTTCCAAACAACGATGGACCTAGCGAGGCAACAGAGCCACGCATATCAAAACGCGACGAAGAATCTCGCTGGCACCAAGCGCAGCTGGCCAGGAAATTTGGCAGAAAATACCAAAAGAGCTGCGGGATCTGCCCAAAGTACGTTCACAAGCGGCGCCAGCCTTTAAGAACGAATCACTCTAGATTATCCCCTAGTCCTATCACCGATCTTGGCGCTGGCTCCGAGGAGCACCCTTCCGAATACTCGCAACGTATATGTATCAGTGCCACTCCATCTTCAACGGTAGATCCTTCTCTTTCACTATCTCATAGGATATACGGCCTCCCGCCCTCACTCATAGCAAATTTTGCAAGGCTAGGGATCAAGAGTATCTACCCCTGGCAGAAGAACTGCCTTCTAGGTCCCGGTTTGCTTTCTGGGGAGAAGAACCTCATTTATAGCGCGCCAACAGGTGGCGGAAAGAGCCTAGTTGCTGATGGTAGGCTCGATACCCCGTCCTTGACCTGTAAGTAGCTGTATTGCTGACTTGACGGCTCAGTCTTGATGTTAAAGGAGGTCCTCAAAGAGCCTGGTTCAAAAGCATTGCTCGTTCTTCCCTATGTTGCCCTCGTTCAAGAAAAAGTACGCTGGCTACGAAATGTGGTAGACGGACTGAAGCGGCCATCTAGAAGTTCTGAAGATGGCACGGTGAGCCGCTGGAGGAGACGTGCCGATGAAGACGTGATTAGAGTCGTAGGTTTTTGGCGGGAGCAAAATAAAGGCGACTTGGGCCGATTTTGAGATCGGTATCTGTACAATTGAGAAGGCAAGTCCTGCCCTTCTTTTATCAAGCTATCTCACGGCCATCGATACCAAGTCTAACAACCACCATAATATACGTAGGCGAATTCCCTTCTCAACGTCGCAATTGAGGATGGCGGGGTCAGCGATCTCAAGTCCGTCGTTCTCGACGAACTACACATGATCGACGACGATCACCGGGGCTACCTTCTCGAGCTCCTCTCGGCGAAGCTACTGTCTCTAGATCAGAAGGTTCAAATCATCGGAATGAGCGCCACCATCTCTGTAAGTAACAGAAGTTGATCACAATAAATACCAATATGGGTTTCTTATTCGTCCTAGAACATCAGACTCCTAGCTAAATGGCTCAACGGTCATGCCTACGTAACAAACTACAGGCCAATTCCCATCAAAGAACATCTAGTTTATGATGGACGGATATATCCCGCGGACAACCCTCGTCAGATTGCAAAAGCAGCAACACAGCCAAATTCGGACTCAAGTCTAAATAGCCTAGATGTCGAGCCGTTGAGGCAGATAGAGTCATCTACACACAAAGAGCTTTCAGATCCAATCCTCAACGCCGTTGTAGCACTAGCATGTGAAACCGCCATGGCCGGCTACGGAGCTTTGGTTTTCGCTGGGAGTCGGCAAGCTTGCGAGTCTATATCCCGGTTGGTGAGTAAGGCGATGCCACCTCCAGAGATGCTGGAGCCAACCGTGCTTGAACAGCGCTTAGATACCTTGGGTGAACTCCAAAGCTTGAGTACCAGTCTTGATTCTGTTCTCGCAGAAACGGTCCCTCTTGGAGTTGGGTTCCATCGTAAGAGAATCTCGCTCATATCTGCTCCCTCTGCTCCATGGACCGCTAATGAAAAATTGCAGATGTGAGTACAAATTCTATTAGGGTTGTCTGACTTGAAGTCTAACTCGTAAAGGCCGGCCTCACAACAGAGGAGCGAGACATCATTGCCAAAGCGTACGATTCTGGGGCTCTAAAGATCTGTATCGCAACCTGCAGCCTCGCTGCTGGTATAAACCTGTAGGTGTCGTTTCATATTCGCGTGCCTCTTTACTACATTCTAACCCCACCTCTCCTTTGGAAAGGCCTGCCCGTCGGGTTATCCTGCATAGCGCCCGTATGGGGAGAGATTTTGTGGGCCCAGCATTGCTGCGACAGATGCGAGGTCGGGCTGGCCGTAAGGGGAAAGATGAGGTTGGAGAAACATATCTTTGTTGTCGGCAGCCGGACCTAGAGCCTGTTGTAGAGCTTCTACAAGCTGAGATGCCAAACATCACAAGCTGCCTCAATACGGATAAGAGGCGGATGAAGCGGTATGATTCAAGGTCCTTCTTCTCGTCCACCAAAGACTTCTGGTTTAACGCTGAATGCTAGTGCACTACTCGAAGTCATCGTCATTCGCCTTGCAACAACCCGGGAATCGATTGACGAGTACGCCAAGAAATCGCTTTTCCACTATTCGAACGGACTCTCGGAAACGATCTCTTGTGTTAACTCTAGTCTTTTGGAGTTAGAACGTATGGAATTTATACAGTATCACGAGGATGACTCCGCCTATGTCGCAACCCAACTTGGAAAGGCAGTCGTAGCTTCATCCATTGATCCGGAAGACGGGCTCTTCGTTTACGGAGAACTCAAAGGGGCCCTTAAAGCATTCGTAATGGACGGCGACATGCATGTCATTTACACTTTTACGCCCGTTAGTACCACTGATATACTCGTCAACTGGAAGGTGTTTCTCGATATGGTTGAGACTCTCGACGAAAGTGGACATCGAGTCATGAATCTCCTTGGAATCAAGATTCCGCTCATCTTAAGGATGTAGGTGCAGATGCGAATGATCAGTCGTGACTTAGTCGATGCTGACGCCTCAAAACAGATCACAGGGGGCAAATCTGCCCGAATCCACACAAGCAGAGAAGGACGCTGCTCGAAGATATCGGAGATTCTACCTTGCTCTTCAACTCCGCGACATATGCAATGAGGTACCAATACATTCGGTCGCTAGAAAGTACTCTATGCCACGAGGAACCGTCCAAGTTCTCGCACAATCGGCCCAGGGCTTTGCAGTCGGCATGATCAAATTTTGCGAGGTGATGGGTTGGGGGTAAGTTCGCCATCTTCACCCCGCCCCAAACCAATATGCTAGAGGCTCTAGACGCTGACCGCATCCTTTTTTACCGATTCAGAGTTCTTGCCGTGGCCCTAGACCACTTCTCTGATCGCCTAAAGGCAGGCGCAAGAGCTGACCTTCTCTCCTTGGCCAAGATCACGTTCGTGAAAAGCCGTACCGCGTGCGTTTCCGATAAATCCCTTTCACCCTTGTCTCTTTCAAATCCTAATCTGTCCTTGGCAATAACTCAGGAGGGTATTTTGGGACAATGGTTACCGAAGCCCGGCGGCCGTTGCCAACGCCGACCCCAAGGAATTGGTCCCGGTCCTGATGCAGGTAAGAGAGGAGAGACGGAAGCCTCATAGCTCCCGGGCCCCAATATTTGATCAAATCGTGCCTCTAACCTGACATTGGGTATTATTCAAGGCCCAGCCAAATAAGATCCGCATCAAAGGACAGGAAGAGGATGATAAGTACTACGAAAAGCTCTTGACCAAGGCAGGAATCATTGTAGAATCGGCAAACAAGATATGGGGTTTGTTCCCTCCCCCCCTCCCCTCAGCCCCCATTCTCCTGCTTCTTTGGGATCACTCGGGTGCTGCTTTGGCGCACTTCCTCGGATTCCCTTTAGACTTATATCCGCACGGGTTTTCGCTATCCGCTGCGTGCCTTCATCCTCATACTAACTCTGAGCAATTTTATCAGCAACGGAAATGCAGGAAGACAACCTAGACGAGGAGGAGTGAGAGAGACGAGAAGTGATTATGGCGATGAGTTCACGGTCTTCTGGCTTTGGCCTTGTGGCATAATCATCACCGAGCACACACGTTTATTACCTAGGACAAATAGAAAGCATCGATAACGACCATTGTGTTTACACAGAACCTGGAGTATTTTCAACAATCGATCAGTCATAATGAAAACAGTCGAAATATGCTTCATATACACGCCCCTTGAGTTCGCCCCATGCAACTAAACGGGATTTGAGTAGCCATAAGCAAGCTAGGATAAAAGGCAATCAACTTTGGGCCCTAGCTCGACCTAATCTAGGGTATCCTCCCTCAACTTCATCAAGGCCGCAATCACCTCCCCGACTTCGCCCTCACAGCATTATGATACAAGGCATTTGTTTCAAATACCTTGATCCCCTGATTTTTCGCGCCGTTTGCCTCGCAAGCCCGAAATCAACGTACATATCGTCGACATAGCTCACAGCATAAACGGGGACCTGATTGCGAGCTAGCTGCTCCTCGTCGTACAGTCTTGGCCACTCGTCGTATTCAGCTAGTTTCTGAGCCACTTCTTTCAAAGACATGAGCTCGGGATACGTGTCAAAGTGGAACGGATATATCATCTCCCCGAAAAGAAAAGTGGCTTCCGGCTCGCTTCCGAGAGGGCTACTGGTCCAGGGTATTCTTCCAGAAGCCAGTCATAGACGCCGAGTTGGCTCCCCGCACGCAAAGCGGCCCAATTTGAAGTTACGCCAGGCCCGAAACAGTATATAGCTTCGTGTAGAATGGCGTAAATGGGGTTGGTGTCGAAAGGAACATCTAGTTCCATTGTGCTGAGGGATGCCCGACTCAGGTGGCCAAACTGTGTGATCTCCAGCTTCATTCTGGTAAGGAGGGAATGCACGACCTGGAAACCGTCGTGAGCGCCAAAGGCGAGCCCTAGGGTCATGAGCCTCTGGACTGTGAGATGCCCGCCACCGGGTAACTGGATACCGTCCTGTTCGTGGATGTGGTTGGCGATGTAGTTTACCACGGCAATATCACCGGGGAACTTTTTGTAATAGGCTATGTTTCTCTCGACAAGCTTCGTAAAAGTGGCCTGGTAGACCTCCTTGGGATCGACGTCGACCGGCGGAATGCCGCCGGTGAGAAAGACTTCTCTGAGGCCTTCAGGGAAGAAGGAAAGGTATGTTGTGCTCACGAAGCCACCAAACGACTGGCCAAATATGGCCCACCGCTTCAGCGCCGGGGGTCATTTTCGGTGATGCAGAGGCGAACTGCCTCGAGGTCCTGGACGATACTGTCTTGCCTAAAAAACCGGAGATACGCAACTTTATCGTCCGTGCTATCGCCTGGAATGGTGGAGACGGCGACGGGGTGCTGAGCCCCGTGCCACGGTAGTCCAAGAGGAGAATTCTGTAAGAGTGGTGAAGATTTTCTCTTACGAGAGGACTATCCTGGGGGAGGCCATTGCCAAAACCTGGCCCGCCGTGCAGGTAAACGAGCCAGGGCTTGTTATCGCCAGGCGCAGCGGAGCTTGAGACACCAATCTCGGCCGGGGGTCGATCATTGTGTGTGACTGCACGACCGAAGAGATGGATCTTCTTCGAAGCCGGATTGTCATGATTTAAAGGAACTTCAAAGGATAGATCGGTCACAATGAGCCTGCCTGGACGGAGGTTAGAGTGCACTTGTGTTGCCAATTCAAACCAAGCGCGATACGGAGAGGGGTCGAGGTAGCGTGGAGGGGTAGAGTAAGTATCGGATTAACCCGCATCCACTCGCTCTTTGCCTACCTGGAATGGAATACGTCTCCTCGCTAATCAGCCGCGCCGGAGAAGGCATCACGTTGATTTGGATGGAGAATGTTTTAACCGGGAGAAACTGGAGCTTGACGATGGCGGAAGCTAGGTTGTGAGGGGCGGAGGGGAAAAGGGAAGGGACGATGGTTTTGTAATAGCTTTGGATGCTGTAGAATTGAAACCGGCCGTTAAGGTCAAATACGTCTCGCTCCAAGCAACTTCCAACGGATCGACACGAGCCTGGGGCTGCTGGGGACACACTAGTGCTCTAGAGGATGTGATTTGAAGCAGTCGGTGCAAAAGTTGAGGGCTAGCGTACTCGGTCAATCAGGAAAGGATGTGTGCGTGTGTGTGAATATGTGTATATGTGTGTATGTGTGAGAGTGTGTTAGATTCTACTGAATGGTACTGCTCAGGCTACATCTATTATTATTGCGGATGTGGGTGTTGGGGGCTTTATTGCATCTCGTCGCCTCGCTTCGCCTCGAGCTTCCTCGATCGAGCCCTCCTTTACTTGCTGTCGGGACAACCTGTCAGAGGAGGACGGGGAAAAGCAACGAGCGCTGGGTAGCGTCGGATAGAGAGGCTGCAAGCGCAGCGGCGTCCACGTCCTGACGGTGGGTAGTAGAATATATCCTCGGCCGGTACCAACGGAGCCGGGCACGAATCCATCAACTGACCGATCGACTAATACAAGGAGTTGAGCCTGTTGAGATTGTATTTTTCCAGGGACCTGGTGGCTTTCGAACGCGAAACGGAACTGGACCAAGGCCAAGTTTTAACGGGTGGACTTGATCCAATTACGATCTATCACTCGTGGGGTGGTTCGTTGCGGGCGAGGCAGGCAAGCGGGGTGCTCGGTTTGGGTGCGGCGATCGGGTCTGGTATCTGTCCAAGGCCATTGTCACTCCGGAGGCAGCCCTATCAGCCATCAGCCTCCAGTGTGTCAAGGTGTGGACATCTATGTACAGTACGCCAACCGATATTGGCACTGGCGTTAATAATTCAACTAGCCCCAACGCGTGGAGGGCAAGTGGGCAAAGTGGGCAAAGTGGGCAAAGTGGGATGCTGTCTTGGCTGTGCATCGTTCGAAGACGGAAAGGTGCACCTGGCTGCAACTGGACAAAACTCTTGCCTCCTCTCCACTTCACTTGTCCCCATCCCTGAAAGTACGAGGTACCTGGCCCTGGGAATAAATATCGTGAGCGCCAGGACACCATCCGACTTCGTCCTTTCTTCTCCTCAGAAGCAAAAACTCCACTCCAAGTCTTCCCCTCAAAAGCACAACGCAAACTCAGCCCGACCTCGAAGAGTCGTCGGCGCCTCGTGCGTATCTTTATCTTCGGATAATCATCACCTTTAGGGTAATGAACTATATTCATCTCACTCAGACCCTTGTTGAAAGTTTCAACGCATTGGCCGATGAGGTGCAAAGCTTGACGGACCGGAAAACGGTTCTGGAACATAAACTTCGCTTCGCCCACGAGCAGGTAAGCTTTGCCTTTGTTTTTTCGTCTTCGCATTCTTGCTACGTTGCGATTTTTAAATCGCTTCGGGGACCGACGTTCTTCTCATGTCGAGAAGCTCGCGGTTTCCTGCACATTCCCCTGATGATCAACAATTTAGCTCTAGATCAAGAGTCGCCTTCTAAGGCGACGGAGATCGACAACCTTTACGTCTGATTTCTTTTTGTCTCATGCCGCCTTTACTCGTTTGCCATTAGTTGTGAATTCGTGGCTAACTTACTGCCTTGTCATGGCTCTGCGCAACACCTAGTTCCAGTACCTCGCCGACAAGCATGCACCCGCCGCGCCGGAAATCTCGGAGACACTGGCCAAGCTTCAAATACCGTCCGAACTAACCCTACCATCGGTCAAAGCCGCCAACACTGTACCCCTACCCAAGCGTGGGGTCACGGATGCAAGCCATCAGATCGCCTTGCTGATTCGAGACGGCCGACGCGTTGCCCACCAGCTCGCCTCCGTTGCTGAGCCAAGCAAGACCAGCCTCTCGAGCAGAGAGACGTTTTCTCGCCTGTCCCATCCCGTTAGTTCCATGTCGACTGCTGCTCTAGAGCAAGACTTCACTGTAGAAGGGAAGAAGGGCTCGCTGGCTTGTCCGTTCTCCGCCCCGGACAAGCAAGATGCGGACGGTGCCGACGAGGATGAGGGAGCTGCGGCTAGGGATCTTCCCGACCTCACCCCTCACCAATCAACCGACCCCATCTGTGCCGCCATGTTTGAAGAGGCAACCTCCCAGCCTGCCAACTCAGCTGTGAATAAGTGCCCGATTCGGTTTCTAGACAAGCACTCACCAGAAGAGATTGCCCACTACGTCAAGACTTACAAACATGAGCTTCCTCGAAGCCATGCTATCTGTGTTGAAAGGTACCAGAGAAACGAGGATCAAGTGAGGAAGTTGGATGCCAAGTATGGCAACATGGTCAGCATGATAGAAGGCCTGGGCCAACTGCACAAACCGATGCTTCCCGTCTCGGAGGAGCGTGATGGTGACGAAGTGGATGTGGATGCATCAAACCAACGCGTGGAGAACTGGGCGCAAGAAGTCAGCGCGAATACGGCAGAGTATCCGGCCACACCTGAATTCCCTTCAGGCAATGTCGAGAGCGAGACGCAACATGGAGGTGATGACTTGCCGGACGACCACGAGAGAGAGCCATTTTGATAGGCCCCTCAAAGAGGTGCGCGTTGGAGAATCGCCCAGCCGACCTTGGGGCATCTCCGTGCCCGTCTATGAGCCTAACGAGTATGGTCACAATCAAGCACCTCTCTCCCCGCCCCCGGCTCCCGTTTTTATGCCCGCCCAGCCACGCAACACCCACCCCTCTGTTACGCCCGAAAAGCGTGTGGGAAAGTGCCCCTTTGATCACACCAAACTCGCTGCAATGGGCGGCCTCGGCCTGGCGCGCCCGCATGCCGATGAGAAGGCCTCGGAAACGAGTAACAAACCCCCTACTGAGCGGCCATTCACCCTCAAAAGCAGACGCAACACGCGGGTCGGCCGGCAACTCCTGTGCAGCCGGTACCTCCACCACAACCTACATTCATCAACCCAACAACCCAAGCCTCAAAGGCCACAGATGCCACTCCGCAAATGGTATTTACAGGACCTGTCTTCATTGGTTATCCTATGGAGCAGGCGATCCAGTTCATGCAAGCCTTCCAGGGCCAGCAGCAGCAACGTTGAAACCTGGCCTCCCCTTTTATGCTTTTCGTTTTACTTCAATTGTTTGTTTCTTAAACCCATGCGCTCATGATGAGGGATAGCGACGGCGTTTGGTTTTTCTTCTTTCGGTTTTTGGGCTGGCTGTTCATGATGATTTTGGAGGGCATACATACATATATACCATCGGTCTGATTTGGGTGGCTGACTTTGTTGTTGAACCAGCTCTCTGTTTTTCTTCTTCTTTTGCCTTGTTCTCTTTTCACTACCTTTTTGATCGCTTTCTCCTCATGGGCGTCCTTCGTTTATCGGGCTGTATGATGATGTACCGGAGGGTCTCGGGACATAGAATGATATCATGAGACTCTAGAAAGTACCCCCTACATAGGGACCGCTATTAACATTACCCTTCTCATCTTATAATATCCTTTTACTTCTGCTTAATACCAGACAATCTTGACCCATACCCGAGCCTTGGCTGGTCATCTAAACATTGCTCTTGCGACATTCTTGATACATTAACATTTGCTCATGTATCTTCACTTTTGACATTGCCGCATACTTCAAATTTGGTCGATGCACCCGTTCGATGTATTCCTGTTCTAGACTCTTGCGCTCTATCCGATGACAAAAAAACGCCCACCATCTATGCCCCAAAATAAAGAAATATCGCATCGACCCTCAGTCGACGAAAGTGAAAAGAGAGGGAGAAAGAAAGGACAAAAAGCAGAAAACCCCTAGTTCTGTCTAGCCTTTATATAAATCATTTCCCGCTTGCTTGCTACCAGCGGTTGTTGGCTTTGCCAAAGCCGTCACCGTCTGAATAGCTACCCACGCGATCCGTGTTGTCCCACAGAGAGATATCATCGTCGTCCGCCAAGACGGCAGCGGCATCACCGGGATCCAAAAGGGTCGCTCGGGAGAATTCGTCGCTACCAACGTAGTCGGCGTACCCGAGGCCCGAGCCATTACCGCCGACGCGCGGGGACGAGGGCGAACTGGCCAGGCCTTCTTCGGTGGCGGCCTCGAGGGCAAGCTCGGCAGCGCGTGCCATGGTGCGGCGGTAAATAAGCCATCCCACGGTGACTCCGATCGAGCCGCCGAGAAACATGCTCAGGTAGTTGATGGCCTTTGTGCCGGCGGTCATCTTGCCACCGTCTTCGACGAGGAGGGCGATGCGGCTACCGATGAAGATGTGGACGAGAAGTTTGGGGCTAGGAAGTGTTTAGGTTGGAGTTAGCGGATGATCGCTTCGGGCATCATGGCAGGCGAAGTTGGGAGGAGGTGGGGAAAAGGGGGTTTTTTTTTTTTTTCTTTAAGTCCAGGCGAAGAAAAGCAACTCACCTGGCAAAGGCCGTAGAAAGGGTAAACATCAAAGGGGTGATTGAAGGAATGGTGGCCAAGAAGCCGTTCGACAAGCTAAACGGCAAGGGGCAGAATCGGATCATGGTCAACATGCCGACACCCTCCTTCTTTAGCACCTGACCGAGAGCCAGAAACCTGTGGTCCTTGCCGACTAGTCTATGAACGTAGGCACTGAGGATTGTCCGGCTGGCCATGAAAGCGGCAAGAGAGCCGATGGTGGTAGCAGAGGCCACGATGGGCCAGCCGAGGGGGAACCCAAAGATGAAGCCGGCGACGGTGTTGGCCGTGCTATAGCCGATCAGGGGCGGGAACGCGGAGGCGAAGACGACGAGCCAGATGATGATCCAGCCGCCGGGCGCCTGCCTCCAGGCTTCGGCGATGGGGCCAAGGGACTTGAAGATATCGTGCGAATAGATGAGAAAGGTGATGGTGAGGGCGGTCAGGCCGACCAAGCCGAGGAGCACGAGGAGGCGGTAGAGGGGAGAGGAGCAAGTAGGCGCGGAGAAAGGTTTGGCCCGTCTGGGTGATGGTGTCGGCGATGCGCGCGCGGGCGGGCTTCGGGGTGCGTGTAGGCATCGTGGCGAGGCGGAGGGACGAGGTGGTTCGCGGGCGGGACCATGACGGGCGCTGCTCGAGGGAAGGGGAGCCCGGGCTGGGCGAGAGCGAAAGCGCCCGTGCCGTGGTATGGTAGTCGGCCGGCATCTCGGGAGGGAAGGAGGGAGAGGGAGCGGAGGGTCCGGTATCGAAGGGGAGGCGGACGAGAGAGAGAAGAGTTTGGTCCGTGGGCCGAGGAGTGGCAACGGCGACGGCGGGAGGTTTGCGGCGGGTTTTTTTTGTGATGGTTTTCTTTGGCGTACGTCACCACCTGATGCTCCGGGAACAGGATATTGGAAAAGTCGCCAAATCCTCTGACGAGGGGAGTGTTGAGCTCGTCGAGGGGGAACTTTTCGCCTCTCCTATCCTGTTCAGAGGGGGTTATTTTATTTTATTTGGGGCGGAATTAATATTGGCCTAGCCATCGCTCGCTCATCGGAGGACGGTTACGGTTCGAGAGACGGAAAAAGAGTCGAGTTTCACGATGAAAACGCGGCGGATCCGGAAAGTTGTTTGGAGGTTCATTAGGGGTCAGCCAGAGAGGCGCACAGCTCGTATCGATGTGGCGGGCAGTGTGCATGGATCACATAATAGGTACTTCCAGATCCATGGATGGAGCTGTGACGCTGACGAGACTGCGCCGTCGCCGTGATGACGGACATCCATTCTTGGAATCCCCAGTGTTAGCCAGTCAGCGTTGACGTACTGTGAGCTAGCTGTACTCGTACATGAATACTAACTGGTCGCGCATCTGTTTAGGCGAAGAGGACACTACATGTACGGAATTAATATCTCGGGGTTTTTAGGTTGTCTGTCCACCGGAAAGCGCCGGGTAACGTCCACTCTTAATTGAGCAGCAATTTCGAGCAGTTGCTTGAGCCCCGCCACTATTGATTGATACATTCAGGATGTGGATGGATCAAAATGCTTCCTATAATGTACAGCTCTGGGGATTGCTCCCAGGGGCAGCAGAAAAGTGGTGGATCTATGGATTTATCCACAATTGCTTGCTTGGTCCACTAGTCCGCCGTGGATGCATCGGATACCATTGGTGACGGAGGGTATGTTTTGTTCAAATCACTTATGCTGGTACTGTTAGTACAACATGGAGCCTCCTGTTGGGATTAATGCTACTTTGGCCCTACAGGAAACTATGGACGACCGGCTACCTCTCTCACACCTGATTAGTCTTGTTCTTTCACATGAGGATGGGTGAAACCAGGCTGAACGGGTGCCGTTGCTCACCCCCGCATGTCTTACACTGTCGGGTTAGAGTAGAGACATCATGTAGATATTAATTTTTCTTCATTTGACTATTTTAGCTACGGCGATTACCGCTGGGTCCTATTGGGGGATCCCTAACCAAGAGCTTGACCTTGCCCTCTCCAATCTCGACCCCTTGACTGAGAAGATCGCTCTCACTGTTACCCCCAGAGGCCGCCATCGTCGAGGACACTCCCTCGTCTTTAGAAAGTGATTTGTCCCAAGACCGCGCATCTATGCCGAGGATCCCTCCCATGTTATTCTTGTCTCCGGGAACCGAGAACTCCTTGAACGCGTAGCGCCATTCGTTGAGAAAATTGCGCACTGCCTTGCCTACCTTGTCCTTGCCATTCTTGCTGTGGTGACCGGTGCCGGTAATGGCATAGATGGGCCGACCCTCCCGGCTATTTTCCATCAGTACCTTCTCGAGATACTCGACGGCTTCGTCGGGGTGGAGCCCGTGAAGATCTACGTATATTTCCGAACCTCCAGGTAGGTTATTCTTATTTCGATCTTCGTAGAGCTCGCGGGCCGCTTCGCGGTGGGCCTTTCTCATCAAGTCATTCTCGCTCTGCCCTCGAAGACTGAGCGCCTTGGCTGCGCGTGCATCATTACGATTCCAGGCTTGGGCGGCACTTGAGGTAAGGAAACAGAATTGTCAGCACATCTCTCTATCATCTCGCGTCTATGGCTTCCTTCCAACTTGACAAACCTTTGTAAAAACTTGTTACGGAGGCCACCATGCTTGATAGCCTCCTGTCGAGCTTTGAGGTACGACTTGTTGGCACGCTCGCCCGTCTCGAGCCAAGGAATATGCCGAGGGCTCGGAATGCCTTGGGCGGCGACGCTATTTTCGCCGCTCTTGCTGCCTGTGCTGCCATTTCTCCCCATTCTCTTTTCGGCGCGGGGCGACGGTGTAGGTGACGGGGCCATCTTGACAATGTCGGCGAGAGAGCTTGGTGTAAAGACCTCTTTGGTACCGTGCCCGCCCCTCTTTCCATGGTGCTTCTTACCTGGCTTGCCGGAGCCGAGAGAGGGAAACGCTTCGGTGTCATCTAAAGCGGGAGCCTGTTCCTTGGTCTGCTGCCGGCTGCCGGGTCGCGAGCGAGGGCGTCCGTCCATACCGTGGAAGGTCCTAAGTCCCGACGGCGGGGTGAGGCCGAAGCCGTGATTGCCAGGATATGCGGTGAACGCATCGGGGCTACCGTGAAGTGATGGGAAGGCGCCATAGTCCTGTAAATGTAAGTTTGCTGTTTTGGACGGCGGCGTCGAGCTGCCATCCATCGATAATTTATTGACAAGCTGCGAAGGGTCGTGCGAGAAGACACACGTATCACCTGCGAGGCAGTTGCCCATCATCCAATACCTGGGCGAATTTTCACGTTAGCCTCGTGGTGACATACCCTGCTTGCCTTGGAAATGGCCTTTCTCTTCGGTTACGTTGGGACTTCATCACATACTTGCATAGGTGGCTGCTGAGATCATGGCTAAAGCGGCAATCTGACCGCAAACACTGACCGCTCGACAGGTAGAATTTACAAATGATGCCGGCCTTTTGGTTATGGTTTACGGGGTGGTCGGTCGCGCGTCTGGGCCGGACGAACGCCCGACAAACACTTTCTTGCGTTCCTCGGGGATACGGAGAGGCCGCCCAAAGCACGCGCCTGGCTGTCCATGATGGAGGCCACGGTCGCGCTGAGGTCGTAGCCGTGGGAGGCTAGGGCTGCCTCGATCTCGTCATCGGTCCTCGAAGGGCCCAGAATCGTACGCAGCATGTCATACGGGGTCATGTCTGTTTGCTGGGCCGAGACGGAGGAGAACTCGGGTGCGGCGGCATTGAGGCCGCTGGGTATGGTAAAGGACGCTGCGAGGCTAGCGCCGCCATCATCATTCACCAGCCACTCAACATTCTCTGTCGGATAGTCCCCATTTATTTCCTGCGCAGGTGTTGTGTCGTTGGCAAACTCGTAGGCGTTGAGGCTCGGGCTATGGGGTATGACGGGGTCGCAAAGTTGAGGCGCGGGGACGGTCGTGGCGATGAGAACGGCGAGGCAGTAGACGACTTTGTTCGATTGAGAGTGGAGGGTACATATCCAGAAGGAGCCAGAGGACTAACACCAAGGCGCGGAGATCCCGACAAGGGCGTTGTGGAGGTGCGCCATGAGGCTGGTGAGGGCCGACGCAAAATGGTCTGCCGTATGGGCGGGGTGATGCGGAGCTGACACCGCCTTCTCGATACCTCCACAGCACATCCAGTATTGCATTATCAAGGGAACTGCCCGTGAGGGCTGTCTCCTTCCTCAGGAGGGTTTCGATCCTGTCGGTCTTGTCTTCATCGTCGAGGCTCGGGTCCTGCAGGATGGGTAGACAGATATCGTAATGCTCGTCCGAGACCATTATTCGTAATCGTGTATTCGGGCAAAATGGGGATCTCGACGTCGTAGACTGGCTCTCCAAAACAAGAGGGGAAAATAGAAAAAGAAATAATAAAAAAAAGGCAGGGAGCAAAATAAAAACGGAAGAGAGACAGTGAGGAAGACGGATCAAACGTAAGGATTCAGCCAAGGGTGAGGTTGCGAGGGGAACTACCCGCGGGCCGGGATGCGGAGAGACGATGAGGGGTGGGCTGGCGGGTAGTGTCGCAGGTTAAGCAATCGACAAGCGACCAGACGCAGTGGCTTCGACAGATAAAAGCTGAAGAAGTGAACATAAAATCGTGCTATGGCTGGAATCAATCTCGGAGGCACTGGAGAGGCGAGGCGGCGGAAGGACGGGCGAAAATGGAACAGGCGACACGACACGGCTACAACGAGAGGCGTGGAGGTGCGAGAGATCGGAGTGGAAGGAGCGGGTCCACCCTGCATGACATGGCGTTAGATGAAGCTCAAGGAGGAGTCAACTGGGAAGGGGAGGAGAGGTGGTCACTACCTCGCGGAAAGGCGCGAGAGGACAGGAGAGGCGACGGGCGAAGAAGAAGAAGAGAAAAAGAAAGAATAGATTCCAGAACTAGCAACACAAACGAAGGTTGGAGATGACGAGGGGACTCGCTCTCAGGAGAGGATCTCGGCTAACGGTGATGATGCAAGCGCGTCCAGGCGGGAAGGTTGGTGGGTGCCAGCGTGAATGTGGGCTGCGCCGCCAGCGCCAGGTACCTTATTCCCGGATGGGATGGTATCGAGATTCGCAAGTCAACGTTGAACAAAGAGGGTAGGATCCGCTACCACCAACACGACGCCAAGTGGAACAAGTGCCAGGTACTTTCTTCTCCGTGGTAATTCCCGTCTTTTCCTGTTAACAGCCGCCCCCGCATGGCCCTATTTTGCCCTGTTGAAACGCCATCTGGGGAGGGTATTCAGCCCTGTTTTGAGGGAAATACAGTGCGAGCTGCCGTGCGTATGTGTATCCGTTACCCCAGTTTTGGTCCATTATTATCCAGGGACCGTGCTGTCACCTTTCACGCCATGAATCAAGACTGGACCCCTAATACCAGATCAATTATCAATCTAGTTGATGGTCTGGCTCTAACTTTATGCTGTGGCGAAGAACGTTAGAAGCAAATAACATTGAAGTACCAGTAGTTCCTTAGCAAGCATCATCCGTCAATATAAGCTTATAGAAGCCAGGGGTCGATACAATATGTATTTGACAGAATACAATCAGTTGAATGTACGAGGATGGGGCAGACGTGCAACTGGTGGTTTCGGTCAGAGAACCATCAAATTGACCCAAAACAATAATGATGGCACTGCTTTTCTTTTTTGGGATTCAAAGAGGTCAGGCCACAAAGATAGATGTCTCACAGTCGAGTCTCGCGTCCTCCCGCGGGCCCCCACACCAGCCGAGTCATGCTCTATTCATCAGCCATTGTCATATATTCTCGTCAACCCACAAAAAAAACGTTGCCAGGGGGAATAAAGAGAACTCTCCGTCTTTCATCCCACATAAACAGCCCGCTGAAAGTTGGGAGCAAGCATGTATCACGATGTGAGGAGGCGGATATCCCGCCTTCTTCTTACACCTTACAAAGGCATAGGATGAGGCCAAGGAGTGCAAATTGCCCCTGCTAGCCCGTCAAAGGGGCAAGGGGCCGAGACCAAAAGGGCATCAAACGCCGCGCGATGCTGGGAGTTCGCCCTCGCGCCCTATCCAAGGTGAAAAGGGCCACATCAATAGATGTCTTTCAGGCCATCGCGTCAGTAGCTTCTTCCTCATCTTCTTCTACATCGCTGTCTCCTCCAAATCCAAAACTAAAACCCCCTCTCCTTCCTGCGGCCCGTCGCCCGCTACAGCTGCCTCCCACTTCCTCTTCTTACCCGCCTTCTTCGATTCCAAGATTTCAAGCGCCTTTTCTAGAAGCTCGGGGTGTTTTTCTTGGAGTCGTCCCTCAAAGAGCTTGTAAGGGTCCTCCACTTCTCGCGTGAACCCGGTGACTTGGGCCGGTTTGTCTCTCAGGAACCCAATGGCTTCTGTCAGATGATGGAGACTGGGGGATTCGGGGATGAAATTTTGCGTGAGGGCGATGCCGGATTCAAGGTTGACGACAAGGTGCCACCAGCCGCTGGGCACGTGGAGGATCTCGCCGGCTGCGCATACTCCCTCGATACAGCCGGGCACCTGTCGACCCTCTGCATGAAACTCCAAAAGCCACTCTGCGATGCTGAGGGGGCTAGTGACTTCGCTGCTATCGCTCGAAACGAAAACGCCAGGCACCTCCGCATCCGGGGGAACATGATCCAGTACTTGGCGCCCTGGATGACAGCGTTCCAGGCACTTGTGGCATTCGGGTCTTTATGGAAGGTCGATCCACTTCGCTCCGGCCCGATGATGAGCCAACGGTGCGCTGGCCGCTCTTTCCCAAGCAGTTCAAACAAATCGGGCCCAAAACAGTCCGGCCTCCAGTACACTGCTTCCGGCTCCTTGCCCACCGACACGTTCATCTTCTCTGCGAACCTTCGGTCAAACAAGTAGAGAGGGCTTTCGTCAGTATTGTATTCCATGTACTTGGCATAGCTCTCAAACGTCCAATCCACGGACTCGGCTCGGAACACTACATCCTTATACTTGTCTAGGAAGTGCTCAATGCTCCATTGTTTCAGGGCTGGCCAATCCTTGACACATTGCGTGAGGATGAATGGCTTCTCAGCCCAGTTGGCAGCGAAATCTGCGTATTCGAGATTTTCGAATCGAGATATCTGGTTTGCGGTAGGTATACCCGTGGCAAAGGCCAACAGGTTCACATTGCTACACACAAAAGGCCTGTGGAGAACATCCGAAAAGACGTTATTGCAGATTATATGGGATTTACGGTCGTCTGGAAGCTGAAGGAGGGTTGACCTCCAAGAACCCTTCCACTTCACGTTTTCGTCTTTCACGAGCTTTGACCTATGCACAGTGAGATGTTAGTCAACGAGAGCTCGGCGAGGTACAAAGTTCTAGCGCTATAGATTCCTAGAGATTGGGTTTGCCTTCCGAAAAAGGGGAGAGTTCCGTAAAACCGGGGCACCCATCGTCTGAGGTCAAGGGCAAACATGTGTGCCATTTATATGAGAGCCCCAGGGAGCATTGAGCCCGATGCGCACTTACTCTAGATAAAGAGCCTTCCAAAGATCATCGTACTGAGAGGCGGCGTGTAAAAACTTGCATGTGGAACCAAGAAGGCGAAGAGAAGAGCTGTCTAGATACTCGAGAAAAAGTAAGAGCATTTCATCTGGGAAGAGCCCGAAGAACCCAAGAGATGCCCTCGCGTTCGGACCGCTTGCGAAATACTGGTTCCCCAGTGGCTTCAACCCTAGTGGGTGTGGCGGAATCGAGGCCGTGGCCGTGGAGGAGGTATCTAGGCTCCATGATGTGCCGTTGGGCCTCACGGCGGGTGTCTCGTGGCGCATCTACTAATGAGGTCCCCGAGGATGGGTCGTGAAACTTATCAAAGAAACCGATAGAGGACGGGCTTCGGGAGCATCGACTTGTTTCGTACGCCCTATGGGTATCTGTTGGCGCGACTCAAGTGGTTCGAGTTGTCGGACAACTGTGTAAGACGGGGGTAAATGGAATCACAATTCGAGGAAAATGGGATACTGAAAGTTGGGTATAATGTTGCTTGAACTGATTTCGAGGATAGTTAGAGTTGGGGTATCGTTATAGCTACGAAGTACAAGTACCTCGGTACGTCAATGGAGGATGCCGACAATGTTATATATCTTCGCCATCTATGAGTAAAACACCCAAGAAAATAGCCCTGGCTGCGAGCAAAGAAAAAAAAAAACCAGGCGAACAAAAGTTCCCGTCTGCGCGGCGTATCACTTATCGGAGGATATAACCCCGCCATCAAGCACCTCCCAAGGAAATGTGGGCTGTTCAAAATATTCGGGGTGGGGATTTGTTTTTTCCAATCAGAGCTGGCCTTTGTTTCCCAGTCGTAGCTTGAGAAATTCTGCTGGTGAGAGAAGTGGGGAGTAGAGCGAACATTCTAAGAGACAGCACCCTCAGCACCCTCAATGGAATACCTCGGTATAGTATGGGCGTGGTTCAATGAAATCCTTTCTTTCCCCTTCTTGTATTCCTACTTTTCTTCTCCTTTTCTTTTCAAGGCTCGAGTCGTGAAGGTGCGAAACATGCATACTCGAAAAGGTCAAGTATCTAGTGGAGGTATCCTCAGGTTCAATTTGTTGATGTTTGGTTCCCCGGTAGTGGGGACTCCAGGGTGTCTATCCAGGCCCTCGGGGGCGTGCCATCAGGGCATCCATCTATGGATTCCATCCGGTCCGTTCACCAGTACCAGACACTCGCCACTCCATGTGGCTTGATCATTATTAGATCCCTTACTACTTGTACTACACTACCTGTCCGCTGCGTCCGAGATCCATTGGATCTAATCGGCCCAAGATCAAGTTGTGAGAAATCCCAGGCAGCGACGGGGAAGGGGAAAGGAAACACCGAATGTGGATGGATCATTGGAAGGGTTGGGGCCTTTTGGACATGGGCAGTTGGCCAGTGACAGGGAAAGACTGGTCCTATCTGAGGCCTTTGGCCGCTTTGATGTTCCTTTGCCCTTTTCTGCACAGCTGAGGTACATCTCTCAGCACTGCAATTTCCATCTGCCCCCACTTTTGCCTGCTCCAGAGGCAGGTACAGGCCAGCTTGTACCCTAACAGCTCTGATTGGCTGATCGCATGGAGGGGTTACCTTTGCCTCTCACCAAAAATTTTTGCGCTGCTGGGGCTTGCCTGCCTGCGTGGGTGGCTGCTCCAGTACGAACTAATTTTTTTCTCCATCCCTCTCTCACTACAAAGCCAACCTTGCGAAAAAAATCTCCTGCCTGGACTCTTCCACCTCACCACACCCAAACTTGAAATCCAAACATCACAGATCATCAACTCTCTTCCCTAGATCCTGGATATCCCCTCTTGCTAAGGCCAAGAGGACCAGTATCTAGTTACTTTCTACATCCTATTTAACTCTCTTATCACTTGCTCTTTCAGAGTGTGTGATATTCCCTTCATCTGGCCCAAGAGAGCCCCACCTTCCACCACCTTTCCGACTTTTTCTTCTAGGTCTCAAGCCGTGCTTGTGATCTAGATTTCTTTTCATCAACTAAAGCAATCATGGCTACCAACCAGGGACTCGAGGATGTCCCCGAGGGTAAGTGATTCCGACTCGTGTTTGTTTGCCGGGCGTCGTCTCCCATCTGCATCGCTTGATCGGTGACGCCCCTCCCCATTTCCCCGCCTGCCTCTGCTGCGATCCTGCTGCGCTGGTGCCGTATGCGCCCAGCCTCTCCCCTGGATTGGGGATGCATCAGCCATCGCATCAGACCTTGACCCGCCCCTTTCCATCTAAACATCAAGCATGGTAAACTAACGCAACACTCTACTTCCAGGCCAGATCGAGTCCAACTACGATGAGACCGTTGACTCCTTCGATGATATGGGCCTGAAGCCCGAGCTTCTCCGAGGTATGCAGCCCCCGCTACATCCTTTTCGACAGGTGTACAGCCACCTTGGTATGAATCGTCAGCTAACCCCCGCTTTCGACAGGTGTCTATGCCTACGGTTTCGAGCGTCCCTCGGCCATTCAGCAGCGTGCTATTATGCCTGTTATCAAGGGTATGATGTCACCCCCAGTCCCCTCCCCCTTACCCCTTCTCCCTAATCCCTTGTCGTCTTCTGGTCAAATACAAGCTCGTCTAACCTCCGATATTAGCCCACGATGTTATTGCTCAGGCCCAGTCCGGTACCGGAAAGACGGCCACCTTCTCTATCTCCGTCCTCCAGAAGATTGACACCAGCGTCAAGCAATGCCAGGCTCTCATCCTCGCCCCCACTCGTGAGTTGGCTCAGCAGATCCAGAAGGTCGTCGTCGCCATCGGTGACTTCATGAACATTGAGTGCCACGCCTGTATCGGTGGTACCAGCGTTCGTGAGGACATGAAGGCTCTCCAGGACGGCCCCCAGGTCGTCGTTGGTACCCTGGTCGTGTCCACGACATGATCCAGCGTCGTTTCCTCAAGACCGATGCCATGAAGATGTTCGTCCTCGATGAGGCCGATGAGATGCTTTCTGTATGTTTTTCCCAGCTTACTTCCCTTCGTATGAACCATGGAATTGCTAACGCAAAGTTTTTTCCCCTACCTCAGCGCGGTTTCACGGAGCAGATCTACGACATCTTCCAGCTCCTTCCCCAGTCTACCCAGGTCGTCCTTCTCTCGGCTACCATGCCCCAGGACGTCCTTGAGGTCACCACCAAGTTCATGCGTGACCCCGTTCGCATTCTCGTCAAGAAGGACGAGCTTACCCTTGAGGGTATCAAGCAGTTTTACATTGCCGTTGAGAAGGAGGAGTGGAAGCTCGACACCCTCTCCGATCTGTATGAGACTGTCACCATTACCCAGGCGGTTATCTTCTGCAACACCCGCCGCAAGGTCGACTGGCTCACTGAGAAGCTCACCTCTCGTGATTTCACCGTGTCTGCCATGCACGGTGACATGGACCAGGCCCAGCGTGATCTTATCATGAAGGAGTTCCGTTCTGGATCTTCTCGTGTCCTGATTGCCACCGACCTTCTCGCCCGTGGTATCGATGTCCAGCAGGTCTCGCTCGTCATCAACTACGATCTCCCCGCCAACCGTGAGAACTACATTCACCGTATCGGTCGTGGTGGTCGTTTCGGCCGAAAGGGTGTCGCCATCAACTTCGTCACCGCTGATGATGTCCGCATGATGCGCGAGATCGAGCAGTTCTACAGCACTCAGATCGAGGAGATGCCCATGAACGTTGCCGACCTCATCTAAACAGCCCTTTTCTCTCAAACCCTTTTGACGTCCCTTTGCCCGTTTTCAATAAAATGGACGGTGCAAGTTTCCTCTGTGTGTGTGCGCTCGGGGAGGGGGTTGGTCTCGTTTTGATGTGGCAGGGCAAGGCTGGCGGATATTCTGTTGGCTCCTCCTTGCAGGGCATATGTTGATAGATGAAGGGCGGCTTGCGGAATCTTCATCTTTTTTCGAGGGTTCATCAGCAAAAAATGGGTCATCTAAACTTCTAGTTGCATGTTGTGGGACAGGTTGTTTTCCATGTCCTTCACCAACTGTTTGTCGGCATTTCTTGATTTTCAGGGTGCCTCCTTGCGTCTCAAAAAGTAATCGGAAAGGGGTTTGCGAGATGCTCTTTTTATCTTATTTTTCACTTGTTCCGTCGTTGCCTCATGTACCTCGGGGTCTCTGAATTCATACCAATCTTTTAAAAACCAATGCGCTCCTCATCTCATCTATGCTTGTGATCGATCCATTGATGTTTACTGTTTATTCTATGCGTAGTGAAGGCTATAACAGCGCCTCCCCGTTACTAAGTACTCTATCGGTTCATTGCAGTGGCCACTCATCCGCAGCTTGAACACTGAACGTCATCGTCCACGAGCTTGTCCTTCATGCGCGTCATGGTTGTTTGCAAACGGAACATTGCCTCTCATAGGAGGCTGGGAGGAGATCTTGTTCTTGAGACAAATTCCCAAGCTACGGACTTGAAAGGATCCAAGAAGGAAAAAAGAAACAAAAGAAGAGGACGAAAAAAGTGGATGATATTACTTGATGTAATCCTTTGGGCATGGCAAGGTGGATTAATGGGAATGTTAGAAGCGGGATACTTTGCGCAGGCACGGCAAAGTTGAGGTGGTGAAAAAAATTATTCTATGACTCAAGAAGCTTGCCTAATTCTGCTCACTACAATCCACTCTACCGAAGAGCGCAACTTTCATGATATCTGGAAGAATATTGGATCCATCTTCGAAATCATAGTACCTTGGTAACTCATTTCATAGGCAGCAGCTGTTTTTCTTTTCTTTTACTCTCTCCCACACCTCTGCCTCATATCAGAGCGTGTATGTTATCCCGGCCTCTTTTTCAGGGTTGAGTCTCACACACTGTCCGGCCTCGCACCATCTTGACGCAACAACCCTGCCCGCTTTGGGAGCAGTTCGCGCCGCCGCCCACGTTGGCTAATTTATTCGGTTTCGCGAGATTTTCTGCATCGGGCGCTGCCCGTGTACGGCAGAATTCTACCCTGAGCACGCTCCTGAATCCTTGGCCAGGCATGAAGACCAGAGTGGTCAAGGTCGAAAGGGCCCAGCTGGGGGCTTTCGAGAACCCACCGGGCCCAACACGCTTGGACAACTGGTCTGTGGATGCGGTTCCTGAAAGCGATCTTGCGGCCCTTGCCGAGGCCGCGCGGTGCCTCCGCGAGAAGGACACGCCTGTAGCTTTCCCGACGGAAACGGTGTATGGGCTGGGAGCGGATGCGCGAAGGAGCGCCGCGGTCAAGGGCATCTATGCTGCTAAAGGCCGGCCATCGGACAACCCTCTCATCGTGCACGTCTGCGACCTTCAGATGCTGCGCAGCTTACTAACGCCCGGGGATGGCAACGGCGACAGCGGCGGGGAAGATCCCATACCGGACATCTACCGGCCGCTCATTGAAAGGTTTTGGCCCGGCCCGCTGACGATCCTGCTGCCTTCGCCCACGCCGTCTAAGCTGGCTCCGGAAGTCACGGCGGGCCTGGCGAACTTTGGGGCGCGGATGCCTTCCTCTCCGCTGGCGTTGACGTTGATCAAGCTGGCCGATGCGCCGCTGGCTGCGCCCTCGGCAAACGCGTCTACCAAACCCTCACCTACGGCCGCGCAACACGTGCTGGATGATTTGGATGGGAGAATCGAACTGATCCTGGACGGGGGCGCCTGCACGGTCGGTGTTGAGAGCACTGTGGTCGATGGCCTATGCGACCCTCCCGTCGTTCTTCGTCCCGGCGGCGTCAGTTTGCAAGAGCTCCGGGAGTGCCCGGGCTGGGAGAAGGTCGCCAAGGCGTACAAGGACCACAGCGAAGAGGGCAAGGCCGCGCCGAGAGCGCCGGGCATGAAGTACAAGCACTACAGTCCGAAAGCCAAGGTTGTCCTGTACGAAGCATCCTTTAGCCAAGGGTCGGACGGGGTGGTACCTGAGGATAGGGATGCCGTCCCGGCGGCGAATGGCGCGAATGGCGATGTCAATGGAAACGCTGCGAAGCGTAGGAAGATTGGCGTCATCCGTACCCAGCGGTGGGCCGAGGGAGCTGGATTCAAGTGTGAGAACCTTGCCCCTTCGAATGCTACGCAGGATGCGGTCGACGGGGCCGCAGCCGATTTGCCGTACGTGGTAGAGGAAGGGGACTTGAAGAATGACGGTGGGGAGAATATTGGCCGGATATTAGACATAAACTTGGGCAAGGATATTAGGAGAATTGCACAGGGGCTTTTTTCTGCCCTGAGGGAGTTGGATAGAAGAGGCGCCGACGTCATATTCGTTGACGGCATCAATGACGAGATGGATATCGCCGGAGCCGTCATGAATAGACTCCGAAAAGCGGCTACGGAAAGCCGGGCATAGATGGAGTTGGAGGCGGATAGCGGCCTCGGTTTTATAAACAAAAAGAATAATGATACCAACATCACTCACTGTATAGCAACACGGACTCTAGATATCAAAAGAAGAAGAGGAAGAAGAAGAAGAAGAATCTGTTCATAACCATAAATGAGGAGCCCCCACGGATTTTTCATTGACACATTTCTTTTTGATGATAAAACCAATCCTCCACCTCGCGTGTTTCTACTAGGGAACATGACAACATGGACATCCACTTCAAAGGCCCTGCCTTAGCCAATCCGCCAATTTCGACTTTCCGAGTTGTGTCAAGTTGCTAACGCCCTGCTCGCTAAGGTCGATTCGGCTGAGGTTGACGTCCTGGTTAGGAGCCTTGCTGACACGCTGTATGATGATGGTAGGGTCAGTCTCGAGGATGATGCCGTCGTCAATGATTTCATCGATGGCGAGGGCGACAAGATCGTAGTTTTCGATAATGGTTCGCTTATCCACGGATTGCCTAGATTATTGAGAGGTTCGGGCCCTTGGTTAGCAAACGACCATAGCAGCAAGGTATAGACCTCGATGGAAAGCGCACTTGGGGGAAAAAGGAGAGGGGTTGTACGAACTTGAAAAGAAGGTGAAGCGAGTCCCTGAGGGCAAGGACAACGTTATATAGTAGGATCTCATTCTCGTCCACACTTCCAACCACGTAAATCATGACATCGGACTCCATCTTGTACAGAACGATCCGGTTATCATAGAGGATGATGTCGCCGGTCTGCTTCAGCGTCTTGTCCGCGAGGCCCTTCTCGAACGCCTTCTGCGCCTTCAAATCGGGGTAAGGGTTGCTCGCCGTAGGACCTATTCCCCAGCACTCCCCGTCAGCTCCAAAGTCTCCTTTATAGATTGCACTAGAGGGCCCAGCTCGTGGGTCGACACACCTTGGTTCGCACCCGTGGTTGCATGGTGGGGTGGCGCATAGTATTTGGCGAATATCCTCGATCCATCTTCACTGTTCAGGATCAGGATAGCCTGAATGGAGAAGAGGGACATTCCGGGAGACATCTTGGCCGGGTTTTCCGCAGCTTGAGTTTGGGCTGGGGGAGAGGGGTTGCTGGAGCTTGTGGTTTTGGCGGCTCTTTGGTGATGTTGGCTTGCGCCGGTGTCCGCAGCTGGCTCAATCGATGCCACGGTGCGGTTTACCACTGGCTTTGGTGGGGCCCTATCATTTTGCACTGGAGGCTTGGGCCACAACCTCCCCCGGATGGCTAAACTCTGGGAGAAGTGGCCTCTTCATCCCAGCTCAGGGTTTGGTGGAAGCGAAGCGCCTTGAGGTCGCACGGGCCACACAAACCGCGTAAAGTGGAACGCGTGCATGGAACGCGTTCTCCTTTTAATTGATTTTTGACCACTGGAAAAGCCTCCGCCCCCCTTCCCTGCATCGTCATACGCATCACCCCTCAATCATCCCAAATTCTATCCATTTTTCTCCCCTTCCCGCCTCTTCCATCATTCTTTCGTCTTCTTAGACAAAAGCTCTTGATAAAGACGTGGAAGGCAACATCACCGCCCGCATATCCTCAGCCATGTCTTCTCCTTCGAGCAGGCGTCAGACCCCGAGGCGGTCAACGAGAAATTCGGAAGCTCCGAAGAGCAGTCCTGCCCCCGCAGCCTCTCAGGGCTCGCAAGCTGGCGTGACTCCTCGGGCTACGCGCCAGAGCCAACTTGCCTCTAGCCCTCTATTCTACCAGTCTTCGTCGCCTGCTCGGCGTGGTGCTGGCCAGGGCCGAGATGTTTCTTCCCCGCTTCAGCAGGACACCCAAACCACGGGAAACGATGCCTCCATGGTTCCTAGCTCGCCCTTGCGCCAGATGAGCGATACACAGTCCATGGGTGATCGTACTCCTCGTGCTAGTGGTAACCTTGCCGGCCGTATGACTTCCACACCCCATAAAGCACTCCCGCTCCGCCTTGCTTTGCCTTGTACGTCGCGCTAACCGCCCCTTTCCTCGATACAGAATCCTCGCCTATCCGATACGAGCCAAGCTCAAGCCCCGGGCGCTCGCAGCGCCAGCAATCTGAGCTCCGCAGCGAAAGCAGCGGTCTCTTTGTTAGGGCTGGCCCTTCCAGCGGCCGTGCCTTCCGTGGCGATATCCACTCAGACCTCAGCATCGCTAGAACCCCGCAGGCGCATCGGAGGGTAATCCTTGACGACGTTGGCCGTGTCATTCAAGAGAGCCCGTCGGAGACGGGCACCTTTGGCAACAGAGATCCCACAACCTCTGAGGCTGATGTGCTAGGCGGCGCTGGCCATGGCGTTGTGTGGGGTACGACTGTCTCCATCGAGGATTCGTTCTTGTCGTTCAACGACTTCCTCCGCAATTTTACCAAGAAGTACCGCATGTACGCCGATGGCCTATCTGACGACGACATCAGGGAGTCTCCTGATGCGGCCTCGAAGCCCTACCTAGAAGCTCTGGAGACCATGCTCCTGTTGGGAACCACTAGGTTGTACCTTGACATTTCTGACCTCAAGCTCTACCCCCGACCAGGAAGCTATTCCACCAACTTATCCTTTACCCCCAAGAAATCGTTCCTGTCATGGATCAAGCCGTGAAGGACACCATTCTCGAGCTCGCAACCAAGGGTGGACTCAAGGATCGCGCCTCACAGAGCAGTGCCGGCCAACTAGACCCTAGCCAGAGCTCCGAACCCGTCTTTCCTAGCTCTGATCACCCAGAGCCCGCCACGCCCACGTCTAGGCACCTCGACCCTTCCGTGGAGGAACAGATTGAGAAGACGGCCTACCTAGTTCGCCCATATGGCTTGGAAAAGACAACTAATTTGCGCGAGTTGAACCCTTCAGGTATCGAGATCCTTCTCCCCCAAGCTGAACACGCACACGCGCACGCCTATAGAGCACACGCTCTTTACCCCTTCTTCATCTCCTCGCGATCTAATTCACTAACTATTTTGTAGACATGGACCATCTTATCTCTATCAAGGGCCTCGTCATTCGGACCACTCCTGTCATCCCCGACATGAAGGACGCTTTCTTCAAATGCAACATTTGCGGCCACACTACAAACGTGGAGCTTGAGCGCGGAAGGATCAGGGAGCCGACAGAGTGTCCCCGCCCCATCTGTGCCTCCAAGAACTCGATGCAGATCGTGCACAATCGCTGTGAATTTACGGATAAGCAGGTCATCAAGTTGCAGGAAACCCCCGACATGATCCCCGCTGGCCAAACCCCACACTCCGTCTCGGTTTGCGTTTACAATGAACTTGTCGACTTCTGCAAGGCGGGTGATAGGGTCCAAATCACGGGTATCTTCAGGGCTAGTCCTGTACGAGTCAACCCTCGCCAGAGATCAGTCAAGAGTGTCTTCAAGACCTATGTCGATGTTCTTCACATCCAAAAGGTGGACAAGAAGCGCCTTGGAGCTGACCCTTCCACCCTGGCCGTCGAGGGCCACGAGGCTGAGGAGCAAGCGACAAGCAACGATGACAACTCCATCCCAGAGATCCGTAAAATTACGCCAGAGGAGGAGGAGAAGATTAAGCAGACGGCGGCCCGGGATGACATCTACGACCTCCTCTCGAGGTCCTTGGCTCCATCGATTTATGAGATGGACGATGTCAAGAAGGGTATTCTGCTGCAGCTCTTTGGAGGCACCAACAAATCATTTTCCAAAGGCGGTAGCCCCCGGTATCGAGGCGATATCAATGTCCTCCTGTGCGGTGATCCTTCGACCTCCAAGTCGCAGCTGCTCTCGTATGTGCATAAGATTGCGCCTCGTGGTGTGTATACAAGCGGAAAGGGCTCCTCGGCTGTGGGTTTGACCGCCTATGTCACCCGCGACCCGGAAACTAGGCAGCTCGTTCTCGAGTCTGGTGCTCTCGTGTTGTCTGACGGAGGCGTTTGTTGCATCGACGAATTCGACAAGATGTCGGATTCCACCCGATCCGTCCTCCACGAAGTCATGGAACAGCAGACAGTCTCAGTTGCTAAGGCTGGTATTATCACGACTCTCAACGCCAGGACTAGTATTCTCGCCTCGGCCAACCCTATTGGGAGCCGATATAACCCCAACCTCCCCGTCCCACAGAACATTGATCTCCCCCTACCCTTCTATCTCGATTCGATCTCGTCTACCTCATCCTCGACCGTGTCGACGAGAAGAACGACAGGAGGCTGGCCAAGCACTTGTTGTCCATGTACATTGAGGACACCCCTCAACACGCCCACTCCAACAATGAGATTCTGGTAAGTTGTTGCGCATCTACTAGGATAATTTTCCTCGTCCGTCGTATACTTGTTTTGCGGTTCTTTTTTTTTATTTTTTTATTTTTTTGTTCCGGAGAACTTTCATGATGAGATCAATTGGTCCGTGTTTCTGAGGCAGCCTCAAGACCTGCTACTTGAACGAAGCAACAAAGCACAACATGCAACTCTGACTTTCTTCTCCTTTTCCCCATCCTCCTTCGTTCTCTTATTTCTTTTCTTGTTTTTACGGGGGTGAGCATATTCCTTCGCAACATGTCACTGACCTGTGATTTTAGCCTGTCGAGTTCCTTACGACCTACATCTCTTACGCCAAAACCCGTATTCATCCCACTATTGAACCCGAGGCCGCCCGTGAGTTGTCAGACTGCTACGTAGAGATGCGCAAGCTGGGCCAGGACGTACGTGCCGCGGAAAAGCGGATCACGGCCACGACTCGTCAGCTTGAGAGCATGATTCGCCTGTCGGAAGCCCATGCCAAGATGCGGCTCTCCACCACGGTTACGCGCGCGGATGTGCGCGAAGCGTACCGCCTGATCCGCTCGGCTCTCAAGACGGCGGCCACTGATGCTCAAGGCCGCATCGACATGAGCTTGTTGACGGAGGGAACCAGCGCGGCGGACAGGCGGATGAAGGAAGAGCTGAAGACTGCTGTCCTCCAAATTCTTGATGAAATGACCGCCGGCGGCCAAATCGTCAAGTGGGGTGATGTGGCCAAGAGGGTGACAGAGTCGTCAAGCGTGCCTATTGAAAACTCGGACTTTGCCGAAAGTATGAGGGTGTTAGATATGGAAGGTTCAATCATTGTGACGGGCGACGGCGCGAGGAGGTCAGTCAGGAGAGTCACAGGCCTTGCCTAGGCATGGCCTAGTAACGACCCGTGACTAACCTTTCTACTTTCCTTTTCCTTTTCCTTTTCCTTTTCAATTTTGTTCCTTGTTTTCTCCTTCCCCTTTTCGATTTTACGGTCATGTTTGATGAAGTGTTACGGAGCATGCATGGATTTGAGGGTAGGGGAAAAAACTAAAGAACGTGTAGAAGCGAAGGCCGGGTGAGGCCTGGGTCGGAGGTTTGACGGATACCACAACGGCGTACATGATGAAGACGGAGAGGATTACATCGGCAGTAATATATATATTAGCCTGCAAGAAATGCTTTCTGCTAGGAAATTCCTCGCTCTACGACCCTGCTCCGTTTACTACGTCGGTCGCGGCCTTGAGCGCCACGTCTACCGTGTCTCTCAAATCATCCCATTCCTCCAGGCCTACGGATATCCTCACTGCCTCTTCCAGGACGCCAAAATCAGCCTGAAACGCCTTCTCCTGTTCGTCCTTGCCGAAAGCAAGGGCACCATAGCACAAGGAAAGCGACTTGTGCGCACCCAAGTGGGGCCCGGGATAGAACCCTAGGTTATCGTAAAAGGCCTTGGCGGCCTCAAGGGAGACAAAGTCGACAGAGAGGAGGCAGGGATAGGATGGGGTGTAGGCATCCGTGGGTCGGCGGAGGTACGCCGAGTAGTTGGCCTCGCACGGCAGGACAGAAGGGTGGTGAACCTTGGCCACGGGGATGAGGGCGCGCGGCGGCGTCGCGCAGGTGGCGGGCGAGGAGGGCGGCGTTGGCGCCCAGCTTGGCGGAACGCGCGAGGTAGTCCTCGCTGTTGGAAAGGAGGACGTCGACGTCGGGGCCGAAAACTTCGTTGTGGAAACCGGCGGCGTACGCGGCGCTCAGAGCCGGGTAGTGCGGGGAGAGGGGATTCAGGATGGTGGAGCCTCCCATGACGTTGGCGTATCCGCTAAAGGACTTGGTGAGGGAGGAGACGAGAAGGTCGCACGCGGGCAAGAGGTCGGCGTTGGAAAAGGAGGCAATCGTATCGTCTACGATGAGGATGAAGTCGTGGGCGCGGGCGAGATCGCGCACGCGTCCGAGGTCGGCGCTCACGAGGACGGGATTGCTGGGGAACTCGATGATGGCGTAGCGGACGGCGCGGCCGGCGTCCTTTTCGGCGCGGAGCCAGGTGTCCAAGGCAGAGAGGCCGGCGTCGTCGACGTGGGGAAAATGTCGAAGTCGAGAGCCGTGCGTCTCCCGTAGGAGCTGGATGGTGTTGTTGAAGAGGGAGCCGAGGGCGACGACGGTCCCGTCGCGGTAGGCCGCGATGTGGCTGTCGACGTAGTAGATGGCCGCCATGCCCGTCGGGTAGAGGAACACGTCGGCCGGGGTGGCCGCAACCTCGGCCGGCTCGATGGCGGCCCTGTGCACGTACTCGCACAGCCTCTCCCTGAGGCGCGCGTGCGACGGCGTCTCGGCCACGTAGGCCGGCGGCGGCGGGCTCGCCCAATCGCACCCGACCTCGGCGGCCGAGGCGACGTGCTTGAGGAGGGACTCGGCCAGACGCGTGGACAGGCCTAGGCCCGGCTCCTGCCACGCGGCGGCGACGCCCTTGGTCTTGGCCCGGGGAAAGTACGCTAGGTAGAGCCGGCTCCCGCCGACGTCGGCGCACTTGAAGGTGAGGTCTTGCGGAGCGAGGCGGAACTCGCCCCGGGCTTCGGCGAGGCCGTAGGCGCGGACGATGGAGAGCATTTGGGGCGCGGTGAAGGCGAAGCCTGCGGAACCGGGGGCCACGCCGAACTTCTCGCCGAGGGCGTCAATTAGCTGCAGGGAGAGCGAGGCAGAAAGCAAAAACAGTTAGCCTTTTTTCTTGTGTGTGTTCTTTTTCGTGCTTCGCAACAGGAGAAAACTGGGAACGGGGCTCCTCTCTCCTTTCCAACGGACTTACGGCGCGGACGTCCCCAAACGGAGTAAACCGCGGGTATATATTCTGGAGCTTCGAGGCAACGGCCGGATCGCCGTCCCGCAGCCGCAAGATCATGTCCCACGTCGGGAGGTACATGGTGATGCCGTATTTGCTAAAGGGAGGCAGGCATCTTCCGGGCTCGGATTCCGGCTGGAGGACGGGCATCGCGCTTTTTGTTTCTTTTTTTTTTTTTTTAGCTAGCTCGCTCGCTACCACCACAGGGTTCTGGATCGTAAAACAAAGAAACAAGAGGGTACGGATTGATATTTCCTAGGCTGTGTATCCGGGAGCTTTGGGGAGAACCGGGTTGACCAAATTGGTTTCAAGCGACGCTCGGTGAAGTTGAATCAAAGAGTAGTAGACTTATAGTTGAGGGGTTGGGGGAGGGAGAGCCGCCGCAAGACATAAATAAGAGGTCAGCGGCTTCAGCATGGAAGGCTTAGACCGATGATACTCGGAACTGGCGGGATAATGGAGCCATTCACCGACTCGACTATACTAACGATACTGTGGCCAATTGAACGATAGACCTTGATGGATTTCGGGGTGGCATCCTATCACAGCGCCGGGGGCTCATCCCTTGGGGATCTAGCTCAAGGGAGTGATGACAGCCACAATATCTGCATGGATTCGTCGATTCCACTGAAAATCCTGAGGGATTCATGCGTAAGAAACCAAGCCCGGCTCTCATATTCATAGACGCGATAATCACAATTGCAATTAGACTCAAGATATAGATGTAAGAGACAAAATGTAAGCGACAAAATAGATTACATGCAAATATGCTCCATCACCTATGCTATCAGCTATGCTCACCAAATATACAACCTGGATGGATGGATCAATCCAGACATGGGATCCATGCAATCTGACAATATCATCCACTTCTCGCCTTTCGAAATCAAGACATGCCAATGACATTCAATACATACGCTACATGTAAGCAAAGTAGGCATTCGGCAACCTAGCGTCACTGTTTTGCATACGCACACTCACTCACCCACATTCGCTCATGCCAAAGTCCTCTCCCGGAACTCAAAGACAAAATTAACAATGACGGCCCCGAGGAGAGACAGGCAGAGTACCGTAGGGCCCCATCTATCGTGGTACTTTGCAACCCTTCGCTCCCGGATAGCCTTACTCCTGTACAAGTATACGAAGATGGAGTACAGAAGACACATGACAGCCACCAGAGTGTAAAGGGCGGGCACTAGAAGGGTGAGCGGTTTGGATCTGGATCCAAAGTTGAGTAGCGTGGCCGCAATCGTGCTGATGTAGATGGAGTACTCGAGCTAAGAAGAAGAAAGAAAAACTCAAGTCAGTAAAGAGAGGGGGGTGAATGGCAAAGAGTAGAAGCATGATGGATTCGAACACTCACCCAGCCAAGGAAAGTCCTCTCTGCCGCAAAGTAAACCTTGGGTTCCACGCGGACCGGGACGTAAATCTTCTTGCCCGGAGGAGCCTTGAACTTCTTGGTCACAATCTCATCGTTTCCGAACATCAAACGCAGGCGTTCACTGCGCTCGATACGGCTAGTCCGCGCGTCCGCCACACTTCCCAAGGCCCTAAGCGTTGAACGTAAAACCGTATTCTTGGCTCTGTGCGCTTGGGTTGAGATGAGGGTCGAGTAGTACGTCCAGCCTCCTACGCGCCGAGCCTCTTCCAAAGCGAAGTCGCCATCGTACTCGTCGTCCGAATCGTAAATGGGATACGCGTCATCAAGGTCGGGATTCTCTCTCGTCTGATCTTCAAAGTCAGTCGCTAGTGGACGGCTCGAGTTCCTTCCTACTGCTTGGCGACTCGACTCGCCGTTGGTGCCCCCATGACGACGCAGCTCAAGTTGCCTGAGGTCTTCCTCGTCATCGGAGTCTGATACAGTATCGTCGTCATCATCATCATCGTCGTCGTCGTCGTCATCGTCCGTGGTGGTGGCCGCCATACCAGGTCGGCTGATGCCAAAGTCGTGCGTCTCGGGTTTGCGGATGTCGATATCCATCTGGGGCATCCAGTATGGAAGGAGATTGATCCTGTCAGGGAAAAGGCATGCGCACCCGTGAATGAACTTGGAAAACTTTGGCACGGCTTCGACGAGGTGACTCGAAATCAATTGGCGCACCCACGCGGGAGGCTCTTGGCCGTGCTGGGTCTGCAGCTTGACTTCGAGAACCGCATAAGGGAATCGGACAACGTCGGAGGCCGGTAATTGGGAGAAGGGGTAATCGATGCCGATATCCATGCGCCGCCAGTTATCCCCCGATCGCTTTACTCCGTCAAGGTTGTCCTCCCGGACCATTGTGAGTTCGGTGTCTAGCGAGATACGCACCCGGGCATCGGCGGGAAGCTGGAAAGCGGTACGGTTATAGAAAGACCGGCAGACGGGCCTATACTTGTGCTTAAGAACAGACCACTGAACCTCGCTAGCAAGAGCCTCATCCTCGTCGATGGCTTTGGCGGGACGTTTCCGATCCTTCCTGGCCTTTTGGAATAGGGCGACGGGCAACAGGTCGCCTCGCATGTAGGCATTGATATTCTTCTCCTTAGTAGCAAATCGGGCCTTGACTGACTTCTCGCCGGTCCAGTCTTCTCGGTGAGTCTTGCGCTCAACGAATATAGTATCGCTGTCCATGCCGCCATACCATCGAAGGCGGATAGCTTCGGCGCCCTCAGTCTTCTTCAGGCGACCCTCGTAGAGATCCCACGTGTCGGGGTTGTCGTAGTAGATGGAGGTGATGGCCGAGTCCTTGGCCTCAAACTCCTTGTTGGGGTTGAAGACCAAGACGGGCAAGTGCTTGAGGATGATGAGCTTGACGGCCATGACGTTGTCGGGGTGGACCCAGTACTTTGTCGTGCTACGGACAAAGTTGCCCTGTGAACCTCCCGCAGCACTGTCTCCCTTGACCGGGTTTCCACGGGTCCGGACGAGGTCGTACAGCTTGGAGAGCTTGACAATGGAGGCATCATAATCGCCTTTATAAAAGGCTTCGCCTTGAGACGCGAATCGAAAGCGGGGCGGATATGCCAGCCAGTCATTTTCTAGGGAGAAGGGAAGAAAAAAGAAAAGAAAAAAGACTTAGAACACTGGACTGAAAGTTTAAGAGGGTGGGGACCGGTGACGTTCACTCACATCGTGCTTCTTGATGATTTTGTAGAAGCCAGTATAGTTGACTTGGACGAATTTGGCGAGGTCGTGGACGTCGGTAATCACATCGCTGAGGACCTGCTCAAGGGCGACGAATTCCTCTTCGCCGGGGCCGGGGCTAGTCGGACCGCGGTCATTGAGGCGACCGACGACATCCTGAACGTGACGCTCGCTGACCTGGATGCGGCGCGTGATCTCGAGGGACTTGACCTTCTTCTTGGTGAAGACCTTGTCGAGCTCGGCATCGAGCTTGCGGACAAACTTGGTCTCATCCTCGTCAGCCCATTGGCGGCCAGTGTACTGCTTGCCTTTGGAGTCGGTAAGGGTGGCGAGACTCCCCGAGGGGTTTTTCAGAAGCTGCTTCAAGCCATCGTAGTCGATGTAGCTCCACTGATACTCAGGGATGACGCTGTCGCGCAGCTGCTCCCCGAACTTCATGACGATTTGGCCGGGGCGGACTCGAAACGCTCCGGGACGATTGGGTTTCCAGGTGACCTGTCCAGTTTTTAAGTCCTCGATGATCACGAATGACATTTGCAGCCAGGGCAAACGATTAGGGGAGAAGAAGAAGAGGGAAAGAGAGAGGGAGCACCATGAATGGACTAGGGTAAGGGCGTTAAGGCACGAGGCGGGAAAAAAAAGAAAAGAATGGGAGGGACGGACGCAGGACGTGCAGTGCCGTACGAAGAGCACGGGGTTACGGCGCTCGTGGGAATGGAAATGAAATGTGATTGGTAGCTGCTCACTCGCAGACCTAGCAATGGATCTTCATCGGCGGCCGGCAGGGTGGGAGCTTGAGGGATGGGCTGAGAGACAACAAGCACCCCCTTAACCTCGGTGTGGGAACGCTAGAGGGAAAAGAACAGGAGGGGGATATTGTTTCTTTTTTTGCTTGTTGTAGACATACCTCGATAAGGAAATTGGACGGTAAGGAAGAGACAATTAACCGCTCAATTGGGTCGGCCGGGTGGAGGGTGGGTTTATGAGGCCGTGATGTGATGCCGTGCGTCGTTGTTGGTAGCAAGCACAGGGATAAAAATGCGAGAAGGGGAACGGACTTGAGAGAGCAAGGGGGCTGCAGGCTCGACTAGCCTCGGATGAAGAGCAATAGGAGCTCGAGATAGTGAGAGAGAGAGGGGAGGGAGAGATAGAAAGAGAGGAAATGATCGATGTCTTCCGCAGAGTCGAAACAAAATAGCGACACTTGGTGGTCTCGGCCAGACGTTGGTGCTGCTCGCCTGTTCTGACACAAGAGAGAGAGGCGAGAGTTGACGTACTTCGTACCTCGTTGGTCGACAAACTTGGGTGCTATGGCAGCCAGTCGAGCCAGTGTCATGCTTGCGCTTGCCTGCAATGAATGAGCTCTGCTGCAGGGAGACGCTATAACTTCTTGGGACTAGCGCCAAAGTTGCTCGCTCGAGAAGTGGGGCATCAATTGACCTTGGAGCCGACGATATCTACAAACTATATCCACGCCAAAAGTCATCTCAAATGGTCCTCTGCTGTTTTGCGTGTCTTGAAAATGCCAATGCCTGTGCGACCCAGAGACAGCAGAGACAAAAGAGACAGCAGAGACAAAAGAGACAGCAGAGACAGCAGAGACGAGACAATATGCAGTCGAATCGAGGATCCACGGGTGGATCAATGTACATCAACATCTACCAGTCCACCCCATCATCCCATTGACAAACGCCTCGATTCGTGACACCTGGGGTTTATCAAATAATCATGGACATATCTGCCACCAGCCGAGCCTACGATTGCGACCCATTGCCTTTCAGCCTTTCAGCATTTCAGCATCCCAGTGGATCCGCCAATGGCCCATGTGGACTCTCCCGTGGAGCCGTCCCCGTCAATTCAGTCAATTTTACTCGGTCCAACTTCGAAGCACTCGAGCTCGCGGCCAATTGGCCAATTAGACCAATCCATCAAAGAACGTGGTGCTGTCTCTTCCCCGTCTCCCTCCCATGCGGTGCATGCACCATTTTAACCAACAATCTATTGACAACCCTGGCGCTCTCCCATCTCAAGGCTACCAACCACGGGCGCCACACGTGCGGGAGTGCCTCAATCGAGACTTGGCTTTTTCCCGCTTCCTCTTCACGAGGGGATTCTTGAGCTCCACCCAATCGCGATGTGGGGCTTGCCTTGGAGGGGTATTGCCCGAAAAAGAAGAAAGGAAAAAAAAAAAAAAAAGAGAGGCCCAAGGCCCATGAAACCCATCGCGGCGCCTCCGTCGCTTTTATCTATGGTATGATCCATCTAGTGTCGTCGATTGTGTAGTGTAGTGTAGGTGAGGAAATCATTCAGTCAGATAGCCCAGTGATTTTCGGGTACTTGTGGTCATAACGAGGCACTCGAGGGCAGGGAACCTCGAGTCCCTCCTAATCAACCCCCACTTGCCAGGGCCCAGAGCTCAAAAGCTACCCCTCCATCAGTGCTCTTTTTTTTTTTTTCCCGACTCGCGCAAGAATAGACAAAAGACTTTGAAGCCGGCCACCATGACCGCCCCCGACGACTCCCTCCAGGCACGTGTGTCCTCGGACTGCCCCTCCACCGCCCAGGAGATTCTGTACCACGCCTGGGCCCGCGACCTAAGCGGGCTAAAACCCCTTCTCAACGTACCCGGTCACGCGAGCAGCCAGGACCCGACCACCGGAGAGACGCCCCTCCATGCCGCCATCCGATCCTGTGGCCCTGCCGACCCCGCCGCCGATGCGGATGATGCCGAGGAGCCCGACGGCGCCGTCCAAGAGGCCATCGATGTCGTCCGCGAATTGTTCTTTTCCGGCGCCATATGGAACGACGTTGATAATAACAACGAGACCCCCGGCTGCGTAGCCGCCCGCCTCGGCCAGTCCCAATTATACAAGCTCTGCGTCGAGGCCGGCGTGCGGGCCGAGATGCTGTTTGGTCTCCTAGGCGGCTACGACGAACTATCTTCCGGGGGCGATGAGGACGAAGACGTCGACCTTGAAGACGCTGCCCCGGCTACCACCGCTGATGGCGAGAATGGCGAAAACGGCGACCAACAGACCGAGGCCCAGGATTCCGTCGAGGCCCAGGCTGTCGAATCCTCCGAGCCGGAGCCCGAAAAGCGCTTCCAGCCCCCAGAGACGGACGAAAAGGAAATCAAAAGCGAAGAATACCTCCGCTCCAAGCTCACCTACTCGGACGGAAAGCTCGTCGATGACGAAGGCAACGGCGTCATGATGGCCTGGGAGACCGACATCATGCGCCGCAGCGTCGACGCGCTGCTCCCCGGACTCGAGCCCGGCAAGCGCATCCTCAACGTCGGCCTCGGCATGGGCATCATCGACTCCATGTTTGTCGACGCCAAGCCCGCCGTGCACCACATCATCGAGGCCCATCCCGCCGTGCTCGAGCACCTCTCCAAGCCCGGTGCCAAGTTTGGCGCCGAGTGGGAGCGCAGCGGGCCCGAGGACGGCGCCTTCAAGGTTCACGCCGGCCGCTGGCAGGACGTCCTCCCCACCCTGCTAGAGAAGGGCGAGACGTACGATGCCATCTACTTTGACACCTTTGGCGAGGACTACTCGCAGCTCCGTTCCTTCTTCAGCGACTTCATTCCCGGGCTGCTCGACTACGAAGGCCGCTTCGGCTTCTTCAACGGGCTTGGTGCCGATCGAAAGATCTGCTACGACGTGTACTCCGCCGTCGTCGAGATGCACCTGTCCGAGGCCGGCTTGGACCTGGAGTGGGATGTGATTGACGTGGATATGAAAGGTCTCGAGGAATCAGGAAAAGGTGAGTGGGAAGGGGTTAGGAGACGGTATTGGACCCTCGATAGTAAGTTGACCCTTCCGCTTTATTCCAAATCAACCTTTTGCTACATGCGCAACGCTCCTGACACAACTACAGAATACCGACTTCCAATCTGTACATTCATGGGCTAGATGAAAAGAAGAAAAGAAAAAAAAAAAACAAAAGAATATAGTAGACATAGAATCAAAGAAAAGGAAAGGGGGAGCAAGGGTGGTCTCGGAGAGGCAAAAATAAATCCGCGGATGCATGACCCAGTAGTGGAAAAGATTCATGTCAATAGGGAATACCCAACACTGCCAAAGGGCACCGAATTTTGCTCGCTAAGGCTACATTACAGTGGGTTATGGATGTATTCCCAGCCTCCCGTAAGCCTCGCCTCCCGTTAAGGGGCACAAGTTAATCCTTCTTCGGGTCCCCAGTCTCAAAAAGATCTCGGGCCTATGAACACCTGCAGTGTTCCCAGCCCGAACACGCTCGTAAGTCAGGGCGGCAATAAGCGCGGCGCCCACGCCGCTACCGTCCTGAGCAGCCACAACCTCAATGGGGTTCTCCGCGTTGGGGTCCGGATTTTTGACCAGCCAAGGATCTCTCCCATAGCAGCTGCCTGCCTCTTCTTGAAATGAGGATACTTATGGAAGACGGAGCCGTCGGCTCCGACGTGGAACTCCTTCCAGCCCTTCTTCTTGCTAATGGCAGCTAGACCACATGCTGTGAGGCGGGCGGCGCGAAGCCCAATAAGCTCCGAAACCCTACGGAGCACCTTGAGCTCATCGTCGGTACTGGTGATGCCCAGTTGACTCTGGATGATGTCCTTGGTCTCCTGCAGGTTCTCGGTGTTGTCGCTGCACAAAAAACAAAACAAAAACGGTGGTTCGTCAGTGGACTTGGACGTGACGGCAGAGAACGCTAGGCACTTACGCTTCAATCACGGAGAGCAGTGAGGAGTCGAGAGAATAGGAGACTTCGAGCTTGGAAGTGTCTTGGCCCTTAAATATGAGCCCCTTCCCATGCAAATCCAGGGCAACTAGGCGCCAGAGCTCTCCTAGGTAGAGGCCAGCCACCATCTTCTCATAGATTTGTTGACCCATCCGAGGGGACGTTTCATCGATGATGACGTCGTACGGTGTGCGCGGAAGAATGACCCGTTCGTTATCGAAGGCGCCCCATTCGCAGTTGATTACCATTGGGAGGTCATCGGGAAGGTTGAGGTGCGCCAGCTTCGGGATGGAGCCGCAGTTTTCAACGTAGGCTCCGTTGCAGCCAGTCCCGAAGATGCAGCCGACGCGAACCTTGGGATCAGCGTAGGCTGAAGCTACAAGGGTTCCGGTAGTATCGTTGAGCAGGGCGACGACGGCAATAGGAACATTCTACAGGGGCGCATGCGTGATTAGTAGGCGGCCCAAGTTTCGTTTGTTTTTTTGACCTGCCCATGGCTGGCAACTCTTACCCTCTTTTCCAAAGCAGCCTCGAACAAAGGAATAATGTTCTGACCTTCAACACCCTTGACGTCGAAGCCCTTTGTCCAGCGCTGTAAGATGCCGTGGTTGATGTAATCTTGGGTGGCAGGGTACGAAAATGTGTAACCAAGGGGCAGCTTCTTCTTGACGGGTTGAGGGTGGTGTTCCTGGAGGAAACGTTGTACGCAGTCTGCCTGGTACTCCCAAAAGTCGTGAGAGTTTCCTACCTTGAGGTTGTCGGGGATCTTATACTTGGACTGAATGATCTCAAACTCGCACTGCTTCTCTGCGAGAGTTACCTGGCAAACTCGCATGTTGGTTCCGCCCAAGTCGACCGCAAGATAGGACCCAGTTTCATGGCCGGTAGGAAGGGCTACGACCCATGTCGGGTTCATTGGCTATTGGTCTCAGTCAGCGCCATCCACTTAGGAGAGGTTAGTCCTCATAGTGTGAGGGGCAAAAGATGGGCATTTGAACCAATGCTATGTGTGGTTATCAAAACTGCGATATTCTTACAATACTCCCACCCTGGGTCGTCAGTCCTGCAGCTTGGGTTAGCGAGAGGGCCAAGGTTCGAAGCGGACGAACTGGTATACTAAACCCAAGCGTTGCGCTTCACAAGGACCGCAATTCAAACTTTGGAGATATCTACGTACCCTTTGTCAACTCCGATGCGAAGTGGTCCGAGATAGCCTTGAGCTTCTCAGTGCTCACAGTGAATTCAGTCTCCAGCACCTTGACAGCATCCTGGAGGGGTTGCGGTAGTTTTTCCATCTTTGGGAAATGGCTCTAAGGAATCGATGCAGCTAGTTAGCAAGCAGGGGCGAAGGGTTGGCCTCGTGGAGGGAGGAAAAGGAATTTGCTATGGGCAGAACGGTCGCAGTGCTTTCTTATCCACTATCTTCTCTGATCTGTGGAGCTATCGGAAGGGTCGGGCTTTCTTTTAAGAAGTGAGTTGAGATTTTACGTACTGGCAACTCGGTCCCGCGGGTCTAGATGGTGGATGGATTTATAGAGATGGGTAGGAGAGAGCTCTGAGAAGTGCGCGTGGTGGGGTAAAGCTCCGAGAGATGATGGTGCCTCAGAGTAGATCGAAAAGAGGTATTAGTGGCAAGAGATCAGTTCAGCACGCTTGGTACGAATTATATATAAAGTAGTCGAATTAAAAAGAGGCTAGAGGGTCGACAAAGCTCGTTGACGAGAAGTTAATCTTATGGAATAGATTCTTCTCTTTCGCGGAAGGGAGGGAGGAGCTCTTCGACTTTGTCCCCTTGAAAGGTGGGGGAAGGTGCAGGTAATAATAGTACCTTGAAGTAAAGTGGGAACCTAGGGAGCCAGATCGGCTCAGGCGCCTCGGCGCCTCATGTTTAGCTCTCCTCATTACATCAATGGATGGTTGACGGGTGAGCTCAGGATACATTTCCCCACACTCTCACGGCGAATGAGCCACCTGGGTCGAAAGTGCCCCCTCTTGAGGCTTCCACATTTGCAAGGTATTCCCGACTTTCAAGACTACACTACGAGTAGGGATATCAACGGTTCGAGCTTCGTCCACAGCTAAAGACTTGGAGTGTATGACCAAGGCCGTCGATTACACAGTTGCCTCAAAAGCCCGCCTTGAATATCGGGGCGAGAGGTGGACTGCATCCCCCTCGCTGCCAAACGCACGGGTGATGGATATGATCAGCGTCATAAGTGTTACTGGAGCTGGTGCCAACGCCCGGGTCAGCTAGTTCTCAGGAGATTGCCCATATACAAGCCCACTCTTCGGATGCGGTGTCCGTGGGGTCAGCAAGTTCTCAGAGCACCAGTGATGCTATCCGCTAGCCCATGAATGATCCATCTCAAATTGTCCAGCGCTTGAGCTTGACTGCTCCCCTCGTGCTAAGAAATCAACGTCATTCGGAGTATCGAGGTGGGGAACATCGAGCCCTGTAGTCGACAGCTGGCACCATGTGTATACAGCTATGATCACGTGATAATATTGTGAGCCAGTTAAACCGTTGGCTGGAAGGTGTCTCCACCATGTGTCTGACACTCACCTTTTGCCGTGCTTGGGCAACCCGTGAACGCTAAACCTAGTTAGGAAAATCGGATCCCTTCACATTGGAGCAACGTATGCGTTTTCAAGCTGCAAGCTGTTTTCGAAGCCGCGACGACTTCCCTGAAGCGCAACGGCGAGAAGCGTAATCCCCAACACTTCATCTCCACCACAACCCTGGGAATTTCGACAACGTCAATCATCTATTCCCAAGGGCACCCGAGCTGCCAGGCGCTGTCTCGTCCGTAACCAGTCACCATGAAGCTCCTATCAATCAGCGCCATCTTCGCGAGCTTGCTGGCCTCATCCGCTGCCAGCACCGAGGGCCGCTCGACCGCAAAGGTTGTCCTCCCCTCCTCTTTCGAGCCCCCAAGGCGTTCAAGAACCAAAATTTGGTCCACATCATCTCTTTAGAGAAGAACTACGCCAAAGAAAACATCAATGTCCTTATTGAAAACGTCTCGCCCGGCCTAGTCGACGAATACTTTCTTCCCTTCACGGCCGATCAGTTCGCCCGCGTGGGCGGCATCGAGGTCAATGATAGGAAAACTCCGACGCCGGTCCATTCGAGGTTCTGCCCGTCGAGTATGACAACGGAAGGTATGTCTCAGGGGCAGGAATATACTCTCTCAAGCCAGAGGCCGCGAGGAGTATATACACACGCACTCATACATATCATGTATATCCATCTCTTGATACTTTGGAAGCTAACTTGTCGTTTCCCATAGCGATACCCAATACTACCGAATTCAGCTCCCCAAGGCCCTGAAGGCTGGAGAACAACAAACAATTGGCATCTCCTTCAGTTACCTCAAGGCCTATGCCCCTCTGCCCTCTTCTATTAGGCAGGATGAGAAGCAGTACCTGACCTACGATTTCTCTGCCTTCTGCCAGTCTGCCTACGTAACCGCTAAGCAAAAGACCGAAGTCAAATTTTCCTCGAGCAACATCCCCGACTTCACCACCATTGGCGAAGGTCCCCAAAACCAGGGCTCCAAACTTGTCTACGGCCCTTACGGCGAGCAGGCCGCCTTCGCTCACGCCCCGCCCGTGTTCGCTTCGAGTTTACCAAGCCCGTCCTTCACGTTGCCACCCTCGAGCGAGATATCGAAGTCAGCCACTGGGGTGGCAATGTCGCCTTTGAGGAACGCTACGACCTGTACAACCGCGGCGCCAATATGTCGAGCTCCTTCAGCCGTGTCAAGTGGCAGCAGTCGCAATACTCGAACCCCACGACCTGGGCTCTCAAGGAGCTCAAGTTCCCACTCAGCGTCGGTAGCGCCGATACCTATTACACCGATGTGATCGGCAATGTTACCACTTCGAGGTTCCGCAGCAACAAGCGCGAGGCCCTCCTCGAAGCCAAGCCCCGCTACCCCGTCTTTGGCGGCTGGAAGTACCCCTTCACCATTGGCTGGAACGCCAACGCCAATAGCCACTTGAGGAGGACCGAGTCTGGGGAATACGTTCTCAACGTTCCCTTCCTCGAGGGCCCTAAGCAGCCTGAAGGCATTGAGTACAGCGAGGTTCGCCTCCAGGTCCTCCTTCCCGAGGGTGCCGAGTAAGTTCTTGTTCCCTTTGTCTTAGCAAAATAATAATGACGCACGGCTAATCCAGTCTTGTTGCAGAAATATCAAGTTTTATACTACGATTCCCGAATCTGCCATTACCGAGTCGACCACGACGATCAGGAGGACCTACCTTGACACCGTGGGCCGCACTGCCATCATCATCACCGCCAAGAACATTGTCGATGAATTCCGGGGCCGCGAGGTCATCATCACCTACACCTACCCACTGCTGGCGGGTCTCCGAAAGCCACTCGTCATCTTCCTATCTACTCTCAGCATCTTTGTTGCTGGCTGGGTAGTTGGCGGGCTCAATGTTGGCTTCTCCAGGACTACGAGAAAGTGACCGGATCAATAGAGACATCCTGCGTACCCATTCTCCTGGCGCCCCTTTGCCCACACCCTCCTCCCATGTTTTGACCCACCTTCGCCCGTCTCCCTCTCTCGCCCTCTCACCCCCTCTCTCTCTTGTTCTCTGTCTCTTGATCTTGGTCGGAACTCATGGTAGCGATAACGCGGATATCTTTATTTCACTTTGAAAGTATCCCGGTTTTTTTCCTTCGGCTATTTTTTCGATGTTGATGCCCCGCCCCTCTTGGCCTTCGGGACATCAATTTCCGTTGTTTTCCTCAAGCCGCTCTCACCTGTTTCTCTCTCTAAACTGTAAATGTATACACGGATTCTCAGATGGTGAAAAGAAATAAATAAAGTCGAGTATTTCGTATGAGTACTTCTATATTGCTACCTAGAAGGGCCCCAACGTAAGAGGCGGCGGTATACCAGCCTGGTGATGCTCATCATCGGTAAGAACAATGTGAGAACGAGTGCGCTAGACAAAAACCTGGTATATACATCCATTCCATTATATACAAAGAAAAGAAGTGACGGAGCCATTGGCGTGTTCCGCTCCGAAACCCAGAACATAAATGAAAGAAGAAAAAAAAAGATGATGGATAAAAACCCTCCCAATAAACGCCAAGTTGATATTTTCCTGCAAAATCCTTCCGTGGTGTAATCATGCAGGTTCCGTGTATCCCATGGACGTTGCAAGTTTGCTGCCTCGCCCGAGGAAGATGACCGGACGAGCGTTCCCCAAGTGGCCAGGCTAAGAGAACCCGAAAAGAGAGGTATAATTAAAGACAGAGATAGAAGAAAAAGGGGAGAGAGGGAGGGGAAGGGAGAGGAAGGAAGAAAGGCGGCGGGGAATCAATGTTGTTATCGCTTCATGTAGGCTCTGGTTATCCTTCCCATTTATACATTTATAGGAGGAAGGCCATGCCACCGAGGACGGCCGGAACAAGGCTGGATAATAACCTGAAGGCGGAGGTCGTGTCAAGATGTCCTGTCGCGGCGGAAGTCCGGACACCTTCGCTGTTGAGGACAACCTGCGGCTTGGTAGTGATGGTGTACAAGTCGCCGAAGCCAAGTTCGGTAGTATTAAAACAAATAGAATTGTTGAGAGGAGGCAGGCGCTCGTCGTCGGGATTTACGAATATGATATCAGAGCACTATATTCAGTGTTAGTCCTTGTTCCCCATCTTGAAGATGGCGCCCGGGCGAGAGAAAGCGTCAATGGGGATGTGGTTGCTTACCGCGAAGAGAGAAGCACCGTGGCCCGCGAGTTCGACGATTTGAATGGTGGCCTTATCGCCAACTTTGACGCCCAAGCTGCTGGGGACTTCGACGTTGGGGATGCAGAGGGTCCCGGGGTAAGGGCCGTTCGAGGGACCCAAAAGCTGCCACGGCTTGACGAGAGGGTGGTGAAGTTCATGGGTCCGCCATCCGGGCCGTCGGAGTCGATCCCGATGTTGATGTAGAGAAGAGCAGTGGCGTGTCCGGAGAACCAGCCGGGCTGGAAGGCAACCGCACCGCCATTCACCGGCCAGTACGTCCTGTTCCTTGAAAGACCTAGGCCGCCACCTATACGAGGAAAAACAACGATGAGCAAGGACACAATAAGCTTGGGTAAAGCGAAAATCAACTTACATGGATGAGTCCACTGCATGCCATAGGGAAAGGTATCGTTCGTTATGAAACTGTTGCCCCGGGTGCCAGGGTAAGTGATGAGGATATGGCCGGAGACGAGCGAGGCCGCGAGGACCAGCTGTACAAGGACGTTGTTGAACATGATTTCTTTAGGCGCTGCCGGCACGAGCTATGCCTGTTGGCGTTGAGATTCCGATGAAGAAGAGACGGTACGATCGAGTCCAGGCAGGTCCAGGAATTTGGGTGAATATAGCGTGGATATAGTTGTGACTAGAGTCGTGAGCGGGAGTGAGGATTCGCGCCGATGGCCGAGATCGAAGTGAATTGGTATGAGGGGCCTTTCGAAAGCGAAACGACAGCCAGGTCGAGCAAAGAAGTTCAAGCAGCAGTCCAGCAGCAGAGCAATCTTGGAAGAAACGAGGCAGCAGACACACACAAAACTCTTTGGTGAAGAGAGTCAACGTAATCAAGGACCGGGACGAAGTGCTTTGAGAAAAGAATAATACGAAATGGGGTTTTCTTTAAAAGTCGGGTTAGATGGGAGAGGGGAAGTGTTATAGGCGGAAAGCATTCAAGGATCAATTTGCGGTACCCCGTACACCCGTCAGCGGAGATGGCAGCCAATAGAGAAGCGGCATAAGCAGAGGAAGACTGAACTGGGAGTACAAGGAGGAAGAATGCACTTGGACAAAGTATCGAGAAGGAGAGCCGAGGCGGCCGCGCAATTCAGGGTGTGGCAAGGGTCACCAAGCGAGTCATGGGCTGACGAGAGACCGAGAGAGCAAGAGAGGGGGAAGAGACTTTGTGTTCCTCGACCTACTGCCAAGAGTCCGTCCACGAACAAGTGTGTGGTTGTCTTCTCAGAAGACTTTCAAGGCTTCCCGCCGCAAAAAAAAAAAAAACGGCATAGGACACAGGACTTGAGGTAGCAGTACGTGCGGCGGGTCCATTGATCGGAGGGGGGACGCAATGGATCGATGGAGTCCGGACTCGTGCCAGTGCTACCCCGTCGAGTCGACGAGGCAAAGTTGCGGGCTGGCTGGCTGGCTGGCTGGCTCTCCAAGATACTTCGTACAAGGGACAGGGCATTTCCACCTGCTTATCCGAGCAATGGTAGAGGGATCTTTTCTCCCCGAGACTTGGCGGCGACTACAAAGGAAGAATGGATGCTGAGGCGCGAGGCGAGTAGCCCAGTCCAGACCGACGGCCCAAACCCTGCACTTTGTCGACTTGGGGAGTTTTTGGGGGAGAGCCAAACAACATGGAACGATGGGAAGGGCGCGACCGGACGGCAACGGCGCCGGGAGGGGACCCACGCTTGCGCAAATTCTAGCAAGGAGGTTGGTCGGTTCGTGCTGGAGTGTGGATCTCCGATCTGAGCGCCTTCTGCACAGGCGGCTGGGCCAGAGCCAGTCAAGGTGGTATTCTGGCACCAAGGAGATGCACGAGTGCGGGACCGTTGGAAGCCAAGAGGCGAGATATATTAAGAAACAGCCCAAGCAGAGCGATTAAGCGCCCAGGTGTCCAACGTGTCAGCCAATCACGGTAGGCTCAGGCCTCGGCAAAATCCTCATGGCGATGTGGTACAGACTCTTCATAATTTCTTTTGTTCACCTTTGAAACCATCTATTGCGATTGCGGTATTTGCTCCCGTTGCGGGTTTCCGGGGTCTGGGATGGGGGAGGCAAGCAGGGAATGGCTCGGCGAGGAGTTCGAGGGTCGCCCTTGATTCTTCCGAATCGATGCCTCCCCCCAGACCCCTCTTGGAAGCGCTGTCTTGGGCGGCTATCTGTCTCGGAGGGTGGCCGGCACAACGGTCAAGTTGGAGTCCTCGGACCCTGATTTGGTATTACACCAAGATCAAAGGAGAAGTGCATCATCTCCTGACTCTTTTGGGAGTCGTAAACTTCATGACGAATTCTTTGGGGAAAAGAAGGTACGAGAGGGAGAGTGCCGGCATCAATTACTTTGTGCACATCAAGATTAGCGGAAGGGGGAAGTTGGACGTACACTCGTGTAGAGCATCGCATCACGAATCTAGACCCAGCCGCCAAAGAGCTGCCTCCCGAATCCAAGAGCTGGCTCGCTAGCGGGAGACCCATGCATCCGAAATATCCGTGTGTGGCGTTCAGCGTGGCTTCCGACGACACCGTCTCGAATGGGCCGGGTGAGGATGTGATGACCTGCATCGAAGTCTGTGGAAGCACGCGTCTCTCCTTCCCGCCGGCCCTGGCTGGCCAACGCAACATTGAAAGGAGTGCTCCGTGGTGAGCACGGATGCCCAGCGCTACTTTTGCTAACATTAGAATCCTCATAATGAGCGCTGCACTTGACCAGCCCTCCCCTGCTCTGGCGCGCGCCTCCCGCCCGTCAAAAATGACCACCTCTGCAATCCCGTATCCGAGTTGATGGCTTGTTCAAGTTTTTATTTTTTTATTTTTTTCTCTCCCTTCTCAAGTCGATTCCTTTCACTCCATGTATGTTTGAATGGGGGTGGAATCATGAGCCTTGCAAGGACGAGCAGATGATCATTTGTCCAAGACATTTTTGTCATGCCTCCCCGAGTTGATAGGGGGTCCCCTCCTCCCTCCATCGCTGCGAACATGAAGTAGTCAACTTTTGTAGTACATGTACGAAATGATGCGTTCAATCCGGTGATGTGTAATAATCACTTCTCTCTGATATCGCAGCAATATCTCATCGCACATCTTCATGCTTCAAGGAGAGGATTCTACAGAGCAGTAAAAATGTCGAACTCAGATATAAGAGCGGCTAGTCCAACGTCAACGAACTTGGGCTTAGACTATTACCCTTTTTAAATGTTCCCTTTAATTCCTTTTAGGCTTCCTGTCCTCTTTCCTGTTTATACCTCCGCTTTCTCGAAAGACGGGTCTCGTGGTATGTTTTGTGGCTTACATTGAAAATACGTCGCGCACGTTAAGTCACCAGGACAAACTTGAACAAAATGATCATTGTTGGACCAGGAGATGATTGATTTTGTCAAGTTCCGAGATGACCACGCCCAAATTTGGCTCGGGATAATTTATATTTATATATACCATGGTCTTTCCGCATGCATCGAACTTGAAGGCATTCTTGACGGTCTTTCATTGCTATCTCGAGCCTACATCGATTGTAAGAGCCACGCGGACAACGAAAGTCAATATCGATACCAACTAGCCTAGTTGAACCCCAGTAGGTAAGCGGCGAAATCGCTAGTTGCTTACAACCTATCTAGGGTTGACGATCAGGAAGAAGTCCGCTACGATATTGAGCTTACGATACGGGCGGGACCCTTTGGCCACCGTCCACTGCAAGTTCATCGCCGGCTAGCACGTGTGCTTATTAGCTCGCACCGTTGACCTGAGGCGGACCGTTCGCTATTGATTGCCACATCAGCATCAGATACAAAGAAGGTTACCTTCTTGATCCCGTCATAATGTGCTTTGACGACCCCGACACCAAGTACTATTACCGGCACGAGATCATTCCCGCTCGAAAGTCGAAACGCCGACATCATCACCATCACCACCACCACAGTCACCACAGTCACCATGGTCACCATGGCCATTATCACCATCACCATCATCACCAGCCAAGCCACGAGTCGTCGAGCAAGAGCAGTGATTCAGGGTCCAAGTCCTCATATGTAGGGGTCCTCGCGCCAGTTTGCCGGTAGTAGTTTATCATCGGAAATTTAGGAAAGATGACGCTGGGTCTTGAAATGCAAGACAAAAATAATGGATAAATACTCAGAGACTACCTCGGTAGATCTAGATCTTGTCTTTATTGCGCCTCCAATGTTTCTTGACAGATCCCTTCCCGTGCTAGGATGCGCCCCGAGACCCCACCTCTATTATTTCAAACTATCGGGGACTTTACATCAGTGGAGTAGCTCCCATTACATCCATTGTATGGAATGGATCTATCCATCCATGTATTGGTGCTCTCGATGCATTAAGGGTAGGGTGATGCTGGCTTGTAGGGGCATGGAAGACAACACTCCAGAAATCCTCACATCAACTTGGCCGTCACCTCGGGATTCGAAGCATCTTCAATTCAAACCCGGGGAGAGCATTACCTCTTAATCACTACTTTCACCGTACTTTTTTTTCTTCTTCTTCCTTTTCCTTTTTCCTTCCCCGTTTGAATTTTTAAGCTCTTGGAGGACATCACCATCATGTCACCTTGCACCACCCAATCGCCCATTACGTGGTGAGCTGTCAAGACAATGACATCATTAGCGGGACCCAAGTGCGCCAGCACCAACACACAAGACAAAGCGCTGCGTATGCCGTGTCAGTTTTTATCATTCCGTTTTCCCACCAGGCTTTGGGATTGAGGTCAACCTCTCCAACCATAAAAATTGATCCAAATAGAGAGAGTGAGAGAGATGCCTTTTATCCCACTTCGGACTAGCGAGCAGCTCAAAGGGCGATAGCTGTTGCCCTCTTGGGCTGGTGGACTTGGTTTGGCCATGTTGAGGCTCCGCCGACGCCCCGACGCACCCGACTAGGGCAGCCACACACCAGTTACATACCAGCTCCAGTGTGTCCATCATGATGTCTACGTTGACCTCATCGCCGGCTTGAAAGGGGGAGGGGGCGGGGGCGTATAGTTAGGACCAAGTTAGTTGGAGACACGCAGAAGTCTCACTCACTCCCCACCTTCTCTTGAATATAATCACCTGTGCTTTCCTCTGTTCCTCGTAGATGTCCCTCCCCTTCGCCTTCCCCTTCCCCTCCATCAGTGTAATCCTTGCTCCACACCAAAAACGACCCATCGCACCTGCTATCCACGATTAGGCTGCGAAGACAATAACACTGTCCCATAACGAAACACCCTTTTACCAACAGTCGTAACGATGTAAGTAACTACCTCTATCCGCCTCGATTCCATGCCCACGCCCACTCCTCCTTTTACCGCTATGTTGAGGGAAGTCTCTATATCAGTGCCCTCTCGCGTCATTCCCAGCCCCCAAGCTTATCATCACTTTAACAAGACTTGAGCTTCTTTACGAGGTAGCCGCTTCACTTGCTGACAGTCCTCTCCACAGGAATAGATCACTCTCCATCCGCTCAAACAAGAGCAACGGGGCCACGAGCTCCTCCCGGAACGGCGCCAGCCGCAAAGGTTTCTCCTTCAGCTCCCTGCGAGGCTCCGTCCAGCCCGAGCTGGCCCGTCGCCTTTTCCGCCTCATAAAATCGCAAAACAATCTCATCACGGCGCACGACACCGCGGGTCGCGAGCGTACTTCGATTGCTACTCAGCTGAGCGAATGGGGGAACAAACCTACGACGATGGCATCTCGGATATCTCGGACAAGGTGGGCGTGATCCTGAGTGAGCTTGGCGAGCAGGAGGAATCCTACGCCCACGGGCTCGACGAGGCGAGAAACGCGCTCAAGTCCATCCGCAACACGGAGAAGAGCGTGCAACCCTCGAGGGACAGCAAGTCCAAGATTGCAGACGAGATTCAGAAATTGAAGTTCAAGGAGCCCCAGAGCCCCAGATTGGTTGTTCTTGAGCAAGAGCTTGTTCGGGCGGAGGCCGAAAACCTTGTCGCCGAGGCGCAGCTTAGCAACGTGGTAAGTACAAAGATTGGACGGGCTCCCCGGTTTCCTTCCCCAACCCGCGGGGATCCTTGCCGTGCCGCGATCGGGCGCTGACTAGCCTGATCCAAACGTAGACTCGCCAAAAGCTCAAGGAAGCCTACAATGCCGAGTTCCTCGCGACCATCGAGCGCGCTGAGAAGCAACTCATCCTGGCTAAGCACGGCCGCCGCCTGTTAGCCCTCCTTGATGACGCGCCCATGGTGCCTGGCGACCGACGCCCTGTTTACCCGCACGGCGCGCAAGCACGCCAGATCCTTAACGATGCTGAAGACGACTTGAGGGACTGGAGGCCGGAGGCTGATGCCTACGGTACACCTGAAAGCAGAAGCCCCACCAATAGCTTCAGGGGAAGAATCTCGCAATTGATGAAGCAGATGAGATTGATATTGCCCCAGTAAACGGCAATGCAGGCGAGCACACGATGACAACCGCCGTGGGTGCATCGGATGCGTATCGCGATGATGAGTCTGCACGTGGCATTTAGCTACGCCTGGCCAGTATTGAGCCTGCGGCGCATAGTTCTATAAGCGTCAGTCGGTGGAGGACATAAAGTGTTCATTGAGAGTCTGCCACTAAGACTACATCCACCGCATGCAGGCTATGGAGGATGGCAGCCTTGGGCTTTAGGTGGAAGGTTGGGAGCCTGGCGATTGTTCCATGTATTGACCCCGTTTAATTGTAGTGTTTACTTTATATACGTGTACTCCTTCCTATCAAGGTCAGAACAATTAATAGCATCACATTCACGTGGTTCATGGTTCTGAGGAAAATGATATTATTTCCGTTGAATTTATTGATATATTATAATGGTTGCGAAACGAGCTTGCTGCTATCTAAGAATTTCATTCAAAAACAAAACCCACTAGAAAACTGGATAGGTCTGAATAGGGAGTTTTTATAGACTTTTTCGTTTTCATGTTTCTTTCTTTTTCGGGGTTTTTCTTTTTTCTTTTGTGAGAGTTGCTTCATCAACATGACGAAGACTATCAGTGATCGCCACGTCTATTCGATGTCGACCTTGCGGACCTCAGTCCACTCCTTCTCGGACTTGGGGACGACGATGATAAGGATGCCGTCCTCTACCTTGGCGGTGATGCCTAGGCCGTCAACGTCATCGTTGGATTCACAGCCATGCGGTGGTAGAGTGATGAACCTCTCAAAGTAGCCGACGCGTCTCTCCGAGGTGACGAGACCACGTTGGAACTCTTCGTCGCCGGGGCGGTGGACGATGCCGGTGATTTCGAGACGGCTCTTGTCAGAGTTCCAGTTGACGTTGATGTCCTCCTTCTTCACGCCGGGAAGGGCGAGGTGTAGGACGAACCCGGACTCGTTCTCGAAGATGTCGAGGGGAGGGGTGAAGTTGGAGTCTGAGCCCTCGCCGGACTCGCGGTCGGCTTGGCGGGGGCCGCGACCAGCGGCATCGAGCCACTCTCGGAGGTTATGGGCCCAAGGGTGGTGGGCAAACTGCTGGAACATGGTGGAGGGTCGAAGCCGCCAGGGAAGGGAGGGGAGTGGGTCCGTGGTGATGGGGGCCGCGGTGGGGGCCATGGTCGGGGAACGGGCCGTGGCGGCCTCCGCGGGCGTGACGATGACCACCTCGATGATGGGGGTGATGGGGGTGGTGGTGACGGCCGCGTGGACCACCGTAGGGAGGGCTCTCGGGCTCGCCATCCTCCGGGGAACCTCGGGAGGGTCATCCTTCATGGTGTCGTCCCCCTCCTCCTCGGGATCGCTCGCGCGCGGGTATCCTGCTGGGGATCGCGGGCGGGCGTGTCGTCGTCGTCGCCAGGAGGAGTGCCGGGTTGGCGGCCGGGACCACTACCTCCTCGTCGGTGAGGCCCGCCGCGGTGCCGGCAGCCTCGGCCGCCGCGACCACCCCAGGGACCGCGCGGGCCAAAGGGAAACCGGCGGGGAACTGCGGGGGCGAAGGGTTGTGACCTAGGTGGTCGATTCCTTCGCCCGGTGCTCCGCCGGGTACCATGAAGCGGAGGAACTCTGCAAAGGCAGGCGGGGAGGCGGGAGGTACGAAGGGTGCTCGTTGCTGGCGCCGTTGGGGTTGGGGAAGGCTCCGGGAATGTGAGCTTGCCACGCCATGGTTTCCGTTGTGTTTAAGAGACCAAGAGAAGCGGGATGGATACTTTTTAACAAAGGCTCTGTATTCCGTCTATAGCAAGGTAGAGGAGAATTATATACACAATGGATAGCACCAGACAGGCTGGAGATGGTCGTGATATAATAGGGATTGATATAGAGGCGTGTGGAGAGTGGATTGAGGAAGTGCTCCGTGGAAGAGGGGATGAGAGTGTGCTGAGAGATAGAGGCAAAGGAGGAGGAACCTTGAGTTTACAGACTGCTTCTTTTATATCAAGCTCGGGCAGGCAAATCCCGGGGCCTCGTCATCGGAGATATGGACATAGTAGAAGTTGCCACCCGAAAAGAGCGAGGTGCTCTTTGGTCTACGTACACCCACCCACGGCCACGGGACAGGCAAACAAGTCGCACTACTAGCGACTAGACGGCACTAAAAGAAGGGGGAGGAGCAAAACGCATTGCCCAAACATTGAAGCCTACGAAGTTGAACGCAAAACAAATGGCGGCGGAAGTTCTGGTGGCCTGTTCGCCGGATTTGGGTGGCGCCGCGCGTCCCCTCGACGCGGGCATACAACCTTCAGTGAAGGTGGTGTTGCAGCTGCGTGAAGGGTATAGAGTTGTGTGGTTGTCTGCCTGATTTGAATTGGAAAAGTGGGTGGTGAGGAAAGAAAATCCTCCGCACTTGGGAATGAAGTGATTTCTAGAAGGTACGGGAAAGGTCGCGAGAGTTTCGGTCGCGCAAGGGACCGAAGCCTCTAGGCTAGGGGGAAAAGGTTGGAGTAACCGGGCAAATCTGCGCAATTGATGACCGTGTCGGGTTCGGGGACGAAAGTCTTCCCGGAACACTGTTAGTGGAGAAGGCGAAAGAAGGCCGTCGTCAAGCGTGGAAGCCCGGTTGCCTCCCCGGAGTTAGGTGAATTACGTTAGCAACAAGTACATCGAAATCACCGCTTGAGAGTTCGTAGAGATGAAGTCTAACTTGATGGCCTTGAGCGGCGATTTCGAAGCAGCTTTGAAGAAAGTTCCCTCTCCACTCCATTGTTTGTTTGTCGGGCTCGTTCTCGGCGAAGGGTTGATTCCGCCGTCAACACCAGCAGCAACAGCAAGGAAATGCTGCACCGCAACGAACTCTACCAAAAAAACAAGACAGTGCAGACAGGTTCACAGGGACTTGGCGTGTGCCTTGCATGAGACAGGCTTGACAGGGCGTGGCCAGGCCGGGCCACACCTGGGGCCATCTGTTCCTCAACAGGTCCAGTCTGCTGGGCCCATGGAGATCGGCCATGGAGACCAGCCATGGAGATCAATTTGACGACATCGGACAGGTTTTGTCTCAAATGAGGCAGCGACGAGATGCTGCATGCACTTTATCATTATCAAGCGCCGTTGAGCGCAAGAAAGAAAATTTGATGGGTTAGGTGAGTAAATACACGGAGATGGCTGATTTCGAACGTCCCTTGCCCCAAGAGATTTGGAACATCCTCTCAGGTTTCGGTTTCGCGTCGCGTTGCCTTGCCTGAGATCTTAATGGCAAGTATTCTCGAGCGGCGGCTGGGTCCCCTTTGATCGAGGCATAGAATGCACAAAGAGGGCGCATGAACTTCGCATTTCTTGGACAAGACAAGATTTGGCGCGAGCGTTCGGGAAGCTCTCCCGCCAGCTGTCTCTACTCTTGAGGTTTGGTGGCGGAACATTGTCCGGTGCTTGATGGCCCCGAGGTGCCGGATCCATCAATGATATGCGCTTCAAACTCAGATGATTACGCAACTGAGCAGACCAAAATGCGAGACCAGACTGGTGAGTCAAGGGGACTGGAGATGAACAAAAGTCTTGGCTTTGATGTTTGAAGAGCGCCGGGCGCTTCGGGGCTCCATCCCATCACGCCCATTTGCTGAGCCTCTGAACCTCTAAGCGCCCAGTTGAACGAACCAATCAACGAGCTAGCACTAGTACAGGCCTCCCGAAATTATTCGATATTCAAGCTCGCCCATTGACCAGAACGGACGTGCACTGGCCCAACTCCAACGCGCCGCCACTAAAACGAAGCAATCTAACCCCTGGGCAGCCTGGTCCTTGAATGGGAGCAGAGGATCAATGGTGAATGATCAATGATGGAAGGGATGGGGATTTTGGCCATCGTTGGCCGCTGCTGATGCCCCTCCCCCTCCCCCTCCCCTCTTGGCCCCCTACCTCTGCGCGCATCAACTCCCATTTGACCCCAATCCTGGAGCATTGTCGCCAACGTCTCCACCGTCTCCGCCCCTCCCACTCCCCCTGCCCTGTCACCCGTCGGTTCCACCTTGTGATGCGCTGCTGCAGCGGCCAACGGTAGTGGGCGGCTGGTTTGGTTTCTCGATGCGCGGCCCAGCCAGCTGCTGCAGGTGAACCGAGAACGTGAAGGGTCTTTACGGAACCAAAAACTATTGCCTCGTCCTTCTCCTTCTCCTTTTCTTTCTTTTCAAGCAGGCTTCAGAGAAGCATTCTTCCTCCTCCCCTTCGATTGCTCGTCTTCTTCTTCTTCCTCTTCTTCTTCAAGCCGGCTTCGCCATATCTCTTATTGGACATCAGCGAACACTCCGAGTAGCCTTACCATCAACGCATTTTCGGGTTGCCTCCTTCGCGCGCCGTTCCTTGTTGTTCATTTAGCCCCCTTGCTCATCCCTCAGAGCTACCCTACCCAGAGCTCTTTTCTTTCGGGGGCCCATTCTGCGACCTAACCGTGGACAGGCCACATCGGCCAGTCGCCACCCCACCCCGCGCCCCTCATTCCCTAAGCTGTGCCATCGTGCATTTGGTTCAGCACCGAGCGCACACGCAACACGCACACATACACGCACACACACTCACACACGCACACACACACACACCCGCCTCTGTAGCTTCATTCTTCCGAAACGCCCCTCCAAAAAAAAATTAATCCCCGGCCTGGCTGTCGCGAACCATCATTCACGTCGACCAAATCTTCCAAGTGTGTGGTTAGCTTTTCTCGTGCGCCTCTAGCTCTCGAGCTTAAGGTCTTGCCTTTGGAGATCGCCCCTCTCCACTCCATCTTTACGCGACAATCGCAGCGTCAGCCTCTCCTCTTTTTCCCCATGGAGCGTAGTCGAGGCATATCGGATGAGGAGCTGTTCCTCAGCAAGCCCTCGAGGACCGAAGATGGCGATAGCCCGACAGTCGGCCCTCTGCGCATCTTTAAGCCTCAGAGTCCCAAACCTTCCGGTCTCTTTAAATATCCTCCTCCTCCCGGAGCCAGCTCAGCTTCGGGGACGCCATCCTCGTCCTCCAAGCCAGCTTTCCTCCCGCCTGGCGCTCTGAGCTCCGCAAACCTACTCCCCTTCCTTATCCTGACGACGAAGAAGAGGAAGACGCCAAGAATCGGCGGAACAAGAAGCCCGCGAAGCCCTCCATCACGCCTTACCCCTCAAGCTCCGCCTACAATGACATCTCCCCTCGTCTTACCAGCCCTTCGGAAAACAAGGGGCCTGGCCTGGCCGAGAGACGTGGCACTGCGCCTAAACCCCTTCCCACGAGCCCCGTCGACGATGATCAATCTGGTCTCTTTGCGAAGCCCATTGGCGGCGCCGCCCCAGCTAATTACCCTGCCTTCAACAAAAAGCAGTACTACCCCCTCCTGGCGGTCCGTCCAACAATGCCGCTTCCCAGCAACTACCCGAGTCGCTCCGCATCCCCACCGAGAATTCCATGAACCGTTTTGCCTCCACTGCCAGTACTTCGACTACCCGGGCCAGTAGGGGATCTCCGCCACCTCCAGAGACTCCGATCGTGGGGCCGGGCGCCCTGCCCAGCAGCGATATCGAAGCCCGCTACGCTGCGAGTGGCATCTCGGGGACCGCTACTCTCACGAGCCTCCAAGCCCAGAGCGCCGCGGCCGCCCAGCGACTCGCACAGTACGGAAACCACCGCGTGCCTCAGCGCCCCTGGACCCCGACCGAGTCTCCCGACCAACAACCCCACGGCCCCCGACGGTTTACCAAGGCTCCGCGCCCGTCGCGCCTTCGCCTCCCAAAACGCCGCCGCGCGACCTCAGAAGCCAGTGGATGCCGAGGGGAACCTCCAAGTGAGTGTGCTTGAGCAGGACTTCCAGCGAGTCGGCACCAAGACCCCTCCCCGCGTACTCGAGCGTCAACCCGGGAGGCTCGTCCTCGTACCCCAAGGAGAAACAAGGAGCGGCCGCCGTGACTGCTGCCGCTACCCCAAATGCCCCGAATAATAATGCCGCCCACCGCCCGGCGCAAACCCCCATAGCCGCTCCTGTTGCTGTTTCCGCAGCGTCTATCGCACCTCAACCTAATGCCGCCACCGCCTCCGCCTCCGTAGCCCCCACATTACCGGACACCCTGCCTTTGCGAACGAGCCGCGAGCCGACCCTGCAGCGCACCTAATAACCAACAAAACTTTTCCGCTGCCGCTGCCACTGCCGCTGCCACTGCCGCCGCTGGGATGACGAGCGCAGCTGCGGTACCTAGCGGCGCGGCAGGCCCGGCGTCGCCTCCGCCTCTTCCAGAAGGATGGATCGCCCATCTCGACCAGACTTCTGGGCAGTACTACTACATCCACCTCGCGACCCAAGCTACCCAGTGGGAGTTCCCCAAGGGCCCGAACCCTATCACCCACGAAGTCGCTCCCTTGTCTCCTGCGGCGTCAACCTACGGCAACCCTCTAGCGTCGCCCTTATATGGGGGCAAAGCCGGTCTCGCGTCGCCCATGTTTTCGGGCAAGGCCGGCATGGCGTCGCCCATGTTCCCCGCACACTCCCGGCTATGCCGAAAGCATCATGAGCGTCGCCAACTCAACGGCCACAACCGCAGGGTTTACCGGGCCGCCCCCTCTGCTGGCGTCGACATGTACAAGATCGCACCCACAAACGGCGTTTACTTTGGCCCGTATCTCCGCTACTCCAACATGAACATTGAAAAGGGCGTGTGGTTCGGCAGCATCATGATTGTGTCGGACACTCCCCAACCGCCAACCATCCACCTCCACCTCAGCGTTGACCTCTCCCCCAACCCTCGTCAGCTCACGCCCCAAGTCATCTTTACCCATCAGCGGTGGAACTTTTACAAGTACAATATCGAGCTGCCCATGGGCGAGCACGGCACCGAACGGTGGACGTATGCCGTTACCTCGCACCTTGGTTGCTCGAGATATGAGTTTGTCGTCGCCGGGCGCAACGAGCTTGGCTGGCGATTCATCGCCCACTCCGGGAATGACTTTGCGACGTCGACGTCTCAAAACGAGCGCTCCAAGCTCGGCGGTGTCAGCTTCATGTGGAAGGACGTGTTGCAGAAGAATGTCGACTGTGGCGGTTTCCACGTGCAGTTGGGTCTCGGTGCGCAAATCTACGGCGATCGGCTTTGGAAAGAGGTTCCGATTCTGAGGCAGTGGCTCGCCATGCGCGGCAAGGATACCCGCAAGGGAGCGCAGTGGACGGCAAGACACGAGGAAGATGTGTCGCATGCTTACTTCCACTACTACACGAGCCACTTTGACCAGCCGTTCCTGAGAGAGGCGTTTGCCCAAATCCCCCATATCCTTCAAATTGACGATCATGACATGTAAGTTGAGGCCTCGCTAAGGGACAAGGAAAATCCCCTTCATACCTGAAGCTGTTCCCTTTTCCATAAAAAAATGTTTTTTTCCAAACTTGGACCTCGTTGGCTAACCGAAAATTCAACGCGCTCTAGATTTGACGGCTACGGAAGCTACCCCGAGTACATGCAGACTTCGCCCATGTTCAAGAACATCGGCCGCCTAGCGCTCGAAATGTACCTCCTCTTCCAACACCACACGACGGCGGAGATGCTCCGAAACTCGAGCAGCGACTCGGATCTTTTCACAATTACGGGCCAGGGTTGGCACTTTGTCAAGTACCTGGGTCCGGCCGTGGCCGTGGTCGGGCCGGACTGCAGGTCGGAGAGGGATCAGAACCATGTGATGGCCGGCCCAACATACCAGGGTATCTTCCGCGGGTAGCGCAACTGCCGCCCAGCGTGCAGCACTGCATCTGGATGGCGTCCCTGCCGCTAGTGTTCCCACGCCTAGAGGCGGTAGAGAGCCTGGCAGGAGCCATGGCGACGGGCAAGAAGGCCGTCAACACAAGCTACAATATCCTGGGCAAGGTAACGAGCTCGGTGGCGGGAGTGGTGGGCGGCAAGGAGGCAGTGCAGCAAGGCTTCTCGCACGTCAAGAAGGCGGTGGGCAAATCCGGCCTCATGGGCAACGTACTGAACCAGTTTGGCGATCTCGATCTTGCCGAGGTGCTCAAGGACCTGTGGACGCACTCGAGCAAGGACCTCGAGCGAACCTACTTCATCCGCACGCTGCAGAGCATCTCGCAGGAAAAGGGCGTACGCATGACGTTCCTCTCGGGCGGCGTCAACTGCTGCGGCGCGGGCCTGGTGCACGATCCGTCGCACCCGTCCGACTCCAAGACTATGTACCAGCTCATCACGTCGCCCATCGTCGCGGCGCCCCAGCACAGCTACATACTCAAGTTCCTCCACAACAACAAGCTCCTCTACGTGCCGCAAAACGGGCAGCGGTCCACGCACGAGGTGTCGGATACCAAGGAGGACATGATGGAGATTTTCCACACCGACGCCAGCGGCGCGCCCCGCGAGCTCAAGAAGCTCATGGGTAGGCGCAACTACGCCTGCGTTATGGCCTACGACCCGGACGCCGCCGGAGCGGCCTTGGCCGGGCAGCACATCCCCGGGCAGCCTTTACTCCCGGACCAGCACGGTCTCTCGAAGCTGAGCTTAGCCGTCGACTTTGTCGTGCAGGGAGATGGTGCGTTCCAGGCCACGACGAAATACGGACCCGTTATTGTCCCCGGCCTGTAAACTCGAGTTCTCCCAGCTGGCGTATCCCGGAGGGTTTCTGTCTCTTTCCTTATACTCTTTTTTTTCCGTTGTAGTTGTTCCCACTTGGTCTTCATCCTCTTTTTATTTCCTCTTGCCTCTATCTTTCCTTTTCCGTCTGTAATGCTGCTACGGGCTCTTGATGATGATAGCAAGTTGATATTATTTTCTTCCCCATTCCCCCTATTGCCTTTTCTCCTTTTTGTTTCTATTCCTCCCTCTTGCCAACGTTGATCTTTGTCTACATGTAGCTAGCGATCTAGGGTACCCTCTGTTTTCTTCCTCATATTCAATTCTACATATATTGAAATCGTGTCCCTCTTTGCTTCTGCCTCTTGTTTCTCCGTGTCATGGAGGTAATGAATGCCCTGGCATTCCCACCACAAGTGAATCTTAGCGACTAGCATACTGCAGGCCATCTCTGGTGCGAACACTGGCGCAAATACATTCGCCAAACCATAGATATTACACGATTAGACTTGGTATCTCGGCACAGATAGAGACAAGAACGATCCCTCAGAGGTGCTTTTCTTTTTGGCATTATCATGAGAACAAAGAGTTAGGCCTCTATCATTAATATCATTTCAAAAATCGCTGTATGATCTCACAGCTTTCATGGCCCCGCCCCGCCCCTTCGCCTGCCATGGCTTCCCTTCCTATCCCATCTATATAGAGTTCTTATCTCCAGCCTAGGAGTTCTAGCTCGTATTCACTCGACGATCCCGCTCACCCCACATTTTCATTCTTTTATTAGGTTTCGTTTCGAGTCAAGGGACTTTACAAGTCGAAAAGCTCCTTGAGAATCTTGGTGGTGACATCAGGGCCGGTGACGGAGTGGCCAATGGTGCGGGGATCCTCGTAGAGCTCGTAGTCATTGCCGCCCTTGGAAGTCTTGTCGCCAAAGAAGTGGATGGTCTTGTAAGTGATTCCACCGGGAGCGGAAGCCTCCTTCTCGAGGTGGCGAAGGCAGTAGGTCTTGTCCCAGCCCTCGGGGAAGACGTCGAAAGAGATCTGGCCACCAATGGCGTAGCTGTAGAGGGGAGGGCGCACAGGGTTAGTAAAAGACGCGACGATTCAAGTGGAGGGTGGAGAAGACAGATGGAGTGGGATGGGGTAGAAAATAGAAGGCATAGGAAAGAAGGGAGAATTCTCAAGGCAAGGAAAGAAATCAATCCATGAGGGCGAAAACATACTTGAGACCAAGGTCGGGGAATTGGGCGCGGAGAACCTCGATAAACTTGGGGCGGATATTGTGAGACTTGTCGTAGGCCTCGAAATCGTTCCTCTCCTGGACGCTGGCGTTCCTGCCGACGGGGAGATGTTGATCATGCCGTTCCTAAACTCTATAAAGGTTCCGCGCTTGACGGGGATGTCGAGATCGGCAATGTAGTGAAGGCAGAAGTTGGCAAACTTCTTGTAGGGCTCCTCGCCAATCGACTTGATGAAGCTGTTGGAGGGGAGGTCCTTGCCGAGACGGATGGCGGTCAAGCCGTTCTCGGCGAAGCACCAGTCGAAGAGGTCGGTGACCTTGACGGTGGAGGAGCCGAGCTGCTCCTGCTGCTTGGCAAGGTTGGAGCCGCCGACGAAGCCAATGGAGCACTTTTGACGGAGGCGGGCGAGCAAGTCGAGCATCTCGGGGGTGACATCCTACATTGGCGAGGTAAAGAGACTGTGGTTAGCAGGCAGAACCGCACAAATGCGTGAACAGGTCTAAAAGTAATCCCCCCTTCATCTTTAGCGCGCTGCCCATTTCTTTGGCTTGACAATGGCCATGCCCCTTTTCAGCTTCGCGCGAGCCAAAGGCATTTTCGACGGCAGAAGGAATTCTATCGCGTTGAACAGCTAGACTCAAAGCCCGGGTCGTAAAGCGTCGAGTTGGGCACGGGACACCCATCTCGCCCATCTTGCGCATCCCACTTGGCCAAGAGTTTTGCTGCATCGCGGTTGAGCGCGGGGTCATTGGCCATGGTGGGGTTAATTGCAGCCCAGCACCCAACCGTACAAGCTTTCCTAGCCGCGCGAACAAGATATTTTGCCCAAACCTTCTCCCTTGGGGAAAAGAAAAGAAATGAAAAAAAAGTTGCAAAGGGGGAAGCTTACCAGGCGGGCGGGGGTCAAAGTGCCATCGACATCGAAGAGGCAGATGGTGTCCTTGAGGGGACGCTGGTCAAGAGGAGTAACGGTAGCCATCTTGGAGAAAATGGGTTGAGATGTCTATAGTAACTGCGTGGAGGGAGAATCTGGCGAGAGTAAAAAGAAGGATCTTTTCCAGGAGAGGAGAAAAGAGCTTGAGGGAGGAGATGGAGAGGGGAGGGAAGACTAGTCAGGGGACTGAAGGAGAAGAGAATTTGAAAGGAATAGCACGGGCAAGAAGGAGGGATCAATTGATGGGTCGCTAGTCGCTGTGTGCCTGGGTCCCTGGGTCCCTGGGGGCGATATCGTGGACCCCTTTTTCCCCTTAAAGAGGGGCGCTATGGAAAAAGAGGCGGTCAAGGCCGAGGGGCAAGCAAGCCTCCAAGCTCAACGTCGAGCAATAGCCTCAACTGGCGTCAGTCGACGACATCAGGCTCACACACCACACACATCAATGGATTTCATTACACACGAGGAGCACAGGGTTAGTAACGGGTTACGGTTTGGGCCATGACTGGTCTCATCCCTCAACCTATGCCGTAAATAGATTCCTTTGGACAAATCGCCATACTGGGTGTCCCCGACTGTCTCGGAGCTGGTGATGTGGGATTCGGCAACCCCAGTGGATCCATGAGGTTCCGGTAGATACGAGCCTGAGGCGAGGGTGGAGGGGCAGAGGGTTGGGCTACTGTTTCGAGGTGGGGTTGCCTTGGGCTTAGGATCAATTGGATGCGCATGTGCACTCGCCCGTGAAAACCAGTGCTACCAACTCTAATGGTTTCCAGTTGAAGGATCTGGGTCAATTAGATCAGCTCAATCAGTCAATCAGTTCAACGTTGAGCCTTCCCGCGCAGGTTCTGGCGGATTGGTCCTGTCGCATCCAATATTGGGAAGGTGCATGGCAAGCTATTCCTCGACCAAGTACCAACAAGTACAAGTCGTAATACTTAGTGGAAATGATCAATTGATGAGTGTATCTATTACATAGTCTAACTTTTTCCCCTTCCACATTTGGTGTCAAGTTGCAGCCACAGGGGTCCTTTTTCTTCTTATTCTTTCTCTCCTTCCCCCTTGGACCCCTAGACCCGAGGTCACCTGTTCGAATCTTCATCGCTTCAGAGCTGTTGAGTTGTTCCGTCGACGGACACATGGAGACGGGAAAAGAACTGCGGGGCTAATGAGAACCAGCAGAGCATGCTCCTCGATGTCTCTGAGTTGAGGTGAGGGGATGAGGGGCAACAAAGGAAAAGCAATAGCAGCAGCGGAGTGTGGGGGTTGAATTGGAGGGAGGCCTGGCCAGCTCGACAATTTTCGGGTCAACCCCGGCCCCGGCGGGGAAGGACAGCTCAGAGAGGGAGGGCCGGATAGCACACGGGACGGGGGAACACGGGGCCACACGGATGCATCATTCTTTTGGCTCCAGTTCCGATTTTGGATCTTTGCTGCCTCGTTTCCAGGCAAAAGACATGCCAACCCACGGTCGCTCCCGAAGAGGCGAATCAAGCTATTATGCCTGTTCGCAGCGAGGACATCCACGACGAGAGAGAAAGGGACTTAGTGCGCATGCCGCACTGTACATTGAGAACCTGAAACTCCTTGATTGGCGATTGGATCGGAGCCATGATGATATCCACGTGGGCCGGCGAAGGCCATTCCTCTGGTTGTTCGCGGATACGCTTCAGCTCATTCGATCTGGCCGTACGGCGCATTTCCGCTTCGGTCTACTCCATGTAGCAAGTGACCTCGCCTGTGCCACGAACCGGGCGCCTGCTGAGCATCGAGGCAGAAGGAAGAGACTGAATCCATGGACGAATATCGCTCCCATACTCAAGAATTCAAAGAGAGAGAAGGAGAGAGAGTAGGAGATGAAATGAAATGAATTAACCCAATACTACAGAATTAGACGCCTTTCCCTCCCAAGCCAAGCCAAGCCAAGCCAGTATTTTACTCAGTCCTTCCTACCCATGAACCCAGACGCAATGTTCCTGCCGATATCGTTGATATCCTTCTTATCATCACCCTGGTACGCCTTGTACGCGTTCTGGGCCACTCCTCCGAGCTCCTTGTAGTCCGGGCCGTTGCCGTCCTTCTTGCCTTGGAAGTTGGTGTACGCCGTCTTAGCATCACGGCCGATACCTTGCCAGTTGCCGGTGCCGCCGCCAGCCCTCTGCTCGTTGTCGTCACGGTTGTTGCCGCTGCTGCTATTGAAGCTGCTGTTGTTGTTGTTGTTGCTGTTGTTGGTGCGGTTGTTGTCATCCCTGTTGCTACCGCTACCGCCAAACTTGTTCTCGCTCTCGTCGTCATCGCGGCGGCTGCCGAGCCTGTTGCTCTCATTCTCGCGCCGGTTATCACCGGCGAAACCGCCCTGGTTGGTGCGGTCGTTGTCGTTGTCGCGGCCATACGACGTGCGGCCCTCCTCGCGGCGCTCGTTGTTATAGCTGTCATTGTCCTGACGGCGACCCGAGCCCGAGTTGTCGGCTTGTCCGAAACCGCCGTACGACGACGAGTTGTTGTTGTCGTCGTCGTTGTCGTTGCGGCTGCTGTTGTTGACGCGGCCGCCGTAGCCGGCACCGGAGGAGGAGTTGTCGTTCAAGCGGTCGTTACCGCCGCCGAACCGGTTGCTCTCGCGGTCCTCGTTGCGGCTGTTTCCGCCATAGCTGCTGTTGTTGTTGTTGCTGCTGCTGTTCTCGTTGTCCTGGCCGTACCGGTTGCCGGTGTTGTTGGACGAGCCGTACGAGTTGTCGGAGGTGGTGTTTTGGCCGGACTGACCGTTGCCGCGGTTCTGGTTGCCGCTGGCCTTGGAGATCTCCTGGGCCGCGTTCTTGAGGAAGTCCATGGTGTGTATGGGGTATGTGTTTGTGTGTAAGGTGGGGATATGGAAAGATTCCTGGTAAAGAAACGATGATTTAAAGAAGAGGAGAGAGTAGTGTTGGGGAGGATAGGCAAGCCGGGAAGATGGTTTCTTGAATCTCTTCTTTCAAAGCGCCGTCCCTACCTTATATATTAGAGAGAAAGAGAGAGGGATCCAACATCTATGTAGATCTGTCCCATCGGCATGGCGGGGGAGGGGTAGGCAAGAAACCATGCGGGAACACCGACCCGTCCTCTCCCAGAGCTATCTCTCTCTCTCTCACCCATTGCATCACTGCCCAAGCTCGCCGTTCTCTCCAAGCTAACAAGCTAACAAGCTAACGCGCCCCCTCCCCCCTCCCTTGTCCCCACCGGCGCCGCTGTGCCGATAGCTCATGGATGATAGCTGATGGCTGGGATGCGCCAGTACATTTTCGCCCACCAACACGCACGCCCCATGCTTCCCGTCTCTCCAGGTACCTCCGGGCGGGGGTAGGAAAGGAAAGAAAGAAAAGAAAAAAGGAAAGAAGAAGACAAGATACTCGAAAGAATACTACCAAAACACACGAAAAAACGCTGGCCTGGAAAGGTCTCTACGTCTGCTCCTCTCGAGTGGAGGAAATATGTACAAGGCCCGGACCCCATTGACGCGACGACTTGGGCGGTAGCTCCGCGCCGGCGCCAAAAAGAAAAGTAGCTTCAGCTCGTCCATCGAGGCGCAGCTCCACCCCTTTTGCTCCTCTCCTGCCCCCTCCCTCTTCTCTCTCTGTCAAGCGATAATCCCGCAATATTTCGCCATGTTGCGATATTTAGAGGTGAGACATGGGAGCCGAGACCCAAGAGACAAGAAATTGAAACCAACACGAAGAAGAAAGAATGAGAATAGCGGTTTTCCCGCTACTTTAGCTACCAAGTTGAGAGCGCGGTATTGAGATCCTTAATGGTGCATGGAGAAGGAATAAATAATAAAAAAGGTTTCAGCCATCATCGTAGTCTCTCGACATTCGACGGGTTTTTCCCCGATATCCACGAGAAGGAGGCCCGCACCTCAGAACGGAGCATACCATCTGGGCGATGCGGGAGAGTCACCGAGACATCGACACATCGACACATCGAGACACGGTGTTGGAGCTAGTTTCCCCCTTCCCCGCTGGAAATCGCGGGGGCAGGGAGAAAGGCCAACTGCAAAATGCAGGTGTCTTTCCACTTCACTTTCTGCTATTTCCCTCATGAATCTCTCCCCTCGATTCATCAATTTCCTTCCTGCTACCTAATGTTATACTACACAAGCTCTGCAGCCGGACGACAAGGCTGAGCTGCATGTTCCTGATGCTCACTGATGCTCAATCCTCACCTTCATTCGTGATGTCTCGCGTCATGTTTTGCTTTTGTAGGCGGCCTCGCACATCTCGTCTTTCCCTTTCTCCCCTCCCCTCCCAACCCCACTTCTCCCGTTTAGTTCACCTCGCCCCATGTCCCATGTCTTCCTATCCGTAGCTCCTCGACACGTGGGGCCCAGGCCCATGTGCTTGCCCTCTTGCCCGCTTGCCCGCCTGCCTTCAGCTCGTCAGGCATCTTGCTCGCGCCGCGCCCCACCACCCACCGATCACTTTGGTACCACCCGAAAGTGAAAGACGAGGAAAAAAAAAAAAAAAAAAAAAAAAGGTTGTGGCAGGGACCAATGCGGTAAAGCGGAGCAACAAGGTCAAGCTTTCGGCTACAGAGAGACATACCCAATACCATCATCTCCTTGTACCACCTCGCAACCTCTTAACCTCTAGTCCGCCCTCAAGGTGTCACCGTACTAGCATAGATCTCTGTACCTGTCTAAAAAGTATCCGTCGGTGGCCAGGGCCGAGGGGGCAGAGGGAGGCTTACGCGTCTCTGGAGCGAAGCTACGCCCCGTGTAATCTCGCTCACAGCTCTAGCTACTTGCACCGATACCCAAGACCCCCTCGGAAACGCCGTTTTGTGTTCTTTCCATCCTCTTCTTTTCATCGTGAGCGGGGCCCTTGGATCCACCACTCTAGACCCTGCAGGATATGACGCCGACGATGACGATATTGATGGTGATGGGGATAGGTACGCGGAGGGATGGGGACAGGTCGGTGATGGGGACAGGTAAGCGATGGAAAGAATGGTGAACCGGCCAATTGAGGCTCCTCAGCTGGCCTAGGTACCCTTTTCTCACGCTCGGCCCATATTCATACAAGAAAACCGGCGAGTGTTATATCATGTTATTATCAAGAAAAAGGCTATTGTAATCCTTGGGCTATCATCCGATCGTCCTCTTGTTCATCAACGATCCCCCTCGCCTTAGTCCGATTCGCCCGCTAGCGCCGCGTCCGATCCTTCTCCAATGTGCCGTAGATGGGCGCACCGGCGGACCATCGAGCTCAACAAGAATGCAGCTCTTGCCTTGCCTCTTCCCACCCCCGCCACTAGTGCCTGATTCTGATTCTCTTTGCCGCACCAGGAGGGTATCTATCTCGGGGATTCTGGTAAAGATATATATGTATAAAAGAAAATGAAAAACAGGAAAAGAAAACAGAATGCGCCAAAGAACAAATCCATGAAGGGGGAGGAAAAAGGAGAAAAAGAGAAGAAAAAAACAGGAACAATCAAATGCGCACCCCTTCATGCCCGAGCTTGCTAGTTATGCTAAATACGTATACACACATATATCTATGGACATATGTGAAGCCAACATCAGACCTGCGTTAGGGTGAGGTTGGAGGGAGAGTCCTCCCTGATAACTGTCGATCGTGAAACGAAACAAGCGTGTAAGCGTGTCCGCCCGTCCCGCGTTGCCGTGAATCCCGGATCCTATCACAACGTTATATGCAACGCATATAATATATACTAAAACACCCGTTTCACGTGGAGACTTCGCTCCACACCCCCAGTATCTCAATCACGAGATTGATGCTGGTGCTCACGCACCACAGTGTGATGAGGCCCATCCCCAGCCTTTTACTAAACACCCACTGATTGAGTGCAACGAACACGAGAAGCGCAAGAAGGGTCGCCAGCAGCGTCGCCGCCGACACCACCAAGCTGCCGCTAATCTGGATCTTATAGGGCTCGTACACGATGGGTCGGTTAGGGTGCTTCTCGTGCTTGCGCCGAGCCTTGGAAGTCATGCCGATGAGACCGCCCATGCTGATGCCGAGTAAAATGTTGAGCATGGGACCACCGACGCAGCCCGAACTGAAGGGGAAGCGGGAAAAAAGTTAGCTTTCTGCCCTTGCCATCTGCCATTACGGCTACACCCACTACCATCATGAATTCCATCTTGGGCCTTTTTTGTCCTCCCATCAAGAAAAAGGGATGGAGGGAGAATATGGGGTGATAAAACGTGTCAGGAGGGGAAGGGGTATTCACTCACAATGCCATCACTGGCGCCCCCAGCTTCGCAATGGTGTAATCAGACACCCAGTCGCCCACACTATTCCCCGCCGCAAAGATGGTGAGCCCCAAAATCGCTTCGGATATCCCCCAAATCACCCCAATCGCCTTGAGCACCCCAACCACCTCGCCCGCAATCATGGCGATCCATGAGACGCTCACGAGGAACCCTGGGAAACACAAGAGGCTAAAGTACCGAGGCTTCTGGTCCGCCCTAGTGCTGAGCAAAATAGTGAGGAACAAGAGGCCGGACCCCCAAGCGACCACTTCAAGGCCCGCACCACCTCTTCGGCCGGCTGCTCCATGAGCACGTTGAAAATGATGAAGACGGAAAACGGCGGCCCCGCCAGAGCCTGGATCAGTACCTGCCACTTGTTCCAACCGGCTCCATCGTCGCTGCCCACGGGTACCCCCGCCAAGTCTTGTTCCCGTCCTTCCCTACCTCTTTCCTCTAACCCCCAAGCACCATCCCACCCGGGTTCCCTACCAGTTTGGGGCGCACGGGTCGATCCATGTCCAGCGCTACCCCTCATCCAGGGTCCTGGGTGATCGAGGAGTCACGGATCTGTAGTTGAGCGTCGGGCGCGACGTCACAGTGTTTCGTCTGTGCTCGCGAAACAGCTCCCATTCGTCTCCCACGTAATGCCACCCGGGCTCGCTCCTCCGAGTTGGCTGCGCAGTCTGACGTTTCTTCCGTCTCGGAACCACGGGGATCCACAACCGGCAACGTGATGGACAGCAAAAATACGCTTGGGACCGAGAGCACACTTATAAAGGCATCGGCAACAGTTTTCTCGCCCCAGCTCTGGAGCGTGGGGAAAAGTGTCGTCATGATATCGTGGGGATCCGGCAAAATCGACGACGGCCACCACCTATAGACGTGGGGGTGGTGTCTGGTTCGGGTTCAGCTCCTGCCCCAACTGGAACCGCCCCGCTCAACGGCATGATGGGTTGCGGGAGTTCGAACAAGGGATCTGGGGCCTCTGAGTTTGGCGACATGGGCATGGGCGATTCTACGTAGCCTGGAAAAGGGCTCAGCGTGTCCGAATGTTCACTCGCGGTGCTGCGCCGGCTGGGAATCTGAAGATGCAGCGGCTCGGGCCTAAGAGACTGGCGAGATGGCGCGTGCGGGGGACGGGCGGCACAGCCAAGTTCCCATCGAGCTGGAAGGATCGCGTGGAACTTGCCGCCCTCGAAGGAGCGCGCGAGGTGCCGGGGGACCCTGCTGCGGTTTCGTGTCGGAGCTCCAGGATCTGTGCTGGGAGCGCAGGCTCGCTGCTGTGAGCTAGGGCGTCCACAACGTTGCCCGTGTGTGAATGCGCTCGCTCCCGGGAGGGTGGCGACGTCGTATCCACCGCAATCATGGGTCCTGTGGGAGCTTCTGCGCGGAACCTGGCCGCCTCCGGCATATTTTGCACCGAGTGGCGGCGAATATGGCCAATGTAGTCTTGTTGCGATCCGCTCTCCTTCTTGAAGTGCTCCAGCGCGGAGTTCAGCTCTAGCGCACCGACCAAACTAGGCCTGATAAAGGCCGACGTCGGGCGGCGGCTGATGGTAGGTCTCCGGACACGCATATTGTCCGCAATCTCGGCTGCGATCCGTTTCTTGCGCTGTCTTGCGGCTTCGTTGTACCCTCGTCAGCCTCGCCGTCCTCGACCTCGATTCTCGGAGTCGAGAGTGCCGATCCGTAGGGCCCCTGGTTTGCTAGGGCATGCGCGCGCGTCCGGGGAGGAAACTGGGCTGGCTGGTCCTGGTATCTCGCCTCACCGTTCGCCTCAAGCGCGTCCTCGACAGCCCGAGCCCTGTCCTTTGCCTGCGCCGCCCGCCGCAGCCGTCTCGACGAGTACCAATGTGTTCCAGTCACGAATATGACGTAGAATGCGTAATAGGCGATCATGATGATACATTCGAAAAAGTGTAGGTGGCCGTCGAGGAGGAAGGTAAGCGTGAGGCAGACGGCGACGATGAAGAAGACGAGGTCCCTCACAAAGCTGTGCTTGTCGACCTTGAACTCGGAAATCATCACAATTGACCCGGCGACAATGGCTGTGATGAAGCTTGCGGCGCCAATCAGTTCGCCCACGGCCATGGCCGCGCTATTCGATCGCATCGACATGACGGTACTGAAAGGTCGGGGAGCCGTTTCCGACGGCCAAGAAGGTGACTCCGGTTAGATTCTCGGGCATGCTCAGAACACCAGCAATTGTCTGTAGGTTGGGCGTGAAGAAGTCGCTGGCAGCGATGCCAATGGTCGAGAATAGGAGGCCTAGCCATGTGATCAAGAAGGTGAATCCGGCAATCCGCGCATAGAAAAACGTGCAGTAATATAACGTCAGGTAGGGTATGAGTCCCGGCTGTTCATCATCGCAGTTGGTTTTGACGAAAAGGCAAATGTCGTGGGCGGTGGCATGGTCACGGATGTGGTGGACATCCCGGCACTCGGTGGTTTGGGAGCCGCCCTTCGAATGCAAACCGAGCGGTTTATCCTGCTGGCCAAGTATCGAGGTCTGCACGTAGGAAGCGAAGATTAGGAAGGAGGCGACACCGCACGCAGCGTAAAACGGGCGCCATCGGATCCACGAGCGAGATTGTTGGCGTCGCTGTTCATGGTGGGGGCGAGGATGGGAGTGATCGACGCCCGGTAAATGTGCGGTATGTGCGCTGGGCGACATCATGTTCAAAGTGATACTATTGGGGCCTGCTTAACGCCATTGTTGAAATTGCAGATATCGCGTTGTGTTGAGTACGATTCGAAATTCCAATCTGCCGCGAGCAAGCAGAGTGGGTTTGTAAAGAGAGAAAAAGAGAACCATGCAAGATAAGGTGTGTGCGGCAAGATGCGTGGCACATGGGGTTAGTGACGGCGTTGGGGGAATCAGGGAGGGAGAGTGGGCAGCCACATGGAGACTTGCACCATCAAGAGATTTGATGGGGAGTGACGACAGTTTTTTTGGGCCCTGACTTAGAGGCAGCACAGCACGGCCGCTATCAATCAATCCCCACGCTGTCGTGTACTCAAGCTTCAATGTTCCTTGCGTGCTCTTCTGCCGTCTTGGTTCCATCCATGTGCAGCTGGAAGAGTGACACATTCCAAAAATGGTATCGGGCCCGATTGTTCATGGTACCGAAAAGTCTCCAAAGATTGGCCGACAGTCCGCTGAGATATCGTGTACTCGATACGACTGTTTCGTCAATATGGTTTCAACCTGTTGCCCATCAGAAGCTCCGTGCAGGAAGGGCAATTGATTGGCCCGATTGCGTTCCGCATCGCTCGTGGAGGGCTTGGGGCCAATCGCGGGGTGGGTCGGGCCAATCGGCCATGTCACTGACAACCGGCAGCGGGGTTCTTATCGTCACGTGAAGATAACGCACGCATCTCCACAGCGCTGGCCAGTAGCAGCCAAGAGGAGTGGCCAAGGCCGCCTCGTTACTCCGAATGGGTTTATTATTTGTTTACATTGCAAGTGGTGACACGACCGTCCAACAAGCGACTCCATCGCACACAGTGAAACGTCTTTCGCCCCCTCAATCACTCACACAGCAGTTGTAGGACGCGACTGGGGCAACAGAAGCGACCGACCCCGACACCCGCACGGCACCGCCTTTTTATCTTATTTTCTCCTCACGATCCTACTTTGCGAAAAGAAAAAAAAGGAACCTCCCTGCTGCCTCTCCAAGATGCCGCGAGTCGCTCAGGGACCACGAACTGCAGGCTCCAGGGTAGCCTCTGGGTCTATGGCCGCATCTCCATTCAAGTCGACGCAATCTCCCATCAAGTAGGTTCTTGGATGCCCAGTTTTATCCGATCCCCCGCCGCCGTCAACAAGGGCGTGAATGAACTCGGATGATCGAGGCGAACCGACCATGGCTTGGGCTATGTCTGACCTTTGTTTGTATTCAGGATACCCCTCAACGACGATGCAGAAGAAAAGGCGCGCCGGTTACACTCACGACAAGCGCTCCAGGAAGCCCAAATTAACCAACTCAAGCTAGCCGCCACCCCCGTTCGCAAGGGGAGCCTCAGAAACATGGCGACAGGCTCACCAAGCTCGAACCCGCGAACCCCCGTGGCCGATCAGATCGCTTCCGGGACGACGACGACGATGACGATGTAGTAATTAGCGGCACCGCTGTCACGCCGATGAAGCGTGTGCCGATCCTCGCCAACTTTGAGGAGTGGATGAAGATGGCAACGGACAACAAGATTAATGCGGCCAACTCGTGGAATTTCGCCCTCATCGATTACTTCCACGACATGTCCCTCCTCAAGGAGGGAGACGGCGTCAACTTCCAAAGGCCAGCTGTACGCTCGATGGGTGCGTAAAGATCTACACCAGCCGAGTCGACAGCGTAGCGACCGAAACCGGAAAGCTGCTCAGCGGTTTGGCCGACAGCAACAGCAAAAAGAAGAACCAAGGTGAGGAGGGCGAGGAGAGCGAGGATGAGGTCGACGAGGATGGCACCGTGACCAAGAAGGCCAAAAGAAGAGCCAACGCTCGGAAGCGACGTTAGCGCCCTCATTTGCGTCGTTGCAACTCAAAAATTTGAGCTCGAGTTTGCGGTGGATCCCCTCTTCAAGAAGGCCTCTGCCGATTTCGACGAGGGCGGCGCAAAGGGCCTGCTCCTGAATCATTTGATGATTGATTCTGAAGGCCGCATCGTCTTTGATAGCAGTGACGATGCAAACGACAGGGTCGGTGGGGCGGGAAAGAAGGGCGATGGGGAAGAAGAGGGCGACGACGACGGCGACATGCCCGAGGGCGGAATCGAACCCCCAACCCGCGAGGGTACCGTCCAGCCCGAAGAGCAGGAGCTGCCCGTTCCGATTGACCTGGCCAGCCTCGCTGCCCGCTTCGTTCGGACCTCGGTCGCCTCGACGACCTAGATGTTTGCCCGTCCCTCAAGAACTTTGATCTCGGAGACCCTTCGGGATCCCTTGATATCCCCTTCCTCAAGGCCCCCGAGGACTGGCGTCAAGACCAGGACAAGGGCCTCGGAAGCTTTGGGGACAAGTCTGGCATGCTCATCGACGATGACAACCTCCCCGGCTTCGACGACGACGACCTCGGCCTGGGCTTTGACCTCGGCGCGGACGTAGCCTTTGGCGAGGGTGGCGAGGCTTGGGCAAGGGAGGCGGCGCTGGAACCCCAGCTGCGCGTGTACGACGCGGCGCTCGACGGCGCGGCGAGCGGCGAGGGCGTAGAGCTGGTTGACCAGGACTCGGGCGAATACGTCGTCACGATGAACCACTCAAAAACCCCGACCAAATGCACGAGGACATCCTCGGCTACTTTGACCAGGCCCTCCAGAAGAACTGGTCGAGCGCGGAACATTGGCGCATTCGCAAGATCAAGGACGTCAACAAGCCGATGGACGCCAAACGCACGCGCAAGGAGAAGGAACCCTTTGAGATAGACTTCCTCTCCCCGCTCGACCCGGCTCTCGCCGAAATCATCTACAACCAGGCCTCGAGCAACGCCGCCATCTGCCTACCCAAAAGGACTGGAAGTCCAAGACGCGAAACCTGCTGCCCGACGACAAGCACTTCAGCTCCAAGCAGCTCATCAGCCTCTTCCTCAAGCCCAAGGCCCGCATGGGCAGGCGGCGCGTCCTCGGCCGCGCCGGCGGCTTCGGCCTCGGTTCCGGTTTCGGTGCCTCAGGTCAGCAGGACCGCGACGACCTCCCCGAGGGCGAGATGGACGAGGCCTTCTGGGCGCAGCGCAAGGAACCTCTAAACGGAGCAGAGGACACGGCGCTACCGCAAGGCGACTACGACGCCAACTTCTTCCAAGACGACCTGCCTTTCGCGGGCGGCTTGGACGACGACGACGACGACCTCGAGTTTGCCGATGCGCGGGAACACTTCTCGCCCGGCGCGGAGCTAGCGCCTGGCATGACGGGCGGCGTGGGCCTCACGACTGCTTTCAACGGCGAGACCATGATGGCCGGGCCGTTTGGCACTACGCTGATAACGCAGACGAGAAGGGCAAGGCCAGAGTACGTTCAGTATGCTCGCGTGGCCAAAAGGTGGATGTCAGGAGGCTCAAGGAAGAGCTGTGGAAGGGCATGCCCTTTGACGATCTCGACAAGGTATGGTTTCCCATTGTACCACCCAAGCAAATATTCTCTTCTCTCGAGAACAACCCCCCTCCCCGTTTCCCCCTTTCCCCATGCACATGCACATGCACACGAATTTCCCAGGCTTCACAGCGCCGATCAGATGAGCCGACGGTGATAGACCATTGCTAACATGATGTCCCCCAGACTCACGACCCAGACACTTCTCGTCTGCCCACCCCACCACCCTCGTCTAGCGACCCTCTCCAACTAGACCAGAAAGAGGACCCCACCCTGAAATTCACCAGCATGATCAACGACTTGCAAACAGTATATCCCAAGCAGGCCATGGACGACATCTCCACTAGCTACTGCTTCATCTGCCTACTGCACCTGGCCAACGAAAAGGGCCTCGTCATCAACAAGACGCCCGAGCTGACAGAGCTCACCATCAAGAAAGACTGGACGGCGGAGATCACGGCCGGCGGCGATTAAGATACCTTTGTGTGACGTTTTGCTTTTAATATTTGACGGGCTCCCTGGCCCCTTTTTCACATATATTTTTATATCTCCTTTTTCTCTTCAAGGTCTTGTGGCATTGGGCGGGTGCGTCAACGCTCTGGGGCACCCGGCGATGGGGGAGAAGTGGGATCCATAACTGTTTTACGCTTTATGTTGTACTTGGATGACGGGAGGGATTTTCCAAAGCATGCGAAGCGATACATCAATTGATCAAACCAATGGCGGAACGCAATACACGGGACAACGTTGAGCACATGACTGGGACAAGCCAAGGGGTAAAACCGGGGAGTTGGGGCGAGTTTCGAGAGCCTGGTTCGGCTGTGCCTTTAATCGCCGCCTTTTGATTCGATTTATTCAATTTTTTCCCCTTAAATTACTTGGACCTTTTTCTCCGTCAAATCTCTTTCACCCCCTTCTGATGTTGCGGCGACCAACCACACTGGCGGTTTCGCCATGTGATACACCTCTATATGCAATGGACGTTATTCCTGCGGAACGCGAGTCCCGGAAATGAACGACTTTCGACGACAGCGGCGGTTGTGCTCAAGCAAGAGAATTTGATTAGTAGCGAGCCGATATATGTTGCTGATTATATCAAGAGGCTCATCTGTCCATTATAAGTAAACAATGAACGCCAACTCATCTCATGTTCTATGTAAAATCGGCGAATCCAACCAGACGTCCGTCCAACGTAATACATATACAATCCCAAATGGAAACCTAGCCGAAAACCTCCCAACTCGAAAGTCCTTTGCATATACGGATACCCATCGCGTACCCACGAGCCTCCCCTGCAATCGTCTGCGCGTGTGCGTGCGTGTGTGTGTCTGGACTAGACGTTTTCACCCGAGTTTTCCCATCCCGCTCCTCCGCCTTCGTTTGTCATGTTGTCGTATATACCAGACGTAACCATCCTTGTTTTAGAAACCCGTACTCCCAGTCGTTTTACAAAATCAATCAAGTCATGAGAAAATAAAGGAAAGGAAAAAGGTCGTTTATCGTCCCAAAGACACGGTAGAAAAAAGATGGTGGAAATGGAGAGGAAATAGAACAAGATAATAGTGAGTCCTCCACGAGGATAAGAGTGTTTCATGCGCATTCGGGACCCTTTGCGCCCGACATGTTGAGGGGAAGGGCCGGTTTTCTTTCCACAGTTGGCGTTCACATCATGCCCACCCAGTGCTGACTGGTCTGGGAGGACAATCTCGGACAATTCTCAAGACACGCTAACAGGAAGAGGGGAGGCGTACGAACGACTCCCACATTCCTTATGCGGGGCTCTCATTTTGCGACTTCCACAACTTCCACAAAGCGGCCCCCTCGGCTCGCACATCAGAGGTGCTACTATCGCCAGCATGGGGATGCGCAGATTGAGTATGGAAGATATCGGACGGTCCACACTAACCTCCCACCTTGAGCCCAACCATGTCACCCATACGCCACGGAGCATGTCGTTGGGGTGAGGTTAACTCGGGGGTGGCTGGGGCGTGCCGCAACTTGCGGCTCGTTTGAGCACATCGAGGCAGGTCATACATGGAGTCCGTCGTGTTGGTAGAAAGCAACGACTTGATCGGCATCCCTACATCCTTTGCTGGTACCAACTCGCTAGCTTGCAGCTCGGGACTTGTCATGGATACGGGGCTACCGTCCAAGTGCATGGATGATACAGATGCTCTGCTGGTCCGCAGCATCATATCAAAACCAGTAGCGGGTTGTCTTTGGTTTTCAGTGCCAGTACTGTACGTGTCTGACACCGCATCTTCAGCCCGGTTATGGTTGTCCAACATGTCAGACAACGAGGGAGTGCAAGTGAATTCGTAGGCTCCCAGGCCTCGCGTCAAACACTGTGGCCGTCCGTGATGGGGGAAATCTGTCTCCCAACATATCCTTTCCGAGGCCGAGGATGCGGCTTCCAGCCAACAGGCCAAAATCAACTGACGTATCCGAGGATCCGCTCCGCAGCGGCCTCGTGCTCGTCGGCGACATCCCACCTCCCATATTATAGTCGTATCCGGCCACGGCCCCGCTGCTCCCATTACTTATGCTGCTTCTGCCGCTGCTTTGAGCAACACTACTCACGCTCCCGCGGTGACTCCGCGAAACACCGGAGCTCCGGCGCCTGCAGCCGTCTTGTCCTAGAGCAAATGGTTCCACTCGTCAGCGCAAGCCTTGTGGCTCTTGGGCGACAAGGAAGGTCATACCTTGGGATTGGTTTGTTTGTAGCTGCTTCTTCTTGAATTCTTGCAGGTATTGGGAATATTTTCGGTGTTCGGCGGTTTTCTTATAGGCAGCTAGCTGCTGGTTGTACCTGTCCTTGGCCTGCTGCGCCTGGTCTTCGAGGCGCTCCCTCTCGCCTTGGGGTAAGGCCTGCCAATTTTCTCCTACCAGTTTTGCGATTTCGGTGAATGAGAGGGTCTGGCCCTTTAGATCTTCACGAATTTCTAACCGCACGCTAACGTTAGAAACTACACATTCAGGTTCGGGTAACAGGTCGACAGGGAGCGTGGTGCTAAATGGGGCCTACTGTTGGAAAAGAGCACATAGGCGGAGGGCGGCTTCTCGGGAGCATTTTTGTCTGGCTGTGAGAAAAGAACGGCAAACCAGGCGTCAGTAGATGAGCAAAAACCTCCATTCCTCACAACTTCCCGCCCCCCGTCCCCTCCCCAATCAATCAAACAGCCAACGAACGATGCGATACAGGACGAGGACAATGGGGTGACACTTACTTTAGGGTGTCTGCGATACTTCCTCTTCGTTGCCGTGCCCTCTCGAGATGTGGCAGGGCCCGAAACTGTGGTGACCAGCCGAGTCGAATCCGGCTTGGCTTCCTCCGCTGATTGACTGGTTGGCGTCCAAGGGAGGATGGCGTTGGGAGATAGGCCCCGAGCGTCAGCAATGCGTCTTTGGAGTTTCTATAAACCATCCTTCGTTAATCCTCAGTTTACCACCTCATAAAAAGACTCGACAGTCACGTCGTCTGATGCATCTCGTCGCCGCCGCCGCCGCCGCCGCTGCCGCGTTGAGCATTGGGTGCTTTTACTTTTGCGATTTGATACTTACGCGACGGTGACCAAGCTTCACTCCGAGCGTATCGCTATATTGTGGAAGGACAGGTCAGTGCTTTGAAGAGGAAAGACCGGAGAGAGCAAGAAAAAGAGAGAGAGGGAGATTCAAACTGAAAAACGTACAGATCAGACTCAGTAATATCGAGAATCGTATCCCACGAGTCAAAGCCTTCTTGCACGAAGACCCCAAAGTACTGGGACATGCCCAACTGTGCAAAGATATCGGCTAGGTCACGCATGGTGAGGGTGCTCCGGACGATTGTTGGCGTCCTGATTTGAAGGAATATCGCGGGAAGAGGCCCCGGTCAGTCAGAAGCAGGAGGGCGATTCTATCATGGAGGTATACCGCCAGATATTGGTCTGTCGCCTGTCCTATCCTCACCTTGCCCGTCCTTACAGCAAGGACTGAGCGGATACGACTTGTGGTACGAGTATAAGCACTGGAAAATTCCGTGGAGAGCGCTCCCACGCGGTAAGAAGGGGCTAATATTGCTCCTTTTAACTGTGTTATGAAGGGGATAACGTCTTCACGCCTAAGGACTAGGCTGGCTAGGGGAAGATTATTATCCAAGTCGGCACTCAGTGTCAAGGGACAAATGGCTGTATCTCGATCGCACGATTTCCCGGTTGCTGAATTTCCACGCTGAGGCAAGTTAAACCTCCGAGGCGGCTTCCGGTCACAACCTTATGGATTGGTCTTTCAGGAGACTTGTGTTTGCTTTTGTTGGGGTCTGAGGGTGTAGAGCTCTGTATGTGTTATGTGACCATGCTCGAGAAGTCCGGGCGTTGTTCAGTGATATGGCGAGTGTTGGGAAGGGCAGAGGGGTAATAAGCGGTTGCTTTGGGTGCCAGGGTGAGTGCTAGGACGTGTTATTCAATCCATCAACTACTTGACGGATGGGTCAATGTGGTTTGAGGCAGTGATGGGCGGTGCCCATGGGTGGGTGAGGGGGTTGCAATGACGTCTGCGAGGTTTCTTCAGTGGATAAGTCGTCCTAGTGCTGAGACGGCAGTCATTAAGCAGCCACTGGGCTGACAGGCAATAGTTTCGAAGGGGAAGAGGGCCCAAGATGGGGGAGACGGAGGGGGTATCAATCAGTGCAAATCCAGTCCATGCGTATGGGGCCAACGCCGTAAAAGTGCAAGGGCGATGCGCAGAAGAGGGGCTGAATGAAAGAGGCCAAAAGGTCAAGGTTGCCAATATCTGGAACGCAGAACAAGCGGCTCCGCTTGGCCTGGGCCGGGGACCAACGGTAGTGGTATCTCGATTTCTCGAGCAGCGTTGGAGAAGTAGCTGAGCAAGATATCTCAGGCACAACAAGAAGAAGGAAAAAAGAAAAAAAGAAAAATGGACTCCGAGCGAGAATCGGTCCCCCTCCCAGAAGAGGTACCTTGCCTGCAAGCCTTGGTAACCTGATTTAGGCAAGGTATCGGTCAAACAAGGCAGGTGGTGGGTCACCCGTGGAGAGGAGCTTAAGCTTGGAGGTGTGTGTCTAAAGAGCCGTTTCTCTCTCGCTCGGGACAGAGGCGAAGAAGGGCAAAGAAGGAAAGAGGGCGTCGACAGAGGTGCTTGAGCGAGACGGAAGAAATAGTTGGCTTTTGAAGGATCTATGGAAAGAGGGTGCGAGAGGGCAGGGGGTGGGGGCTGTCGCCCATGCTCATGGAGCCTTGCTCCAAGGTACGCCGCTCGAGCTGGCCAAGCCCGTCCTTCTACCTTGGAGAAACATACAATCTCTCGAGGCGGTCTTCTCAAGCTTCCTCGCCCCCTCAGGACGAACATCTACCTCGGGATCAGGTCGTATTACCGTTGGTCTCAGCTGGCCTAGTGCCTAGCCCTAGGGTCGATGGCGACTGTCGAGGAGAGGCAAAAGGCAAAGTAGCTGGTGAGAGGGCGACTCAAGCTACCGCCTCATCACCCTCCAATGGTTGAAAAGAACCATGCTGGTCGCGTTGGGGAATACCTTGGAGTACGAGAAGTAGTGCGTGCGCAAGAAACGAAGGATAAGTTGGTTTCTCATTGGACCAGGGGTTCGCATGCTTCTGGTAATTTGTGCCCTTTTTCTTTCTTGCTTTCTGCTTCATCTTTTCCGTCCCTTGCTCCATCCGATAGCCTTCTCCAATGTCATATCATCAATCCTTTCTATCCTCTCCCCTCCCGATCCCGATGCTAAGCCATCCACTTCCCCTTCCCCCTTCCCCTTCCTTCTCCCCTCCACCTCGTTTACCTCTGATACCTTCCCGTTGCCGTGTGAGCTCCGAGGTCGAGAGCTTCATTGCTCTGCTTGGTTTCCATACTGAGGGCGATCAAGGTACTAACCAGAATCCTCTATGTCATCGCTTCTAGCTTTTTCTCGAGATGGTCGGTGAGGATCCCAGGAGCCCCTTTTCTTGCCAGTTCACACGGATAGGAGATAAAAGGAGGGGGTGGGAGGATGGAGGAAAGAAGACGACATTGAAGCAGGCAACGGGTGCCCGGACGGCGAGCGGTACGGGATCAATAAGCGAGGAATGAAGTCAGGGAATGGAATCTCGTGGTTGAAGCTAAGAATGGGACTAGACATGAGGCTACAACACCATGCTTCGCTTCGTCGATGGCCTGGGATAGCTTGGATAGATGCAGGTTCCTCACCTTGTGCAGCCAGCCCACTTCTACCCCACCTTCCCAGGCTTCTTTTCCTCCCGCAATGGATGGCAAGATGGGTGGAAAAAGAAAAAAGGGAAAAAAAAAAAAAAAAAAGACGAGGTGGAATAAGAATCCGAGGAGTAGAGGATGTGGATGATCAGAAGCTGGTGAAACCCACGCCCAGTTTGCCAGTTCATTTGATTCCCCGACATGGGGCGCACTGTTTACTTCCGTTTTCATCCTGCTGCTTTCCGTTTCGATACTCCACGGCCCCACTCGTGTGGGCTGAAAGGGGGAAGGAGGGACTGTCGCTGAGGATTGTTACAATGGATGAGAGAAACAAGACATGAGGCGTTCGGGACGACATGTTCCCGGCATCGTAGCTTCCTAGGCAAATCGGGGTTTGGTAAGCGTTGCTCGCCAAAGCAGCATCCTGGTCTGGACACGGAGCGGGCAGAGTGCCACCCCCTTGCTCCAAGTCAAGGGAAGGACACAGACAGTCCACTAATACAACTAACTTTGGTACTAGCACTACTTTCTACTTTCCTACCTTCAAGTTGCGACTTTACTACACAAGCTACCTTACACTCCACCCCACAGCACAGAACATTCCCACGTCAACGGAACCGTCCACACGCGGTGCACGATCCGTCACCAATCACGGTCAAGCTTGACCTGCACCTCGACAGAGCGGGCTGTAGATCCTTCTGTCATCGTGGTGAGACGGGTTGCAAGAGAAGGTCTCTCTTGGATGCATGCGATTGGTAGATGCCGGACACTCCCCACTCATGACGTGCTGTGCCCTAATCTTCGCTTCTCGACGACCAAGTCGTTCCCAGTTCATTGCACAGGAAATTATTCTGGAAGTCGATAAAACGGGGAAGGGAATTGGGGGAAGGGAGTTGGGGGTGTTCTCGGGTGGTTAGAGCTTGGGAGGAGGTCAAATAGATCAAACACACACACACTCACACACTCACACACTCACATTCCCACTTCGCGATGCGGACAGCAGGGCCCCGTTACGATCCCCAGCGAACGGGACTGGCAAGCTGCAAGAGCACCCAAGCCGGCAAAAAGGAGAGCAAGAAAAAGAAGAAGAAAAAAGGTCCCCCCCAAACCCAAATTAAGCAGAGACAGTGGGGAGGGGAGGAAAGAAAGAAAGGGACGTCGCTCGATAGAAGCGTACACTCTTTATCGTGCAAGTGAGGCGTCTTGCCAGAGCTGTGCTACTTGTAGAAAGAATATGCTAGCAGCTGAACTGTAGCGTGGAAGAAAGAAGCCCATGCCATGGCTAGCAACCCCTGCTTGCCCATTTGTTTTTGTTTTCTTTCCCTTCTCACTCGGCTTTTTGTTTTTGAGCTGCCGCCCTGGGTTAATTAGACTAGAAGTGAAGAAGGAACTACGAAGTATCTCCATGATAAAAGGGAAAAGGAGAGCATGTGCGAGCACCCTGTTTGCCTGTCCGCAGCGCACCTCACATTGTTGATTTTCAAGATCCACATGGGACTGCTCCGATCGAGGGGGCGTGTCGTGTCGTCAACGCAGGTGTTGAGAAGTGGAGGGCGTGTGCGTGCTCTGGCAGGTCAGTGCGACGAATAGTATGACGCCATTGACGTCATTTCTACCCACGTCGATTCAAGGTTCCCGGTTCCTTGACGCATCCGTAATCCCGATTGGACCGGTGAGCCCAGAGCCAGCCCTCAATTTTTGGGAGGAGCTGGACCGGATTTTTATTGCTGCGCTCGATGACGGTGGTAAAAGGCCGGGGAGAAGAAGCGAGAAAAGGCGCGGCTTTGCCTGAGAGTGGGACAATTCCACCCAGCCCCAAGCCGATTGCTATACCACCTTGATCACCTCGTTTGCAAGTCCACCCACCACCCACCGGCGATGTAGCTTTATTGTTTCCTGCAGGTTACGGTACCTGTCGTGGAGGAAACACACGTGCAATCATCTCCGATGGATCAATCCTCCAGGCTTGTCTTTGATTGATGCCTTGAATCGCCCCGTCCCGCGAACCAGGGGTGCACCTACCGAGTCTCTATGCTGTACATCCATTGTATGTTGTTTGTTATTTGCATGGATGCTCTGCTCGCTTGCCTAGCTTTTTGTTATCTTCTTTCAGCCCGTCTCTTTCATTCTTCTTTTCTCTTTGGTTGGTGGTCTCTCCGCCATCGCGATTGAGCATTGAAGATGGGTAGGGCGGGTTTGCTTTCCCTCCCCTACTTAGGCTTCAGTCTTATCAGTGGGGACGGTGTATCAAGAACTTCAATGACTCCCGCGTTTGTTTTTACTGTCTCATCGCTTCCCTCTTTTTCTTTTCGCTTCCGAGGTGGAGGGGTCAAGAATGCATCCAGGATTAAAGAGAATAAGTATAATAAAAAAACCCCCAGTACATCCATGCACCCTATAGGACGGCAGATGAGATGTTGAGCCTATTACTTTAAACCAAAAGGTGGGGAATTGGACATTTGACATTTGAACATTCTCGATGTTCTTTGCAAGCTAATACGGCATAATGTGTCCACACTTGCTTGGCTGGGGCTGGCCCATGGACGACTGAATCGTGGAAACGATGAATTGGCCGTGTTGGTGATGGGCACCTACAAGTCTTAGCTT